TTCTTCTTCTTCTTCTTCTTCTTCTTCTTCTTCTTCTTCTTCTTCTTCTTCTTCTTCTTCTTCTTCTTCTTCTTCTTCTTCTTCTTCTTCTTCTTTTTCCTCTTCCTCCTCTTCTTCTTCTGCTTTGGGTTGGCATTCTGGACTCGGCCCGGAAGGTACAGCAACGGTCCCGATCCCTACTCTGGCCATTGAGTACGTCCTCTTTCAAGGAGGTGAGAGAGAGTTAGCTGGTCTGGCCTGGTCTGGTCTGGTGTGATATTGGTTGGGAATCAATTCCAAAATCCAACATTGACAATCAGTCACCTCAGCTTCGAGCGTCGAGATGCCATTGCCAACCCAACTCAAAAACCAGAAAAAAAGGGAGCAGTCTCCGTCACCATGCCCATGCCCATGCCGATACCAATACCAACAAGCTATCCAATATTCCAATGTTGATACAAGTTCCCTTGTCAAAGGACCGGCCTTTCGGACAAATTCCTGCGCCTCTTGAAATCCTTCTGCATGAGGTATATTGGCCCCATCACATTTTGCCCTGATCCCTCTGATCCCTCTTTCCTTGTCCGCCGCTCATGTTGCAGCTGTTATATCCTCTTCCTTCCTAGCTAAATCCTTTCCTCAGTATTTTTCTTAGCACCTTCTTAGCACCATTCTTGGAACCTTTCTTAGCACCCGCTGCGGCCTTTTTGCCGTGAACCACCTTATGGTATTTATCCAGCGCCTTGTGAATATTGCTCAGCCGTCCATCCACGCCATAGAAAAGAATGTTGTAGATTGCTCGGTAGACTGCTTGTATGCCATCTGGTTCGTCCAAGAAATGTCTGGATAAGGTTGTGAGATGGAAGTCGGGCAGCTGGCCTTCTTGGGTCGGCGCCTTCAGCCAATGCACATTGATCCGAGCGAGCTCGTGGTCCATGACGACAGAGAAAAATTGTGGCTCGTCATAATCCAAGACTTCCACTCCGAAGGCTCGCTTGGTCAATTCGATTATACCATTCATTGCAATGGCTCCGGCTCCGGCAGCCTGGTTTTGACCGGCAAAGTGGGTTCCCTGGTTGGCTTGCGACTTGAACTCGATGCTCAGAAACGGAAAATTGAGCCCTTGCGCTGGGACAGCGTAGCTTTTGGAGTTGTCAAACTCTGCCATAGACGAACGGATCATCGTGTTTTGGTCCTTGGTGAAGGCATTCCTGGTGTATCCAAAGGCAAGATCCGGCTTCGGTTGACGTAAGTACTTGTTTTCCTCATCACCACAGTCTGGAGGAGGGATGGATAGGCACCACAATTGATCCGCAGCCACTGTCAATCGTGGATCGGGAACATTGCGTCTGGCTGGAATGATAACGGGGACCAATCCATCTCTGACGGAAGTCTCATTTGCTGCCTCAGACAATCGACTCTGTTCTATTATCTGCTGAACGTCGGGAGAATCCAGATCAGGCACTGCTTGTGGCTGTGATACAATCATTTTTGCCCGTGCCATCAATCCTGGGGTTGGCTCGGCACTGTTGATATAGATATTGTGATGCATTAACGTTTCGCGATATGTTGTGTCAGAAACCATTGGAAGAGTCCTGTCGGATGATGTTTCGAGAGCTTCAGAGTCGTCTGAGTCGGAGGAAGACTCGCTTTGCCTGAGGTCTCTGCTCTCTGAGGAAACCGTACGGGAGCAGGTGGACTTTTCTGTCCACTCTTCGACGTATTCGACCTCCTCCTCCGCTGGCTGTGATTTGGTAGGAGGCCTGGAGCTGGAGCTGGAGCTCTGGATGGGCTGGGACTGCAGGATTACTGCATCATTGTCAGCCATGGGGTACTTTGACAGGAATGGGCATGGTAGAGTGGGAAATGACCTTTTTCTTTTGTCCTGCGGCTCTTTCGTAGGTTTTCTGTCGCGTCTTCGTTGTCTTCCTTGGTCTGGGTGATCTGGTCTCGCTTTGCTGTGGTCCATTAGTTTAGCTATATGCTCAACGATGAACTTCGGCTTCAACAGCTTGACTCACCGGGAAAGACAAAAACCGGCGGTTTAGGAAGGGGCGGGTAACCTCGCCATGGACTTCTGTCTAGCTTTGCAACATCCATGTCTCGCTGCTTATCACCTGCTATCGGGTAGGTTGAAGTTGGATAGTAGGAGTCTGGATCTGCTTTGTCTCGATCACAGACAAGAAAAAAAACCAGGGCGGCTTCGTAGAGAGATGCAAGTTGCCCAGAACCAACAATCTGATTCAGTCTGTGAGAATTAGGAACAAGGCAAAAAGATGTGTCTCTAAAGGTCATTTTAAGTGACTCAAAACAACCACTCCGCGATTGGCCAATCTTGACGTTCATGCATTTAGCATGTAGCATTCCAGACTAAGATTGCCATCCGACATTCCGTTCGCATCGGATTGCTCGTGTGTGTCTGCAGAGCTGTCACAGCGCCAGAAGTTGGTATTCACATTCCAGCATAATCTCAGCTCAAGCCATCGTGGTCCGTCGGTAGTTCATAAAGAAGGCAGAACCGGAGGTGAATCAAAGGTCTCGGCACACTGGCAGTGAAATGCCAAAGGCCTAAGTCAATGAATAGAGGTGAAGGAAATGCTCAGCCAGGGTGACAGCTGATGTTCTTGGTGCTTCGCAGGGACCGAGACAGTGAGCTCCCAATGCAACATGATTAGTTCGCCACAGTTGCTTTCGGCACAGTCATGGTCTGCCACACCTCCTCCCCTCCGTGGGCCAACATACCTGGTACATAGAATGGCATCTATGGCTACCACAAGAATCCAGGAATGATGGAGTAGGATACTAGTAGGACTGTAGCAGAAGTGGTGGTGGTGTTGTTGCTGATGGGAGGTGTCTTGGCAAGGCAGGAGCACCTCAAGTTCGATGGGAATTCAAATTCATGACAGTCGGTCAGAGCCTGTCCTGTCGGCATCCCTATCCTCTACTGTGTCTCATCGTCGTGAGCTGATCAATTAGGCGAGAAAGTCCTCCGATACGCCAAACCAATCCAATTCGCAAGGACTGCGTTCCACTCCTCCCATCAAACCGATGCTATCTGAAATCACTCCCTACGATGGGGATCATCCTTAATCCCCAGGGACCATTTAAACAAAGGAGGAGCTGCTAAAGGATACTGGTTGAAACACTGCTCTGTCTCCTACTGTCGAGTTGATTAATTAATCCAAGACAATCACTGGTACCTAGTCAGCTGCAATACCAACTCTCTCTCTCTCTCACTCAGAAGACCGGCCGAGCCCTGCGGCGTCGCTCTCGTTCGCACTCCACCTACTGCATCTGAACACACATCTGCCAAACCGATGGGGTTGCTTGGTATCATCCCTTGTTGTTTCAGCTTCAGGCTACGTCAACAAGGTCAGTAGCACAGACTTGAACCTCCCATGATGAAGATCTGCACCCAAGTTGTGAGGTAGGTAGAGCGATGAGCTAGACGATAGACGAATGAGGCATTGTCGCAATGAACCACATGGCCGACCTATGAGACATAACTAGAAAGAGTGTTCAAGCCGCAGCCAGGACTTTGGACGCACCGCACTGCGAAGGAAATGGTAGAAGGTCGCACGACGACAAAGGGGGTGTAGGCAGAGAATGTAGGAGGAGCTGTCGACCGGAGAATCTGTGGAGATCCAGATAGATGTTAGCAGAAACGAATTCCAAGGTTGGATGGAAGAAGAGTCACGACTTACATACAAGCATGATGTCAATCGCATGGTGGAGAGCTGCAGGACGGGACGACGAACTAAGAGCCTAAGCCTGCGGAAAATCTGTGGAGGGACGTAGATGACGGGCTAAGGCTGTGGCAGTCTGAAAGTGACTGCTAGTGTGAGAGAGATTGGAGAGACAGCAAACAAATGAACAAGCTGGTTACGCAGTCAGGCGTACTTGATGTGTCTGTGTGGCAGACATGATTTACAACTACGGAGTACGGATACAGAGAGGCATATCAAATCAGCCACAGCCACAGCCCCAGCCACAGCCACCTTGTAGATTAGTAAACACGTTGGTTGGATAAGGTAGCTTAACCCTGGAATAGTGAGCTTGTCCATCCACTTAGTGACCTTATCTCTGCGATACTATGTACTATACTACTATACTACTATAGGTTCCTAGTTGTATGGATCTATTTAATATCCTTGTCTCTTCTTTGGCTGGTATGGCTCCTCGAGATACTTGATGTCCTCCTCGCTCAGCTTGAGCTTGCAAGCCTCCACAGCTTCGTCTATTCTCTCCTTCTTGTTCAAGCCCACAATGGGAGAAACATCCTTCTTGCTCAGACACCAGGCGATTGCAATCTGGGCCATGCTCTTGCCCAGCTTCTTTGCCACCTGTTCCACCCGACCAACGATCTCTTCATCCACTTTGTCGTCTCTTGAGCGAACCAACATCTGCATGAAGTAGTCCGTCTTCTCACGCAAACTGTCTCGGCTAGTCCACGGACGGGCCAATGCCCCACGTGCCACAGGGGACCAAGGAACCAAGCCAACCCCAGTATGATTGCAGTATGGGATCATTTCGTTCTCCTCCTCGCGGTAAAGCAGGTTGTAATAGTTTTGCATCGAGATGAACTTGTGCCAGCCATGGCGGTCGGCAATGTTCTGCAGCTCCTGGAATTCCCAAGCCGCCATGCTTGAGGCCCCGATATAGCGGACCTTGCCGGACTCAACGACATCGTTCAAAGCCCTCATGATTTCTTCACGAGGAGTCGAACGGTCGAGGCGATGGATTTGGAGCACGTCGATATAAGTGCCTAGGCGAGCAACGCTCTTGTCGACCGCATCCAGAATGTGTTTTCGACTGAGCCCAACCTGATTCAGCAAGTCGCCCTCATTGATTGTACTGGCACTGATTGAATTGCCAGGATGTTCCGGAGTGACGCCGAAATAGCATTTACTCAGGATCACGAGGCGCTCTCTGGGGAGATTATATTTCTTGATTGCTTTACCAATGATCTCCTCGGATTGGCCATGCGAATACACATCCGCCGTGTCCCAAGTCCTGATGCCGGCGTTGTATGCATACTCAAGCAGTGGGAGCGATTCTTCCTCGTTGAGCACCCAACCTTGCCATTGCGGGTTCCCGTACGACATTGCACCACTGCCAGGATTAGAGAGAACCCCAGTGCACTGTCCTGGATCGACTTACAGAATGACCTTGGACACCTTCAGGCCCGACTTTCCGAGATAATGGTACTCCATTGTGGTCTGGTGTGGAAGGAGGTGTTTTGTGGATGATTGTCCGAGACTGAGGCTGAAAATCTTCTGTGGGGTGGTGCTTTGGCACTGGTCAGAGACGTGAGCAAACCGTGGTGTCTGTTGGATGTTGGACGGGAGCTTGGATTCTTATACTTTCGATAAGAGTCTACCAACGCCTTGGCTTGGAGTTGCGGCCGCATCAATTTGAGGGGGGAGGGAGGAACAAGCTGGCTCCGCTGCGGTGCGGCCGCCACCCCGCTTCTTCCTCCGTCTTATCTCTTATCGTCCAGGCGTTAGGTCGGAGGTAACACGAGCAGTTGCTATGCCCGAGCGAGATTAGTCACCAGAAACCCGCCTGACATCACGTGCACGCTCTCGCAGACAGTCTCATCACGTGCTCGTCCTATCTCCGTCGGCCACAGCATCACGCAAACTCATCCTTCCCCTGAGGGCTGATGGCATGCCTGGGATAAAGTCAATCCTGTCTGTTGCTGGGAAGAGACGACGGGCGAGTGCCGGATGCAAGCTGTCTTATGCTTGAGCCATATGGCCTGTCCGCCCTCTGTCCTGTTGCGAAGGGACCAGCGGTGAATGACCGGCTCCATTGCTCAGTCCGTGAGAAGCTAGGGCTTGCAGTCTCTATGAGCCTGTAGGTCTTGTGATGGAATCGGAGATGCTTACAGACCCCTTTGAACATCTCTTGGAGTGTCTGTTCTGGTGACGATATGCCAGTTTCATGCTGCATGTTAGGCTCAGGAGTGGGTGATGATACAGCCGGCATGCATTCTCTGTGCTGGACGAAGCAGTCTCAAAGGATGATCTGCTTTCCCAGTCAAGCAATGAGACCAGATCCGGGTTCGGCTGTACTTCCCTGGCGCAAGGCTGAGCATAATGAGTCTTGTCTCTAAGCTTCTAGCACACTGTGGAAGCCGGATATGGCCATATTGGAACAAGGCTGCACTGCGCACTGCAGAATTGTGAGCCATCGATCGACTGTGTCTGGCCATAGTGTTTGACAGTCGGCTTACCTGCAGTTACTCTGCTGGCCACAGTGATGCAGTGATTGAAACTCCCTTAAGTCACCGCCAAGAGCAACACATGGCCAGGATGGGAGGTACATCAACAACCTGAATTGCCCGGTAGTATCGTACACACCGCCTTTGATGAAAGACTGCGCTGAATCTCCATGCCCATGCTCTTTGTACCTGTTCCATTCAGCACAGCTTTCCACTCGCTTGTCCATGTTGTCTTAACTCACCATCGAGCGCTCTATCCAAACAGCAAGGCCAGCCTTTCAATCGTCCTCTTTGCCATTCCACAGCTGAACATCTGTCCTCAGCAGGGTCATAGTATGGGTACGACATTGACAACAGAGTCCGCCCCTGAGCTTCCTCCGGGATATGAGTGGATGGAAGATGTCATCGCAAGAGAGCAGCAAGCCCAAGACAATCCTCCCCTTCCTTCATATCCATGGGAAAGCAGAGGCCTTGTTACCATTGGCAGGACACTGGTCTTTAAGATGCCTAAAGATGACGACTGGGATAAACTGGACAAAGAAAACAAGATGGCTCGCAAACGCGGTAAGTGTGAGGACCGGGGCTGGTATAGGAAAGAGCGGATCACTGACCGACTACCAACCGCACAGAGTACCTCTGCCAACGGTACAATGAAATCAACCTGTCCTTTGAGGAAGATCCCCCCAATGTGCGCAACAAACGTGGACCGATCCAAGTGCCCAAGAATGACTACTACGCACTCTTCGAAGTATGGGACTCTCCGAATGCCGAGCCTCAGTACCACATCTCCATGACTCTGTTGGAACACGGTTTGGGCCTGTTGAATGACGAATTCAAGAAACTACACCAAGACCTGGTGAGGGCTGCTCTCCAACATATAGAAGCAGCAGAGAAGGCAGCAAAGGAGGCAGCAGAAGAAGAAGCCAAGCGCCGAGCGCTACTCAACAGACCTGTCGGCAATGATGAGGCCGACAATAAAAAGGCCGACAAAAAAAAGATCAACAAAAAAACGGACAACAAGGAAGACAAGCCCAAGAAATCCTCTTCCAGAGCACCCCGAGGGCCTGCAAAGAGAAAGAGGGCCACCAAGCCGTCCAATTCAACTGCCAAATAGGCCATAGGGTTCGCCAGTCGCATGCCATGCGCTGCGGACGGACCTCCAGCTGTGATGTGTTGACCAGAGACAAAGACTGAGAGATTCTACATGAGCAGGCAAAGCCAAATGACAATACTGTAGTGCTACTACTGTTTCTCCTGTTGTAATTGTTGTCGTAGTAGTAGAAGTTGTGAATCAAAGCCCACCAGGTGTTCTTTCCTGACGCCCTCACACAGTCCATGGTTTCTTTCCGTGTCTTTGCCGACGAACAGAAACTTGACCATAATGTCACCAGTCTTTGATTCATCCATGCACACCTATGGGGACGGGTTGGAGACATGTCCTCTCTTACTTCTGCGCCACTCTAATATCAAGGCGTGCGACTCGGTAGGTAAAGGAGGGGGAGGTCAACTTCCAGGCGGTAGGCAATTTGTGAATAGTTCATGTATGAAAGATGCGCCTACGTCTATTTCGCACCACTTGTATTCAGCTAGGTGCAAGAAACATGGTCAATTGTTGATCCTGTGTAGTAGCAAACTGCACTGCGCTCCGCAGCTGAGTGTCTGGTGTTGCTTGGCCTGGGTCTTGGCAAGGCTGTTGCCCCTGAATTTCACCTCCACGTCAATCTACTTGCACCACCAAGCACTACCTCTGAAAAAAGACTCGCCCCTTAGCGGAATTAATGCCTAGACCTTGACCGTACAGGAGAACTAGTCGTAGCACTTGTATGATAGTGGGATTCATAAAAGTCGAGTTGACTACCCAGGCCCCCGGGAATGATGCATGCTGGTTGCGATAGATACGACTCGGCCCACCCCAGTCCAAGCCGAACTGAGAGACTGGTGTCAAAGGAGAGGTGCTACAACGATTTGGTAAAGCCACGGATTCTTTGATGAAAACTTCCATTGTTCTGATGGTTCACTCGTCGAGCCTGACGTCCATTGTGAGCATTGTTCGGGCATTTTCTTTGTTCACGCTTTATCCACGGCATTGTTTGGTTACTTTCACCGATTGCAGTGCCAGGCATTGTGTAGCATCTAAGACTCAAGGCTGAAACCCTCATGGCCTCAGGTCGACAGAGGGCAGGGCCAGCCTGCGAGAACCGATCAGGGTTCCAGGACCAGAACTGTTGCCTTCAGACAGAACACCGAGACTACTCGGGCTTGATATTCGTAGAGCTCATACGCGGACGTGTGAATGCTCCAGTCGTCGCTGTGAACTGCACCTCGGGGAGAAAGACTCGTTTTCTTAGTGCACGTTCCTTTGTCCGCGGCGAACACAAGGCAGCGCAGGCCTATTTCTTTGGCGAGGCTGCGCCGCGAGTCTCAGATCGAGTGAGACACCACTGCCTCACTAGACAAGGTGAATAGACCTGCAACAACCACCTCTACTTCTTAGTTGAAGATCACTGACCTTCTTTAAGAGCACCATGCTGCTCGGCCCATCCTCCCCATCTGCATTGACTCCTCCCACAACCTTCCCACAGCTGTCTTCAGGCTCGCTTGACAGTCTCTTAGATCTTCCTTCTCCATCCGTCATCGGCAACAGATCAGGTCGCGTTTCGGTATCCCTGGAGGACCGAAAACAAGCTGCGAGTGCTGCAGAGAATCATCCGACTGCATTTGCTTGCCGACCGCCTGGATCTTGGAGATCTATAGAGCTAGCACCACAGCATCATGGACCAAGGCTGGTACCACTGGTCCTCTGAGCCGTCCTCCTCTTCCTATAACGGCAACGACTCGCTTACCGCCGCTATGCTAGCAGGAACCCAGCACTATCCAGTATACACGACGCTGCTGGCGCCCGAGTCTTTGGCCTCGTCACGATTGCCACCACCCAAGACGTCAGACAAGCCGTACCGGTTGAGAAAAGGTACCCGAGGGCACCAGAAGTCGAGAATAGGTACTCGGGGGTGCCAGAACCCTAACCCTAACCCTGAACCTACTAAGGTTAAGGATATCCCGACTTTCCCACGCTACGACGAACCTATCCCAGACGAGGCGTCCCTGGAGGAGATCTGCGAACTGTATCCAAACCACCTCCAAGGAAAGTATCTGGATGCCTTCATCCAATGGACCTGGACCGGACTTGACATATACAACCGAATGACGAAGAAGGCACTCCAACTGCTCGGACGCTACCGGATTGCGGGGAGCAAGGGTCACGGCAACCGAGCCAATTTCCTGGGCAAACGCCTCAAAGCCCGTATCAAGAGCATGACTGATGACGAGGTCAAGGAGCTGTGCGAGGCGCCTAAGATCCGTAAGGCCTTGAAGAATGGCAGCGATCGATACGGGGCTTGCAAGCTCGAAGGCAAATTCCCGAACCCCCTTGCTCAGAGAGTGCGGACGCTTCCTCAACGAAAAGGGAGGAAGATGCTCAAGGCACTACCGGCCCATGCCCCAGACGTGCAAGACCTGCGTGTTCAGGAATCAAGCAGTACCTTCAAAGAAAACTTGATCAAATTGGACGACTGCTGGCGTGAACAGTTGAAACATGCATATCGCATAATCGACATCGACGCCGAATCCCACAACGCCACAACCAGGCAGCACGAACTATGGGTTCTCGAAATCGTCCACCTAACAGCCACTCACAACTTGCTGCCGCTGTTCCACGTCTCCAGCAAGGAGAGGTACCTGGTGTTCGAAAAGTTGATCAACACCAAGGCTCATGACAGATTCACCGCCTGCAACCCTTCTGCGTCTGGCACTGACTGGTCGGCTGTTCTCAATACGCCTGAAGTGTATGCTAAATGGCAGACAGATGCTGCCGACATCATCCTTGCGCAACACCAGGATATGGCTGCGGAGCTCGGTGAGTTCGTGGAAGGTCTGAACGACGCGCGGCAGAGCGACAAGAAAGTACGGATACCCGGCCTCATCAAACGTGCTATCGAGACAACCGCGGACTTGGCAGCACAATTTTCCACTTCAACCAATACAGTACCTGAGCGACCTATCCAGCATCTTCAACCAATGCCTCAACCTCAAGGATATTATGTCTCTGCAAACATGATGCAATGGTTGGAGAATGTCTCGGCGGGAAGAGGCCCTAGTCCTGCCCAGCCCCTGCGATTCGTCCCAGAAAACATGGCTGGCCCAGCTGTGAGTGATGCCATGTTCATCGCAGATGCTGTCCTGCAGAGTGATGACAGCAGAGGTATGTGCTGGCACGGTGAGACTTTCGACGCAGGCGAAGCAGACCGACTTTCCCTCGATAGAAACGGAGCTGACGGAGGTTTAGTGATCCAAGTCCCACACCAAGGTCTGTCAGATATGGCTCCTTTTGACTATCAACGCTGCGAACTTGCCGTGGAAGACAATATGGACTTCTTGCTGGACACGGAGCTGGCATATTATGATGGCTTTTGACGGCTCTCCAGCAAGCTGTCGATCGATATCGAGAGGGGAGTGTGGGGAGTTTGTCCGTATCGATCGTGCAAGACGAGGGAGGATTGTTCGAAGATTCCCTAGAAAGAACCAAGTCATCGTCACGAGGATTTCGCTCTACAATGATCCCCTTACAAAGGATGGAGCTGAGTTTGCTGCAGCTGCATAGCTCGGCCACCAAGGGTCCTGCATCGACAAGAGGAGGAAATGAAGGACAGCAGAGCTAAAGGAGTATAGGACAGGATCCATATGAAGGCCATCTCGCTACTCCAGCAGGTTTGTGTTTTTCCCAGATTGCTTCCCTGCTCTGCACAGATCGGCACAGACAGCTGGCTGTAAATGTGTTCAGATCGGCTGGCTGCCGGTGACAATGGAGGATTCTTAGATCGGAACTGCGCTTCGAAGGAGGTCTCGTGTCAATAGATCGGCGAAGACAGCTGGCTGTCACGAAGTCAGTCATAGAGATCGTCTCACACAGATCGGTTTTCTTATAAAGCCCTGCAATAGACAAATGCCATCCATCACACTGAAAGACCAGCACTGCACAGCACAGGCCTGTCTCTGCTCTTCCTTCCTCCCATTTGAATAAAGGATCTCTGCAACACGGGAAGTAGAAGTGCTAACAATGCAATGCTTCAAGCTCCTTTGATCTGCGATATCGCAATGTGGGTAGGCTCTTTGCTCTTTGCTCTTCACCGCAGTCTGCAGTCCCTCAAAACGTGACCTGCCTTCACAGCACATTGACGTCAGGGGTCGTAGTGTATGCTTTCAGTGGAGAGTAAATATGGTTTGTCTTCTTCCACCACAATAGCCTGGGACCCGGAGATTAGCCGCTGCGGTCCTGCTCCTGACTCAATCACATTACCTGGCTTTTATTCATCGGTTACTCGGCGCCCCATATTGCCACTTGCCGCTCTCCACTTGCCACTTGCAGATCGTGTCATCTCCCCTGACAAACGCAGCCTCGTTGACTCTGAACAGGACGGCGCAAAGGGCTGTCACAGAGCCCATATCACCTGGTTTGGGCTCTGGTCACGGGGAGGTTTATGAAAACGAGAAATAGAATGAGGGCCAATCGGCCAGTCATGCTCAATCTCAAACGCCCGATGGCATTCTTTTTTTGGTCGAAGGCTGGAGACCGGCTCTCAGAGAAGGCACAAGGCTTGGTCGAACGCTCGATCGGGTTCCTGAAATCAAATCGTACTTTAGCCAGACATAGAATAGAACCCATGACCTTCTCGAAGTGAACAATGCCGTTCGAGCGTTGGTGTCTTTCGAGTGTGGCCTGCATTGTTCGTTTAACTCCTGCTCCAGGTGACGCCGACTAAGTTGAAATGTAGATTCGGTTTGCTGGGTGCTGCTCTGAATCGGGGTTCTGTAGGCTCTTGTCATTCTTCGCAGACCTTGCCTCAAATGCATATGCTATTATCCAAAGACCACAATAGCGTATTGATCGATGCTTTTCTGCCGGACCTTCCAGGCTGGTAAGGTATTCCGAGTACGTGAATCCGTGTACACTCCTATAAATCTTAGCCCAGTTGTTCCGCCGAGCCTCACCGTCTATCACCCGATCTCAACAGTGAGCAGCCACAAGAGTCAGGCTTTCACAAAGTATCTTTCTTGTATCACCCTCTTAATCCAGACAGGTTGGTACAAAGAGACACAGGAAAATCTGTCACGACAGGAAACAGTGGTGTCGATCTTGATAGATCGGCTCGATATCAACCTACCATCCATCACCAGCCTGCACAGATCAAGTTGTTTGACACTGTCTTCCAGCGTCAGCCCGTTCAGCTCTTTGTGACAGGGTCAAAGGCAGCCGCAATCACTGGCAACATGGATCCGTCTAACCCTTTTGACTTCCCATTCGATGGTAAGCAAGACAACAGTGTTCTTCTCTGTGATTCCAAGCCTGACGAGCCAGACCCAGAGACAATCCCGACACTGTGGCCAGACGATGAATTCCCTGCTGGCATTGTGGCCGATCCAGATCCCAACAAGGGAGCCATACAAGATCCAAATGACCCATCTTCCTCAGCACATCCAACAGACGGCGATGCCAACACTGAACAGCAGTATCTCAATCCTGAGATCGGCAGTTGGCCAGATGTCCAAGACCCGGCCCTCGACCAACCGGGGGACGAAACAACCTTCACGGAAGGCAATCCTAGTGGTGTGTATGGCCATGCAAACTTCCACACCATCGAGTTTCCAGATTTCGAAGAGCAGATTGAATGGAGAGGTCAGCCAATTGGGCTCCCCACAGACACCGCTGGCTATGCGAATCCTTTCCCACAGTTCGATACAAGTATCGATCCAAACATTGAGGGAATGGCCATCCAGGGGGGCCAAGCCACCTCGCTTTTAACGAACAATGCTTTCAATGAGCTCGCTTTGATTGGGCCGGGCCCTGCAATTGCCGAGTTCGAAAGCCCTGGGGGCTTGCAACCAGCTAGTGGTCAGGATGACATGAGATATCCAAACGATTTCATGAACCAGTGGGTATCTTTCGCTCCAGATTTGTCCGCCAACGACAATGCCAACACACTCCCACTCGAGTATGGAGTCGAAAACGAGGAGACTGTTGAGGGAGCTCTGCCGTCCAGAGCAATATATCAGGGTCAAGACGTACCACTCGCTTCCACATACAGCACGTCACTCCCAAACCCGACGATACAGTATCCATTAGCACCCAGCAGCATCATACCGGTGCAGGGAAATCCTGCCCAGGATTCACCACAGGCACCGCTGGCCAGCAGTGGAGCTGGACCAGGCATTGCTCAAGGTGCTGGACCAGGCACTGCTCAAGGTGCTGGACCAGGCACTGCTCAAGGTAGTGGGACTGATGGTAGGAGGCGAGCGTTTTCCAACAATCCACGACTCCCCCGTGTGCGCGATGTCATGCCGAGGTCGGCGCCTCACCAGAGGCTATCGACAAACTTGGTGCCCTCACAGCAAGCCATCACGCTTGGTCGTGGCAGAAATTCGGGTCTGAACCAGCTTGCTCTGTTCGGGTTGGACGATGTCCCCAGGACAATATACCCCTTGGAAGTCCACAGAGGACGTATGGGCCGTGCTTCGTCATCACAGTATCCTGCGGCAGACACGATCCTGCCTGCAAGGCTCTCATTGCAGGAAATTTGTAAACAATACCCAAACCACGTTTGGGGCTCGCTGCTCCGCATTTTCATCGCGGAAGGCTGGACCGCCGAACAGATCTGGCAGGAGTTGCCGGAAGACTATCGCCACAACGAAGCGACCACCAGGCCGTGGAATTACATACAAGCAGCCTTTGGTCGCGAAACGGACCAAATGACTAAAGAGGAGACAGGACAGAAGCGAGTGCCAGCGAAGAGAAAGAAGGACGACGGCGATGATGACCTTCCTCCTCTCCCTCTCCCAACCACACGCCAGCTAGGACTGCCACCATTGCCCTCTGGGCCGGCCATTCCTGTTGTCCCTTCGCTTATGAACCCTGTCCTGGCTCCTCAGTCTGTGACTGCTTCTGCTCCGATACCGACTGCTTTCGCTGCCCCTGTTCCTATGGCTATGCATATGCCAGCCCCAGCAATGCAGCATCAGGAGGACAGCATGACTGTCCAGCAATTGCAACAGAATGTCACCCAGCAAAGAGATAGGATCATGGAGATTCTATTGCAGATTGAAAGGATGAGAACTCAGAGCACGTCCGAGAACGTGACAGTTCAAGCAACCGTGATCGAGTACAGAAACCGTCAGGATCGGTGGATTCAGTCCGTGGCGGCTCGCTTTGGTCACCTAGCCCCAGGAGAAGACCTCGGAAGTCTCAATATCGTCGACCTGATTCGGAGAGTATTCGAGATACAGAACCCGAACTTCTCAGCCACTGAGACATTCCTGAGCTATCAAGCCAGGACTACCTGGTTCGCATGGAGACAATACCTTCGCTTGGTAACGTTGTGGGCCCGCGACTATGAGCAGATGCGGGATGAGATGGTGCAACTGGCACATGAGATCTATGGCTGATATCTCGCCAATAGAGGACAGGGGATGAGAATAGGGGTAGGGATAGGGGGGAAGCAGGGGGGGTGGATTGCCATGGAACCTGATGATTGTTGAGCGCGAGCAAGTGGATTTTTAGCATCGCGACAGGTGGAACTACCACTTCGGTAGCATCGAGTTATTATGGCATGGTCATAGTAGCCATATGGCTCTGCGATGTCAAGCAGTGCCTGGCTGGTGGATGGCCATGAATTGAAAGCACGATCCTGACATGCGTTTCCATCCCTTGACATGCTTGAGATTTTAGATGAGGTTGAAGTAGCCTCGTCGGCAAAGTTGCCCAGCGTCCGTAAACGGCTTAGCTCCACTTCGGCAGATAGTTATTCCGATCCGATGATTCTTGCCGGATCTTTCTGAGGTGACCGCCTAGAATTGATAAGGATATCTACCAAGATACTTTGACCGCGTGTTTTTCAGCCTATATCAAACCTCCCTGTTGGCCGCTATGGATAAGCAGTTTGATACACGTGCGTTCAAGGTGCCCGCCTCTGATATTATAGCCCTAGATACTTGTTTTCCGGTGACCTGCTGTAGCCATCCGAATATCATACTCTTCTAGCTATTGACGGCCACTGCTTATATCGTACTATATAACTCACTAGGATTCTAGGGTCCATCATGTGTATCATACTACTTTATATTTCTAGATCTCGGTGACTACTGTTTATATTCTCGTGTGTATCAACTCTAGGCCTGGATCTCCACCTTTGCTATCGTGTACCTGATTGGCTTTAGACCAGGGCGCACCCCATATACTGGGTTGTAATCTGTATGGATTTTTTACATCTTAGCCACTAGAGTCACCCACATCTGCACTGGTCACTTCTCCAACAGGTGCCGTCGGCAGTCCGGCCCCGATCTTGACTTCGAGAATCGCACATCTACCGCCCTTGACCGCATCCACGGCCTTGGGCAACTCCGCGAGTAGTTCCGCTATCGTAGAGATAGTCGCTGCCCATGCATGCCCACCGCTTGCTGCCTTGGCGAGGCCGGCATAATCAGGTGTCGGCTCGAAGCTGATATTCAGGGCCTTGTTGTCGACTTTGCTGCCCTCGCCATGCGGGTGGACTAGGAGCATGGACTTTCTCGGTGCATTCCAGCCCTTGTTATTCAGGACAATGGTTAAGATCGGGATGTCGTAGCGCTGGGCGATCCAGTACACAGACCCAGGCACGGAGAACAAAAAGCTGCCGTCTCCTACGATCTGACATACAAATTTGCCTTTGTTGGTGCCGGTGCGATCACCCGACTGCATGTCTCGGTTCTCGTAATCGGATGCGAGTTTTATTCCCAACGCTCCACCGCCGGACCATCCAAGGCCACCACCGCCACAATTGATCCATGATTTCGGGAGTACGGGTGCAATCTGGTCGGCGATAAAAGCGGTCAGAGTCACGGCTTCCACGGCAAAGATGGTGTCCTCCGGCACAGTCGCTCTGATCTGTCCACCCAGGACATGGGGGTCGATGGCGGTGTTGTGAGGATCCGAAGGGATTTTAGCCAGTCCCTTGAATTGACTCCACCTCGCGGTATGAGCTTCTTGTCTCTTTCTGCGGGCTGTAATGTGGGCCTCGTCTGACAGTGCTGCACTCAGCTCCGAGTTCGAGGCAAGATAATCGTTGAGTTGAGTAAATGATGTAGTGGAGTCCACCTTGAACCGAGCATAGGCTGGAATATAGAAGACGGGCATCTGTTGTTTCAAAGGATCCACATCGAGATGGACGATCCTCGCATCATCTCTGGGCTTGCATTGGGTCGGTATCCAAGGCACATCGCAGTCGACCACGAGAATGAAATCGGCGGTGGCGATGGCTGGATCAGAACCGTACCTCAGACCCAAAGCTGCCGGGTGATCGGCCGGAAAACACATGTCAGAACCACCTGTGTCGAGGACCCGGAGTCCGGGGATTTTGTCTGCTAACGCAACAGCTGCGGCGACTGATCCTGGATTTCGTCCAGTGTATCCCACAATGAGTAGAGGCTCTGTCGCCTTGACGAGCTCATGGGAGATCATTTTGACAGCATCCGGTGGTAGTTCGCCGAGTGATACTGCCTTCCAGACCTCTTGGTTTAAGTGATAGGGCTCAATGTCTTCCTCCATTGGCTCTCGCGCACCACAGATGTATACCGGCCCTTGGGGATCACTGGTTGCAAACTGCAAAGCGCGGTTGACGATCTGCTTGACATTACGGCCGGCCTTGATCTCGCCCGTATACCTGCAATATTGCGCGACGATCTGCTTTTGATCAGGGACATCTTGAATCCAATGGATGTATTCTGTTCTTGAACCACGGTATTCCCCCTCGATTGTATAGGGAGACAACCCGGCGAAGATGAGAACCGGTGCTCGCCCACAAGAAGCATTGTGAACGGCCGCAGCCAGACCCTGTGTACCAACATCGACGTGCACGATAACGCACTGCGGTTTGTTGCTCAATCTTGCCATGCCATCTGCCATCGAGAGGGCTACCATCTGTGTACATGTATTTCAGCATCGCGTCCAACTCTTTGTGCCATGTCTGCGTACCTCGTTTGGGCAGGTGATGATTCGAGGGAAGCTTCCTTTCTTTTCATTTTGACCTTTGACAATTGCTTCGATGATAGAGGGGTGGTCGGAGCCTAGGTTCACGAAGACATGAGTGATGCCAGCCTGGGAACTAGTCAGTCAAACGTTGGCTCAACAAGGAGCAATTGTAGGGGAAACGAGCCTCCCAGATGGCCTCAAAGAAGGCAAAGGATGTGCTGTAAGCGCTGTTGGACTATGTCAGTACGAAAGATAACATCTCAGGGATTAACGGCCTTTGCTATACGATGTAGATGTTGCTAGTCCGACGGATCCCATTTCGGACGCTGGATTGCCAGCCGGCCTGTGTATTGTTGTGTTGTTATGTTGCTTTGTTCAATCGAGTGTATTCAGATTGCCTGACGACACTGTCCTTTCAAGTGAGTTCTGCCTGGAAGGTAGGATATTTACGGACGGGCATGGGATCTCAGACGGCGGGACCTAACTTGGAGTAGCAAGAATCGCAAACATTAATACTGCTCACACTTTAAAACAAGAGGCAGCAATTAGGGTTTGCCGACACCATGCGACACTGCTCCGTTGTGTGGGCTTCAAGCAATTGCGTGCCAGCCAAACAGAAGGGGAATATTCATGTCACCCTTGCGTTGTGGCGCGTTAATCCATCTTGTGACGAAGAACGGCCCATTCACTAGTGAGGACAGATGGGATAGACGAGCAGATATAGCATTGGCGGAAGGAAAAGAGGTGGAGGGGAAGAGGAGGATAGTCGGTCGATCGAGAGCTGCCTAAGAACCCTCTTGAGTCCTTACCCTCCTCAGCCCCTCTCTCGCACCTGCGCTCTGTGGGGTTCCGGGGAGCCTCGGTCTTCCAGGCTGCTCCACCAACCAACAGTCGCCCGGCACCCGATGTCGGCATCTGCTTTCTTCCATATACGGTGGACGGGTACGAGTACGGAGTGCAGAGTGGAAGGTTCAAGCTTCACTTGGGAGAAAGTTCTAATGATGTAGTCCGTAGCACACCTAAGGTACGCCGCCCACAGTCCAATTGTATGTGAGGTTGACGGACCAATCATAATGTTTGAATCCTGCTGCTCATTACTAGGACCTAAGGCACGCGCCAAGCCACTTTACGCGCGACGCGTCGACAGCGCGCACCGTGTCATGTCACACCTGATCTCTGATCTGCCTCCTTGAAGCAGTCAGGGACACCAGGTGAACGTGAACGTTAACGTTCTTAATCCCCCATTCCAAGGATCACCAATACTCATATCAATACCGATCTCGAACAGAAACGCCGTTGAGACCCGCGCAGCATGGCGCTCACCATCACCCAGCTTCGCGATGAAGCCATCCGTGACAGGATCCGACTTGCCACGGAATTCCTCGACCCGACCGACGCTACAGCTAGATCGTACCGCGCTGACATTGTATTGATGCTGAACCGTGGCCTGCGTCGACTGGTGGTCAGCATTGACGACATCCGAACCCATTCACGAGAACTTGCCGACGGCATCCTCTACACACCTTTTGACTATTCCCCGGCGTTCGACAAAGCCTTGAAGAACATAATTGCCACGATCCCCAATCGGGCCCCATTTGAACAAGACGAAGACAGATTATACTATGTGGCATTCTCCGGGTCCTTTGGAGAGACTACTTGCAATCCCAGGACGCTGGGAAGCGCCTTGCTCAACAGGATGGTGTGTCTGGAAGGAATTGTCACCAAGTGCAGTCTTGTCAGGCCGAAAGTCGTCAAAAGTGTACACTGGAACGAGAAGACACAAAAGTTTCTGTACCGAGAATACAGGGATCAGACAATGAGTGCAAACGCACCTGCGAGTCTCAGCGTCTACCCCCAAGAAGATGGGGACGGGAATCCGGTAAGGAAATCCAGACAGGTCTTCCACATGACATGCTGAATCCCTCCTAGTTAATCACCGAGTATGGATACTGCACATATCGAGACCATCAGACCATCAGCATACAAGAAATGCCTGAGCGGGCGCCTGCCGGTCAGCTACCTCGCGGCGTGGATGTCATCATGGACGACGACATGGTGGACCGTGTCAAGCCCGGCGACCGTATCCAGCTGGTGGGGATTTTCAGGTCTCTCGGTAACAGAAACGCTGGATCAGGATCATCGATTTTTCGCACGCTGATTCTGGCCAACAACGTGGTGCTACTGTCATCCAAATCAGGAGGCGGGATTGCTCAAGCCACAATCACGGATCAAGACGTCAGGAATATCAACAAGCTGTCCAAGAAGAGCAACGTCTTTGAGTTACTCTCACAGTCGCTTGCACCCAGTATCTACGGGCATGACTACATCAAGAAAGCGATTTTGCTCATGTTGCTGGGCGGGATGGAGAAGAACCTGCCGAATGGCACTCACTTGAGAGGTGATATCAACGTGCTCATGGTCGGCGACCCGTCAACAGCAAAGTCCCAGCTTCTGAGATTTGTCCTCAATACCGCGCCCTTGGCGATTGCCACGACCGGGCGTGGCTCTTCTGGCGTCGGTCTCACTGCGGCAGTGACGTCCGACAAAGAAACCGGAGAGCGACGACTTGAAGCCGGTGCCATGGTCCTGGCAGACCGAGGAGTCGTCTGTATCGACGAGTTCGACAAGATGAGCGACATTGATCGTGTAGCGATCCACGAAGTCATGGAGCAGCAGACCGTCACCATCGCCAAGGCGGGGATTCACACCTCGTTGAACGCCAGATGCAGTGTGATTGCCGCAGCCAATCCCATATTTGGCCAATACGACAGCAACAAAGACCCACACAAGAACATTGCGCTACCGGACTCTCTGCTCTCTCGTTTCGACTTGCTTTTCATTGTCACCGACGACATTGACGACAAACGGGACAGATCGATCTCCGAACATGTCCTCAACATGCATCGCTACCGCCAACCGGGCACGGAGGAGGGGGCTCCGATCCGCGAACAACCGAATCAGATTCTTGGAATCGGTCTCCAGGAAGAGCAAAGCTCGACTCAGTCGACAGAAGTGTACGAAAAGTACAATGCCATCCTGCACTCGGGCTTCTCCATCGCGGGCAGAAACCGAAGGAAGCAAGTGCACCCAGTCAGCATGCCGTTCATCAAGAAGTACATCCAGTACGCCAAGAGCAGATGCAAGCCGGTCTTGACCCAGGAAGCCAGCGAGTACGTGGTGAGCGCCTACTCGAACCTGCGCAACGAACAGATCAAGGCAAACGAACGACGAACCAGTCCCATCACCGCACGCACGCTGGAGACGTTGATCCGTCTGTCCACTGCCCATGCCAAGGCGAGGCTGTCGGGCCGAGTGGAAGAGAGCGACGCCGTCGCAGCCGAAGAGATTCTCAAGTTTGCCCTTTTCCGCGAAGTCGCTGTCAAGGAAGACGGGCGGAAGAAACGCCGCAAGACGCGCGATGCCAACGACGGGAGCTCCTCCGACGACGACTCCTCCAGCGAGGGCAGTAGCAGCGATGACGATACCCCATATCGCGGCACGAGATCTTCAGCTACCACTGGCAGTGGCAGGGGCTCCAAACCACAGACGAGAAGCCAGCGATCCGCCCGTGCCAACGGGTCTACCAATGGCAGAGGTCCGGCGCGGACGAACGGCCGTGCAGATGCCCAGCAGGACAACTCGGACGATTCGGACGCGCATGACCCCCAGCCACAGACCGGCGCCGAGTCGCAAATGTCTCGCATGAGCATCGCCAGCTCGCTACCGAGTTCGCAGCTCCCGTCGACCCAGACCGACTCGCAGTCGCAAGCGCAACGGGCCGCCACGCCCGAAGAAGAAGAAGATGATGCACCGACCATCTCACAGCCACGTCTGGCTTCTTTCCGTGCCGTCCTCGGCTCGCTGGCGCAGACGTCGCTGTTCGAGAACGACATGGCTACGGTGGCCGACGTCGCCGCCGCAGTCAATCATCGCATGTCCGAGAGGGACGAGGCCGAGTTTTCCGACCTCGAAATCACCGCCGCACTGAGGTCGATGGCAGAGGCGAACAAGATCATGTTCTTGGAGGACACCGGTGAGGTCTACACGTTGTAGGCTTCACGTGAGGCTAGGGGCCTGCAGAGTATAAAGGCATCACTGATGGCTTTTCACGATGGGACGCATGCACGCAATCTGCTTTTTTGCTCTCTCTTTTCCTTTGTATTAGTTATGTTTTGTTATGGGATGAAACGGTGCCACGCAATACAATACAATACAATGCTTAATTGAGATCCTCACCTGTCTATGTCGCTACCCGATGGCGAGGCGCATATGGTGCTAGTCTGTCTGTACGTACCCGCTTTACACGAGTTGGCGCGTTGGTTGGCGTGTCGACATGATCTCGACCTACTGTAGCATGCCGTACTAGGCCCCACAGGCTAGCCCTATACAACAAGAACACATGCTGATAGACCGATCCGCGTCCTCGAGATTCGATTGGGGATGGGAAAGTCAAATAGGAGAATTAATATCGATGATTGCTTGATTCTTTGACTGAGTACTGGTGAGTAACTGAATTGGATGACTAACTACTTGCAGCGAGCAACTCGTCCGCTCTTGCAAGGATGCTAACACCGGACACTTGGTCCTGCTACGCTCCTGACCTCCACTGGGAATGGTGCACCTTGGGGTCACTGATAACTTCTATGGCCCGGATCCCGAACTTATTTGCAATTGCCAAATCCAATTCCAACAGGACGTCCATTGATTGAGGCTTGTTCAAACCTAAAAGACGGAGCCCTTGCGCTCAGCCTCGGCGATGATTTCGCTGTTGAGCACACCGCCCTCGCCACCCATGTGATGGGCGAAAGTCTTTGAAGGTTTCCACTTAGAGGATGTTCGAGGAGTGGATTCTTCCATCATCTTGTCAATTTGCTCGAGCGACAGGCCCTTGGTCTCCGGGACGAGGAAGTAGGAATACACAAAGGCTGCGGTACAGAGACCGCCCCAGATGAAGAACACCGATGAGCGCAAGTTGCCGTGTTTTGGACCGACCATGTAGGGAGTGATGACAGCAATGATCTGGATTCAATATGTTAGCACGAGACAAGAAGACAGGGAGGTTGGCACCTACAGTATTCCACAGCCAGTTAGAGGCAGTCGACAGACCAACGCCACGTGATCGAATGGGGAGAGGGAAGATCTCGCCAATAAGAACCCAGGCACCGGGACCCCAGGTGGAGGCGAAGAAGAAGATGAAGATGGCAATAAAGGCAATCTGGGCGTTGACTGCCGGGATGTTGTTGGCACGGCTCTCGCCGGCAGCATTGAGGTGTGTCTTATTGAAACCCACGGTCACGCCAATGATGGCGACGAGAAATTGGCAGATCAGCATACCGAAGGCACCACCGATCAGAAGTGGGCGGCGGCCGAATCGCTCGACGGTGTAGAACGAGATCGGGGTCGAGCAGACATTGACCAGAGTGAAGATCAGCGAGATCAAGAAAGTGTTGGAGATGGCCCCGGTGGATTGCAGGAAGGGAGTGGAATAATAGAAGATAAAGTTGACACCCGTCCTATGCGGGGACCCAATGTCAGCTGCGTCTTGGCCGCTACGGCGAGGGTGAAACTTACCATTGTTGCATCATCTGGAGAGAAGTACCCAGAATCGTCCGGCGGAGATTGGATCTTTGATCTCGGAGACCGCCCTTGAAGCAGTTTGCCCAGCTGGAGAACCAGCCAGAACTAGGAATGATCTGTCGCTCATACTCGTCGTTGGCGATGATCTCGGCCAGTTCCACTTGAATGTACTCCGAGTCGCTAGGCTGGCCACGCAGCCGAGACAGAGAGTCAATAGCTCTCTGGATGTGCCCTCGTTTGACATGGTATCGGGGCGAATCTGGCAAGAACACCAAGCCTCCACCAAGGATCATGGCCCAGATGAATTGGATGGCAATTGGAATGCGGTAGGCGCCTGTATTGGTGCGGTTCTCTGTGCCGTAGGTCACGCACGCGGCCAGGAGCAAACCGATAGTGATGCAGAATTGGTAGCCGGACACCAGGGCGCCTCGAACCTTCTTAGGGCACTATCGACAGACCGCATTAGCCGGAGGCTTTTGGAAAAAGAAGACTGTGAGACTTACGATCTCGCTCATGTAGAGAATGACGACTGCGCTTTCAAATCCTACTCCAAATCCTGCGACCAGACGGCCGGCAACGATGACGCCGAGTCCATGACCAGGTCCGGTGGCCATCTGAATGATGACGCCGAGGGCATAGATAACACAGCCCATGATGACGGTCCATTTTCTTCCAATGATATCGGCAACGTCGCCGGCAATGAGAGCACCAAAGAAGGTTCCGCAGGACAGGATGGAGACGATCAAAGACTGGTGGGACGAAGAGAGGGCGGTGGCATTAGGGCCTTCGATGACATGGATAAACTCCTTGCAGCCGTTGATGCCGTTGATGTAACCCGAGTCGTAGCCAAAGAATATGCCTCCGAATGAGGCGAAGGCGCAGATGAGGTAGGCCTTCCAGGTGACGGGGGCCTCGATGCGGTTGACATCGGTGGTGGTAGAGAGGCTGCGGATCTCGCCCGGCATGTTGAAGGGACTGGGGACTGTGTTTGTCCTTAGGTCAAGGCTTCACAAGGCAGAAGAGCAGAGGCAGAGATTGCTGTTGGCAGACACAGAGGAGAGGATCAGCTCACGAGAGCAAGAGCAAGAGGCAGATGCAGAGGCGGAGGCGGAGGCGGAGGAGGGGGCAGGCGGGATTCTTAAAACAAAGAGCTTGGGGACAACAGCTGCGGTGCTCAACGCGAAAGGACAACCAAGCAGCTGCGTCTCCGTCCAGGGTCTGCGATGACACGCTGGGAGGGACGAGTTCACTGTACCGTCCGCCAGGTGATCGCAGAGGAATTCCTAATGCGACAAGGGCGCGGCGGTGTGATTGGGCCTCGCGTGTAGACAAGGAATTCCAGTGGCATTGACTGCCTGCTCCCAGACTTGGTTGCCCTCTCACTGGGTGGAATTCGCAAAGCCACCGAGTCACGAGTCACGATTCACAATTCACAGTCATTCACAGGGTGTCATCGACTGCAAATTTCGAAGGCGTCTGGGCCGGGGGGGACAAAGGTTTCATTGTCTCATTGCTGGATGGAGGCCCGATTGCACGCACGATGATGCCTCGACCGCGTCAATCGCGGAGAAGCTGCCACCAGGCCAGGGGACCGTCGCCTTCTTTTCGCATACAAGCATCAGCCCCGGCAGCCCATCAGCCCATCAGCCCGTCAGCCCACCCCCCCGCAGGCCCAAGGCCCAAGGCCCCTAAGCCTAAGGAGCTATAGCCAGAGCCGGGGACGACGCCACAGGTCCTACTGTAAGGGCTTAGGGGCTGCCTCTAGCCAGATTGCACGCTGCTACTGGATCCCCAGGCACCGCTAGTATCTGGCTGATTTTTCCTCCTTTCCTCCTCTAGGCTTCCCCAGAACCTACCTAGGTAGCCATGGCGCCGCATGACAACACCTCCTCACTTCTACCCAGCGTTTTGATGCCCCCGAACATGCCTCTCCTTGCCGATGTTACAGCATAGCACACTTCGCTGCTCATCGAACACGGTCCTCCTTCCGTCGAGGGACAGACATTGGACAGAGCTTGGCCCACGAGGGTTGAGGGACTCGCCGAAAGAACTTCAAAAGCTGGAGAGTGACAATAGACACAGTGGCGCACTTGATTGGAGAGACGGAAAATCGCATGCTATTACCTCTCGAGTCTCAACAGCTACTCGTACGTACTCCGTGATCGACAAGCGGGACCCATGATGTCCATGGCCAGCTGTCACCTTGGTTCCCTGGATCCAATGGGCGAATGGACGTAGCCACTCCGCTCGCTTTCACATTCGACCTGCGCAAGGATGGCAGCTCAGGAAGCTACTGTAGCCAAATTCATGGGTCAGCTGCCAGGGAACTCACTCCCACCTCCGCCGGCAAAAGTCCCAATCTGGGTAGGTCCCCGGGCAGCTGCCTCAGGAGCAATGTCACCAATGTTACTCTGGATGCGACCGAAGTCCAAGATCAGATTGCGGGCTGTGGCCCTCCTATCCGCAGTGGAGTACGAGTTCCCTTCTATTCTACCGCCAGCCTGGTCCTCTAAAGTATTCCGCTCTCATGGTTGCACCACCACATAGCTATCCGACAGGGGCCAAGGGAGGCAAGATCTCAATACGATGCGGATCCTTTCTTCAGCTGCGCCTGTAAAGATATTGCCACACCGATGGTACGTTTGCGGAACGACCTCGGATGGGAAGACGACTCCTGGCTGACGTTGTTGCGAAAGTGGCTGGAGACCCCTCCAAAAAAAGACCAAGACGATGCGACAATAGAATAAGATCGGGGAAACCTCGCAGATTTGCGCCCAATCGAGATGGTGCTGCTCCAGTGGAGAATGGATCACTGAGATCTCTCGAGTCTCTACCCACCTTGCCTGGTGACCACGGCGTGTTCGTGTCTGGTGGAGGGTGGAGAGGGGGACACGGTGGAGTTGGCAAATCCAGACACAGACACCGCTGTCTCTCCTCTATGTTTGGTTGTCATTCAAGTCAGCACTGACCGTCGCGCGCTTCTAGAAGGATTCGAAAGCGCTATGTGACGATGCTTACACATGTTCTGTGCACATGGTGCCAACCGCCCACAACACCCATCCCGAACCGAGGTCGTTGGATCTTGATTCTGTTCGAGATTGAGGGGAGGAGAGAGGGGCTGGTCTGGAGCAGATGCTGATTGAGTCTGGGTCTGATCAAAGAACAACGGGCGACACCCTGTGGCTGCAGCACCTTGGAATCATGATCCATCTGTGTTGCATGTGACTGCAAGTCATTTTCATCTGACCAGCATCAATTAACTTTTTATCTTCATTGCCACCTAGCCAGCACCCCTTCCTAGGGAGTCACTCGTCGCCAAATCCTTTCGCCGCGGTCTCCGACAAACACACAGATACATGCGCCTGAGGTACGCAGTACAAAGGGAACATTACGCTTGTGCCCTTCCCTTCTCCTTGATCTCTCTCTCTCTCTCTCTCTTCCATATCTGGATATTTTACTGTACCCACTGGCACACCATTACATAATGGGTGCTACATGCCTTCTGATCAGCTAATACTACGGAGTACAGCACTAAAGTACTTCACATTATGGTCCGGCCGCAGAAACTATACAAGTGGGGTCAGGGTCAGCTATTAAATCTGTCTCCACAAGACATCTCAGATGATAGCTTCACGCTTTTGGTGCGCTTCAAGCTGTCCACCATGGAAGCACGTTTCGAGATCATCACCTCAGGAACAAACGTCGTTGGCATGATTATATTATTGGACTCCCCTCATGAGAGAGAGACAGGCATCGCAAGCCATCCGTTCCCGCTACAATTGATTTGACCATGGCAACACTCTAGGTCGTGAAAAACAACCACGCACTGCTGGTCGCAGATATGATGCATTCGTTTCATCTTAGTAAGGCTTCAGCTGCCAAGGAGTATGCTGTATAGAGGCAGTCCGGATTCCAGGTTCATCAAAACCTCCCCAAAACCTCCCAATCTTTTCTACCGACCAAAACTCCCCTTGTATTAGCGTGTCTAGGCGTCCACCCCAGGACATGACAAGTGAATAGATCACAGCTGACCAGACAAAATCGCTTCAGTAGCTGTAGACAAAGGTTAGTGAGGAAATCAGAGCTGCATTCAAGGTTAAACATACCACTTCCAATATACGCCCGCTTCGCATCCAAATTGACGTTGAACCGCCGCTCCAGTTCCTGTTTGATGCCCTTCTTCGTCACTGTCATCAGATCGGCCGTTCTCAAAATGTCCCGAATCTCGTTCAGGAGCAGGTCGTCTGTGGGCAAACCGGTCAAGTCGGACATTTCCATGTCTGCCACCGATCGCCCACTTGGCACCATGCCACTGCCTAGCATCTCTGACGGCGCCAGTGACAGCCTGGACTGACTGTGTCCACCATCATAGACCGGCAGGTGAATGCCAAGCTGGGAGACAGACCTAGACGGTGGCATGAGATGCTGGCTTTCGGTATATCCCCCGCCGTAGACAGATCCGGTCGGAAGATATGACTTGGTACCATAACTGTAACCTGACACCTCGGATTTCGCATCGTCTCGTTGCGTTTGTGCATCCCAGAGTTCCGCCTGGTACTCTTCCCATTTCTTCTTCGGAATGGAATCGGGGTCAAACTTGCCCTCATCGGAGAGCAAGATCTGCTTTCCATGCTCGCCCGTGACCAGACGAGTGTTGCCCCAACTGAAGTCGTCCATGTGCCAGAACGCGTACAACGGTAGGCCGAAGGAGAAAACAGGCATCGCCAGAATGTATACTATCATCCAACCAATCATTTCCCACTTGCGACGAAGGATGAAAATGATCGCTTGCAGACCATAGATTGCACCGAGCAGGATAAACGCTGTCAATGGTATCACATCGGACGAAGTGGCAAGTATAACGATCAAATATACAATGTACGCCACCGTGACGGGCGCAACAACGGTGGATAAGAGGTCGAGGAACACAACAAACCGCATGCTAAAACAGCAAAAGCCACAGAGTTGCTGCAAGGGAATCAGTTCGATCAAGTTGTGGACCGTACTGTTGATCCATCGACGCCGTTGAGACATGAAGACCTTCCAGCTGTCGGGGGCAACAGTCCAGGCGTGGGCATGGAAGATGTACTTTGTCTTGTACTTGGAATGATGCTTCATCAACAAAGTGGTCAAGTACCTATCTTCACCAAGGTGGAGCAGGTTCTTCATGTGCAATGTGTCGACCCGGATCTCCGAGTAGTCTTGAATGATTTCCTTGCTGACAAACAGGGGTTTGCCCGTCTCGGCGGCCCGAATGCGATACATAGTGAAACAGCCAGGCAGACACGTCACAGATCCGAATAAAGATTCGAAAGCCTTGGTAAGGTTGTGGGAGATGTAGTACTCGTACACCTGTATCATGGTGATAAAGGATGACTTGGCGTTGGAGAGAGACGTTTCGCCGCACACGCCAATCAGACGGGTGTCGCGCAGGAATGCCGAGACCATCCGCGTGGCAGAATCGGGAGCAACGACCGTATCGGCGTCGATCTGGAGCATGAACTCGTAGAAGGTCGGATTCACACCGATGATGTTGCGTATCTGGTGGTGCATCTCCAGCTCCAGTGGACTCATGGGCAGATTATAGTGAGTCCGATGGAGGAAGCGCATGATGACCATCTGGGAGTCACGCTTGCCTCTGTTTCCAGGCCTGGATACTTCCGAGGGCTTTCCGATCTTAACAACCACCATGAAAGGCACGATGTGTCCCTGTACCTCGTAAAGACCCGAGTAGACTTTGCCCATGTTGTGTTGCTTCATGCCTTCGCCAAGGGACTCAAAGCTGAGTGGCTCAGGGTCGACCGTTTCCGAAACGCCCAAAATGTCCAGGACAATGCGAGGTGTCGGCCGGTCGTTCCCTTGGCCGATAATCATTCCGTCACATACCACAATGAGTAGTTTGCGTTTGTCGTCATACCGCATCCGCGCGGCAGAGTCGATAGCTCGGCGAAGAGATTCCTCATCTTCTGTATAGGCCGGGACCTGGCAGATGACGAACTTGTCCAGATTTTCAGGCACATTTTTGCCTCCAAATTGGAGTGCGGCGAAGAACTTGAAGCCGATAACGCTGCAAAGTAGGATCGATATGGCGAGCAAGATGTATCGGGCAAAAAGGCACTGGGCCGAGTTTCGAGTGTCCGTCACCCCTACGAAGAACAAGTTGTCGAGACAAGTCTGCATTTGGTTTCGTAGAGTCGAATCGATAGGAAGTGCGTTCCAGTACTTGGTGACGTCGTGGCCGGCTCGCTGAGTGAAGAGATCGACCACCAGTGAGTCCATGAAATCTGTGTCAACTCCTGATGGCACTTTTTCACCCGGGGGAGCCCGAACGCTGCGCCCGCCTTGATTGTAGGTGGTAAAGTCGTACACCCTGTCGTTGAGAATCGCGATTGACTTGGATTTTTTGGCGAGGGTCTTGACATACTGAGGAGTGTATCCAACGCTACCCTTTCGGAAATTGGCCTTTAGCATAATCATCTGCTCGAAGAACCAATCTGGTCGACTATCGTTGGTGAAATAGCGAAAATCATGGTACCGCCGGTTCGGGTCGGCCGAACTGATGACGCTGGCAGTGCCGCTGATGTTGGTCGCCGTGTAGTCAAGCTGGACAGTCGGGTCTACTCGACCGTCTTTGCCCTGGCAGAGAGCCGAGACTTGGATAGGAAATAATCCAGTGGCATCAACACCAGCATATTTCTTAAGCGAGCTTGAGGGGATGATTGAGGGATAGTGGTTCGGCATGAAAGCACCCAGATCGAACACTTCTCCTCGGATAGCCACATAAGCGCTATGCTTGCCCTTGCCATCATGCGATGACAGCTCGGCTGCCGAGTACACATGCTGCTTCGGACAGATCAATTCAGGGAAGATGATGATGAAGAAAACCACGAAGCCGCAACTTAGCCAGATCAGAAGGTTGATGGCAAATTTTTCTCTCCAGGCGGTTCGAACATCCTTTCGTTTCATGCCACCAACCCACTTGACCGCAAAATCTGGCAGGTACCAGGTAAGGAAGTAGACAATGGCAAGCCATCGCTTTCGGCTGGAGGAGACCGGCACAACATCGACTTCTTCCATCTTCTTCTTATTGCCTTTCTCGGCCAGTTCCTCCTTGGTTTCGAGATTGCGGAACATATCCCCTGAATGGAATGCAGAGACCCCGGCATCAGACTTAGCATCCAGCTCCCGGCTTCCAAAGTAACCGCCTCCTTTGGTTTCATCGCCGTAAAAAGATCCAGGGGTCCCGTCGGCCGAAGACAATAATCCGGCCTTCGAATCACTGAAAGGATTCTGACCGGGAGTGAGAGGTCTGGAAGGCGAGCCAGCTTCCCCTCCGAAGTAAGCGGAACTGTGTGAGCCGATAAGTGCAATGCTAGCCCAGCAACGTTCGCTGAGGAAGACACCAGTATTGCCGACCCGGGCCTCATTTGCCGGCCAGTGTTTACTGTCGAGCACAAGTTGTGACTTTTCGCGGTCGCTCCCCACAACTCCAGTGTCGGTATCCGCCAATCCGAGAAACTCCCCGAATGGTAGAAAAATACTGAAATCAGCTGTACGTAGCCTCTGACTGATTTCAGCAATCCCGAACATCTGGACTTGTTGACGGACACATTTGCTGTCAAATTGATTCGCTATCCGTCTGTCGTTGGGTTTCAAACAGAAGACAAAATAATTGTTCACGTTCGGCGCGGTCAACGATTTCGTGATATTATCCAAGGCCGACAGGAACTGGGCGGCAGCACCCTGCGTCAAACCTGTTGCTGTGGGTTTTGTTCGCCTGAGTCTAGATTCTTCTGCGCCGGGAACAGGTTCATCTTCTTGGAGAGCTGGGGAGCGATCTGCTCTTCGACTTGCCATTCGGCGCAATTGGTCATGCTTCTTCCTTGATACACTCGGCATGCGGAGTGGTTTGGAGCTAACCTGGGCCTGCACAATCGCGGTCTTCTCGGCGGGGTGACTGACGGTATTCAAAGCCTCCTGACCGAACAAGCTGGCCACAAAATCACTCTTGGTGGCTTTGATCATGTTCATCAGATCGCCAGAGACAACGTCCCCATTTTCGTCGACCAAACTGTGGACGGGGTAGTCCACTTCGCCGGCGTAATGACGGACCGTGAATGAAGCAGCAAGATTGGTACTAACGAAGTTGCTGCCCGGTATGGTTGAAGTTGAGCTGCTGACAGTTATGGCTTTGTTCCTGTTATCAAACCTCTTTCGAAGGCTCTCTAAGAATTGCAGATCTGTCCGACCACGGCGTGTTTGGTCGTCAAGAATTGCCAGCAAGCCGTTCCCGTGCTTGAGCAGGCCACGAACAGCGTCTGAATTGTCGAAATAACTTGTCGCTGGAACGCTGACCTCTTCGCTCTCCAGCATCTCGGCTGTGTTCTCGAAAAAGCTGTGGAGGCAAGTGTTGAAAAGCGATTCATTCGCAGCATTGTTTAACAGTTGGTCCAAAACTGATCCGGTGGAAGAATGGTCAGCGAAGCCGGGAAAGTCCACTATCGAGATGGTATTGGCAACCGAGTCCTCGGCGGCACAGGTTCTTTGATTGATGCTCTCGATGATATATGCGACCAACAGCGAGTACAGCGTCGTGGCCAGCTCGTCGGCATTTTCTCGCGCACCCTTGGGGTCCAGCATGACTGTGACGCGCTCACGGTGAATGGTTTTCGTCTTGTACCTCAAACTCTCTTCGAGGTCCGGAAGGCTTAGCCCCAGGAAAGCCGCCACTATCGCCAAGGTGTCCGTGTTTTTGACCACTGTGACCGTTTCACCACCCTCGTGTGAGTATCCTCCACTCTCTTCCGCCGCAGTGAGGGTGGCCTGCCCAGTACCAAACTCGAGTTGACCGATATGGAGGATTGCAGCGAGCACCTGGCAGATTTCCGCGATTTCCGTTCTGGGGAATTCCAATTTGCGCAAGGCGTTTTTGAAGTGTTGGAAGCCTTCGGCGTCGTTGATGCCAACCTTCAGTTGTGTCGGATGGCCCAGATACCTCCATCTTTTTTGCGCCACTGATGCTGATCTGCTGAGCCCCGTCCCGGTGGTCGTGACATTGACATGGCCATCAAGGCCGAGATGAGATTTTTCAGCCGCACTAGTTCCGGCAAGGAGATAGTATAGCACATGGAAACTTCTTTCACCTGTCGGAACATGCGAAATTCGACTCCTTTCCAGGCGGTGGTCCAACAGCTTGCCTCCAATGAGGGTAGGTATGGTCGATGAAGCATCGTACTGCAGCTCGTAAAACAAGCCAGCTTTAGAGGCAGTCTGGGTGGTAGTCGTTTTGGTAGTGGTCAGAGTGTCGAACACGAAGGCGGCGAGGGATAGTTTCGAGGAGAGTGGTGTGGATGAAAACGAGAGGAAGGAGGAAAGAAGGTGCGACCTGACCGTCGTCTTCCCTGACCCAGATTCTCCGCTGTTGCACAGTTAGGGTTGTACATTTGATGGCAGACCTTTGGGAGACATACAAAAATATAATGGCTTGGTCTTCTGCTCTGTTGCCCAACCTTGCCCATGCCCTGCGAGCCAGATCCTCCGCCTCACCCATAGCACTCCCCTCTTTGTCTCCATTCGGTCCTCGGGTCGAAGAGGTGAAGGTATTGAGACATATCAGACCCTGCGACGACAGTTTTGCTGTCGGTAAGGAGATGTGAAAACGGCTCGCAAGATGAGCTGTCAGGTGAGTATCTGATTGCAGATGTGCGGGCAGAGCGGGCAACGAGGGCTGCAGATGTGCAGGGACGTTTCCTCGGCTGGCCATTGTGGTTGACAAAGTCCTGAACGCGTCGATGTTGTTAAAAGTGTATGTTCTGCCGGCTCCTATGCCGTTATGACCTGGGAGGCCTCCGGCTCATTGATGGCGTGGTCGAAGCGAGGGCAGAGTCGATACAGGAACACGGACTGATCGAGGACCGTTGACGGGCTGAAAGCGAACGGCGAGGAAGTCAAGAGGACGTAAGTCGACGGCGACAAACAATCATACAAAAACGAGATGACAGCGAGAGTTTTCGTCAAGTCGTAGCAAAAGAGATGCGGCAATGGAAAACGATGAAGCGAGTGAGATGTGCCAGCAGTGCTCTTTGGACATTCAAGGAGTGTTTTGGTGCAGGGAAGAGCCGCAGGCGATGTTGTATCCGTATTTTGGTGGGCATTGCACTTTAAGGCCAGGTACTACTAGAGCCAGGGTGAACCTTGAGGGCCGCTGTATTGTCACGGCGTTACCGTTACCCTTCCTCGTTCCCCTGTCAGGGCCAGGCCCAAGGGGCGCAGCCGGCTAAGAACTGCTTACCACTGGACTTGTTTGGGATCTCGCCAGTCATCCATCAAGCAATGAGACAGTGGAGCTTTTGCACCATCGAGGACTTGTCTGCGCCACAGGCTGCCACACTGTGAACTTGACCGGCACCTCTCGGCTGACATCTACAGAGGTATGGATACTCCGTACTGTGCCATGGCTATGGTAATAGTATCACGCGAAAAACCCATCCTCAGGTTTGCGATTGATTCACTCTGACTGCTCCGTATGCTGGTTCTATACCTACACCTCAGCGCCTGCGGTTGAACGGCCCGGGATATTGGTCCATTGGTAGGTATACCGTTAGCCCAGTCGATAACTTCACTGGCTTGATTGCAGTTCGCTTCTGTGTGCGAATGCCGCATGCCACATGCCGCAGACGGCCTGAGTTACTGACTCGCTTCTCTTCGTGCCGCTATCCCATCTTGTACCTCCGGGGACAGCCTCGTCGCCCCACCGAGTATATCCTGCAGTGGATTTGGGCCTCGATATCGAAAATGAATGGTCAAATCGCCATCCTCTTCATCGCTCGCTCCTTGGACCAATAGTGATGAGCCGCAGACAAGGACAAGCTGTCAGTAACAAGAGAGGTGAGAGACAGAGACTGCAATGGCTGTGGGGACGAAAAGGTTATATCCATCTAATTACTCTGTAAACAAGTGGGAAGAGCGAAACGGATACTCCGAACGCATGATCTTGTTCTTTTGTTCTCCTGCTCACTCACTTTCTTTCTTTATTTTTGGCCTCGCAGCGGAGGAAACTGTAATGATAAGCGCAGACTGCATACCGCAGCGTCGGAGAGGAACACAGCATCGTACGGAGGACACACATCGGAATTCTGACAGCCAGAAAAACATGTCGACACCGATGAGACATGCAGGTCCCGAGGCCGACGGGGCTGTCACGTGACTTGGCGTTTGTCTCAGGCGAAGTTGACAAAGTGAAACTAGGCTCGTCTGGATCTTCGCGGTGCTTGCCGCTGGCCCGCTTGAAGGCAAAAAAAAAACATCATTCTAGGAAATCTCAGGATCATGAATACACAACGGCAACAGGAGAGCTGGTGTCTTCGTCTGAGCCAGTAGGCCATTTTTGTGCAACACCACAACAGCACAGCATCAGCCGGAGCACCGCAACAACCTGCATTGGCAGGTAGGTGTGTTGTGTGTTGTGTCCTGTATACAATGCGTTGCCCTGGAGGATTTGCACGGCTTGGGTGAATGATTGGTCAGACTGCGCTCGGACTTCCCCTGCAGGACGGTCCTAGCGAGCACATCGGGCCTAGCAGTCAAACACACAAGCTCGAGTTCCCGGGGGCTTTGAGCCCCGAATAAGGGTGCGAGGCCTCCTGGTTGGTGGCTGACAGGCTTAGGAGGCCAGTGGCAGCGGCCCCTAGACCCGAACACGCGGTGGCGTAGCACTGGTGGCCACAGCTTTGGTTAGATGCTATTCTTGCGTCCTGCCTGACAGTGCTGACCCCGGGCGAAGGATGTCAACAGTCACGCTCCGTGTATTAATGGTAATGCGCGATACAGCCTACCTCCCAATCCGTACACCCAATGTGGGCGATGCTGCGGAGGGTACCCTGAGGGTGCTCTGAGGCCTAGGGAGGCTCCTTGATTCTACTGCGTTATGCTCGCCGTCTTCAATCCTCCTACGGAGAACACATCTTCGCTTGCTTACCTTGCCGACCACCTTCGCTTTGTCAATTGATCTCATCTTGTCGGCAAGCCTGCGTGTTTCAGAGTCCATCGTTTTTGGTTTGTGTCTTTTTCTCCCGCCGAGTCTTCCGCCGCTGCCTTCAACAATCGGGCGTCAAACCTCCCTGTGCCCTCCCTCGACTCGACTACATTTGTGTTTGAATCCTTGCGATCTTTTGGAAAATTGAAAGAGCAACGGTGTGAATTCTGTCTGGGGGAGTTGTATTCAAGACGGAGGGTACACACCAGGCTAGATCCTCATCACGGCACTCCCTTCGTTGAAGGCCCTGTCGACTCCTTTGCTCGACACGGGCCCGAATATTCTTCATCATGGCCAACCGATACTCTACCTTCTCGAACAAATCCTCTCAACTCGGTGCTGTCCGGCCAGCAGCCCAATCGTCGACGCAGGTTTCGACGACTAGCCTTCTGAATTCTCTCCACACTGTCTACGCCTCAGGGCAGACATACCAACTCGACTCAAGCACGAGTATCGCAGCCAACACATGGCTGACCGCTATCAACCCTGATGCACAAGGACGAGTTGGCGGCACGGTCGATGCCGAGATCGCCTCAAGAGCCTGGGAGCATGCGAGAAGAAGAGCAGAAGATGCCTGTGTGATCCTGGCGCACCTCCATCCGTCCACTCCCTCGCTATTCCAGGCCTTCCTACAAGTGGTTCCTCTACCTACTCCATCAATTGTGTATACTGCGTTGTCAGCCCTGCGGCCATTTTTGTCATGCGTTACACCTATCAATCCTACCACATATCGACAGTCGTCCTTGAGCGCCAAGTACACCGTCGCACTTTCTGGAACCATAACTGGCTTCGCTCTCGCCTTGTCATCGTCAGGTATCGACGTAGAAAAGGGACTGTTGAGAATACCGTCCGAACCTGGCTACCGGGCTTTCGACGTTTTTCATTACCTGTTGACGTCGGCTTCTACGCCTGCCGAACGTGAATTCCTGAGTCTACAACATCCATCCGAATACGCCCTCCTCAACAGATCTGGCACATATGCACCTCCTAGCTATCTTCCGGCTGCCGACGATGTCGCGGCAGCAGAAGACTTCCGCACAGCGCTCAAGTCCATTGGGATTAAAGGGGCCTCTTTCCGAGGTCTCCTTTCTACCCTTGCTGGACTGCTTAAACTGGGCGAAACGATCGGATTTCTGGTTGATTCTGACGTTCTGGAAGATGTCTGTGAAGATGTTGGAGCACTCATTGGCATTGAGCCTGAGGTGCTGTTGACGAAGTGCACCACCGACGACCGGGAAGTCTTGATTGCTGGCATGTATGAAGCCTTGGTTGATTGGGTAATCTCGAAAGCGAATGAAGCGATTGCGGCGGAACTACGCGCAGGCGCCCTCACACCCGATTCCAGCACAGAAAATGGCGACGAAGTCAGCCTCACGGTTCTCGAAATCCCTGGCGAGGCCCTCGGTAAGGCTGTTACCATGCGCAATGTTTTCGACGAGACCTTCGGGATCAATGCTGAAATCAAGGATGATGGCATTGAAACAGTGCCCGCTGGTCATTCGGTGCTCAAGGAAATGCAGGCCGCCGTGGCGGAGGCCGAGGCTGATCTCGGCATCAAAGCTGGGCCCCTCAGTCGAGAAAGAGACCATGACCGTGACAGGCGAGAAACAATCCTGGAGAAGATCGGGCTGGAAGCAGAAGCTGGTGGCTTTCTGCATACCCTCCTCTATCCGGTGGACGGGGAAGGCCTGAACTTTGGTAAAACAGGACGTTTCGACCTCGGGGCCACTCTTGCCAGTAGCCGGGTCTGGCATCAGCTCTCCATTCACCCCACAGACGATACTCCGAGCACTCTGGCTACGCTGGCCACTCCGACGTCGGCATGGTCTGCAGGAGCGGTATCTCGGCAGTTACGAGCATGGCGATTGCCTGAATGGGCCAACCATCGCAACAGACATCTTGACTTCACAGCAGATTTTGACGTGGAGGAATTTGTGACAAGATATTCCAGGCTTGGCTGCAAAGATGGCAAAGACGGTATCGAAAGCTTTCTGCTTGAACGAGGATGGACGAATGGCGAGGTTGTGATCGGGCGCGAGCGTGTTTGGATGCGTGAAACAGCGTGGTCGGAAGCCGAGTCAATGCTCGACATGAAGCCAGCCGGAAGTGGATATTCAGACGAGGCAAACTTTGGCCAACCACTCAATCCCTTTGCTTCCAACTACTCTGCCAATGCACCTCATACTGGCAGCGGCTTTTTCCCCCTGATGGGCGACAACATGAGCCTCCAGGACAGTCGAGAAAACCTTCTTGTCCAACCAGGCTTCGATCGTGCGAAGTCGGTGGCCCCAACTATGGCAAGGACAGTTCAGTCAATCGGCGGCGACTACGGTCTAGGTCCCAGGGGAGACCCGAACAAAGATCACGTATATTACGACCCTGACCTTGGACAATTTACTGGTGAACTTGATCCTGAGTTTGGGGACCCACGCAATGTGGAATCCAAATCGACATCCGCCGGACGGCAGGCCTGGGTGTCGGTTGTCTGGGCATTAACCTGGTTTATTCCATCCGTGCTTCTGCGGTATATCGGCGGCATGAAGCGACCGGATGTACGCATGGCCTGGAGAGAAAAAGTGGTCTTGGTCTTCTTTATTTTCCTGCTCAATGCCGTCATTGTCTTTTATTTCGTCGAATTTGGAAGATTACTATGTCCGAACTTTGACAAGGCCTGGAATGCGAAGGAGGTTGGCTATCATACGGGAACAAACGATGTTTATGTCAGTATCCATGGCAAAGTCTACGACATTACGAAATTCTACCGGCTGCAACACAGCGACACCAGCATACAGACCAACTCTGAGAACATGTTGCCGTTGGCAGGCCTAAACCTGGACGCATATTTTCCGCCGCCACTGAGCCGCGCTTGTCCGGGTCTCGACGTCGACGTCAGCGTTGTGTTGCAGCACAACGATACAGATGCTATTCAATACCCGACCGCAGTTCACACATCTGGCCCACGTTATCAAACGGACCAAAAATCGGCCTTGTACAGCTGGAATTGGTACAGTGACAAATTCCTGCCCAAGATCAACGAATACTACAAGGGAGATCTGGTCGTCACCAAGCACAGCATACAGCAGCAAGGTGAAAATGACCAAAGGATGTGGGTCATTATCCACAAGAAGATCTATGACCTCACGGACTATTTCTACACATTGAAGATGATGAACAACTACGACACGTACAAGTTCTTCCCCGACGATGTCAGCGATCTGATCTCCAACAACCCGGGGCTCGACATCACGGACAAGTGGGGGACAAGTGCTGCATTCGCAAACAGTCTCAACTGTATGGACAATGCTTTCTACGTGGGCAAGGTCGACTTCCGCAAGTCGGCCAAGTGCCAAGTCAACAACTACATCCTCTTAGCATTCACCTGTATTCTTTGCGCCGTCATCCTGATCAAATTCTTGTCCGCCCTTCAGCTAGGATCCAAGCGTCGACCTGCTCCACAGGACAAGTTTGTGATCTGTCAAGTTCCAGCGTACACGGAAGGCGAAGACCACCTGAGAAAATCGCTTGATTCACTCACGGCCTTGCAATACGACAATAAGCGAAAGCTCATCTGCGTCATTTGCGACGGCATGATTGTGGGAGGTGGGAATGACAGGCCAACCCCCAAGATCGTCCTCGATATTCTCGGAGTTGATCCTAAAATCGACCCCCCTGCCCTTCCTTTCCGGTCGGTCGGCAATGGCAACGAACAGCTCAACTATGGCAAGGTCTATTCTGGCTTGTATGAGTATGAAGGCAACGTGGTGCCTTATATCGTCGTGGTCAAAGTCGGCAAGGAATCTGAACAATCCAAGTCTAAGCCTGGAAACCGCGGCAAGCGAGACTCACAGATCTTACTTCTGCAGTTCTTAAATCGTGTCCATCACCGATCTCCAATGTCACCTCTTGAGCTGGAAATGTTCCATCAGATCAACAACATCATCGGGGTGGACCCAGAGCTATACGAGTATCTTCTTATGGTCGATGCGGACACCATGGTGAAGGAAGACTCTTTGAACCGACTGGTTGCCGCATGCGCCAATGATGCAAAGATTGCAGGTATCTGTGGTGAAACGAGCTTGGAGAATGAGGAGCGCAGTTGGTGGACCATGATTCAAGTCTATGAGTACTACATTTCGCATCATCTCGCCAAAGCCTTTGAGTCTCTTTTCGGCAGCGTCACTTGCTTACCGGGCTGGTATGTATCCACCTCGCCGAACTCCTGGGTGCCTTGCTGATATTCTACAGTTTTTGCATGTACCGCTTGCGCACTGCTGACAAGGGACGTCCTTTGATCATCTCCGATAAAGTGATCCACGAATACTCCGATTGCGATGTTGACACGCTCCACAAGAAGAACCTCTTGTCTCTTGGTGAAGATCGATATCTCACGACTTTGATGACGAAGCACTTCCCGGCCATGTCTTACAAGTTTATCCCTGACGCCTACGCTCTCACGGCTGCCCCAGAAACCTGGTCTGTGCTGCTTTCACAAAGGCGACGATGGATCAACTCGACAATCCACAACCTCGCCGAGCTTGTGTGGTTGAAAGATCTTTGTGGGTTCTGCTGTTTCTCCATGAGATTTGTCGTCTTTATCGATCTGTTCGGTACCATAATATTGCCGGCCACTTGTGTTTACCTCGTTTACCTCATCTATCGAGTAGCATCTCACACTGGGCAATTCCCTCTGATTTCCATTGTGATGATTGCCGCTGTCTACGGGTTGCAGGCTGTCATATTCATCATCAAGAGGCAGTGGCAGCACGTGGGCTGGATGATCATCTATATCGTGGCATATCCCGTCTACAGCTTTATCCTACCAATCTACTCGTTCTGGAACCAAGACAACTTCTCTTGGGGCAACACGAGAATTGTCATTGGCGAGAAAGGGGACAAGAAGGTTATTGCGATTCAAGATGAGGGTTTCGATCCCCGATCTATCCCTCTCCAACGATGGGACGACTATGCTGCGGTCAATAACCTGCCGGGTCAACGTGGAAACGACGGCGCTTACCATGAGAAGGGGTTTGAAGTTAACTATACTGATGACCCCGGGGTGATGGAAATGGACGACTTGCACTCGACTTACTCATCCGTCAAACCGTCCAGTACGATCCTGACCGGCTTCCCCAAGCAACAGTATCCGTACATGGCACCGCCACGCTCACCGGCACCTTTTGGTATGAACCACCGGGCCAGCACGATGACTGGCTTGACTCAGTTCCGCGATCAGCCCGTCAGTGTGCATGGGCGAAACATGAGCATGATGAGCCTGGGAAGCCAGGGCCGTCTTGTTTCTCCGTCGCCAGGTCCCTATGCGGATGCATCCCGTGGTCCATATCAGAGTGGCTACAACGGGATGCAACATTCGGCAAGCCGGCCGAGCCTGCTAGGTATGGGGACCAGCCGGCCAGCGTCGACGATCATGGATTTCCGCACTGTACCGTCTGCCGGGCCAAGCGACCACGACATTGTCGATGCGATCCGGGTGGTGTTGAGCGAAGTCGACCTCGACACAGTCACCAAGAAGCAGGTCCGGGCTCTTGTCGAACAAAGACTACAAAGCGAAATTCCCGCGGGTGAGAGGAGGCAGTTCTTGGATAAGGCCATTGACGGCGAGTTGGCCAACATGTAGGATATTTATGGATGAGAAATGACCACAAAGTGATGGCGAGGAGTTTATCTGTTTAGCTAATTCTCTGGATCTGGACATGGCCTTAGGCCCTTGGAGCGGCACGGCATTGTATCAGACAGGCACGGAAAATAGACTTCTGGATAAGAGGTGGGATCACATGACTTGGGATCGCATGACTTGACCGAGGCAGCAGCATATAGGATATATATAGGTGGCATCCTCCCTCCGTACATACTGAATGTAGTACGGAGTACCTCCGTAATATGTATCCGTACTCTGTCCTGTCCTGTCTACGCCTCCTGTTCCTATTCCTGTTCCCGCTCCTGCTCCTCAGCATGGCCCTTCAAGTTCCTTGCACCAGACACCAGGTCGAAGCCAGAGCCACTCTTCTTGTCGTCCTCGGCCCCTCGACCAGAGCTGTAGGCTGCACCCCACTGCCTTCACAACCAGGGCAATATCAATATTGGTCATCTGGGACGGTCAGTGCGATGATACGGTCAACGGAGCAAGGTGAAGGTAAATGTGACGGGATGATGGCCCCCGTTGGGCAGTCTGCTAATCCCAATACCTGCTCATGGTTTCGAAAACCTGCTCAAGTCGAATAAGTGCTCGCTCTTGGAGCGGTCTAGGTCTATCCATACCCACCCAGCCAGCCAAGCACTTGGACGAGGCCAGAGGCACTGTCTCTCCTGCTGAAGGATGTCTCCAGTGTGCAAGTCTCAAAGGGAACAGCAGGCGAGAAAGTGAGAGAAAGTGAGCAAGCGGTCTCCTTGGCTTTCTTCTTAGCCTATTACCAGTTGCACCATAGGTAGGTTTAGGGCATCGGAGCCTTGCGGGCTGGTACCTGCCAATGCTGCATATCAGATTACCGATTACCTAGTCACTTCGTTCGTTCGTCTGTTATCCCTGAGTTCGTCTCTGTGTGGCCAACCTTGGCTCTGGGGTTCAACGGTGCATGCTGCTGGCTTGCGGCTCACTCTCTTCTACCCACCAGACCAAGACCATGGCGTCTTTCAGCGTGCCAGGAAACGTGCTCATGGGTACCACCGTGACGGATACACCATCTGAAGCTCATTTTCATAAGGTGTTCCTTCACCCAATCTCACCTTAAGTGGCATATCTCTTATACTGTTAGTGATATCCCGACGACGGATAAAGTTCTCAAAGCAGTCATCCAATATATTGACTCCAAGCACTATTCTCCTAGACCTGAAAACGAATACAAGAAGACTGCGACAACCCCTGAGGCCTTGGATCTCTGAATTTTCAGTCGTGCGAGAAAAGAGACCGAATCTTCCCCATATTCAACTCGTTGAACTCTGAAGCCATGCGTCCGCGTCCACCGGCATGTTTTGTCATACTTCCAGGACCGCTGTTCCTCTGTATCGCCGCCTTGGTTTTCCCACACGCCGTGTCAACAACAAACACGGTCAAGCACGGCGTGGTGGGATATGGTATCTCAATGTACAAGCCGGTCTGCTGCTATGCCTGCCACGACTCCCTGTCGTCTCTATACCTCAATTGCACCACATTTGTGCCCAGCGATGATGGCGACTCCGACGGCACTGACATGAAAATCAAGATCAAGCTGCGAAAACGCATGGATATGGGTGGCGGCGACGAAACGGAAATCGCCACCACCACCGACGAATGCCGCTCCTCGAACCCGGCATGGCTCCAAACCTTTGCCTGTTGCGTTTCTGACCGGTGTACCCAAGCCGGCGTCTCCGCTGACCGACAGGACCAGTGTTTCGCAGATCTCGCGGCTGGAGGTCTCGTCGTTCCCAGCCTGCGTGAGGCCCTTCCGCAGCAAGCTCCGGTGGACGAGGTGGCCGAGGACGCCGGCTGGCTGAACACCACCAGCCTGGTCAACAGCAAACTCTGGGCCACGAACGAAAACACGCTGGCCAAGTTTGAGTATTCGGAAGACATGCATACGACATACTCGTGAGTATTCGGAATCTTCGTTCATGACCAAACCCCCAAAATAATATACTGTATATATGTGCTCCGGTCGTATACTGTACGGTACTGACGAATTGTGCACTTGTATCTCCTAGGCTGGTCGTTTGGCTCGTCACCATCGGCGTCTGCGTCGCTGTCAGCGGCTATACATTCATCGCGCGCCACATCTTCCTCCAACTCCCTCTCCCACGCCAGGTTTCGCGCGCCAGGGTCATTGTCATCAGGAAGATTCGACAACACCTCCTTCTGCCCGCCCTGTTCCGAAGCCGTCACCTGAGCCCGCTCCCCTACAACGTCGGCTACCTCCCTGGTCGGGCATTGTCTCTTTTCATCGCACTGTACGTCACTCTCAACATCATCTTCTGCTGTGTCTCGTACCCGCTCGCCTCGCCGAACAGCTGGTACTCCACGGACCGCGACCAAGTGGCGGCGTACGTGGGGAACCGGACGGGCGTGCTCAGCTTTGCGAATCTCGCCTTGGCCATTTTGTTTGCCGGGAGGAACAACCTCCTCATCTCTCTGACGGGATGGTCGCAGACCACGTTTTTGACACTCCATCGCTGGGCCTCGCGCGTTGCCACCGTCCAAGCTGTCGTCCACTCCATCATCTACACCGTCACTTATTTCTGGGACGGCGGCGCCGCAGCATACTACGCCGAAGCCGCCCAGGCGTATTACTGGTGGGGGATCATCGCCACCGTCTCTCTGGCGCTCATGGTAGGCCTCACCGTCCTACCCATCAGGCTGGCTTTGTATGAGCTTTTCCTGGTCACGCACATCATCCTGGCCATCCTTGCGCTCGTAGGGTGCTGGTACCATATCGACCTCCGCTTTAGCAAAAACTGGGGCTATGAGGTCTGGCTGTATCTGTGCTTTGCCTTCTGGGCCTTTGACCGACTGGCGCGAATTGTCCGGGTGGCCCTCTTCAATCGTTGGGATTGGATTGGTCTTGGGTTGATCAAGGGCAGGGGCGGCAATATTGCTCCGTCGGCTGAGGTGGAGAGGATACCAAACACAGATATTGTTCAGTTGACTCTGTTTCCAGGGCGTTGGTGGGCGTCGGCCATCAGACCCGGCATGCACACCTTCTTGTATTTTCCCATGTCGGCCAAGTTCTGGGAGAGCCATCCGTTCACGATTGCCGATTGGGGATTCATGAACGACGAGAATGAGAATGAGGACGAGAAAGAGTGTGGAACCCAGAGCCATGGAAGAGCAGGTCCAGTTTTAATCTCCGACAAGAACATTGGCGAGGTCAAGGTGGTTGCGGGCAAAAGCAAAAGCACCACCAAATTGACCATCCAGCACACAGGCGAGCGTAGGTTCTATCTACGATTCCTCCTGCGTGTGCGGAATGGGAGCACAAGATCCCTTCTCAATACCCTGACGCCAACGCCAGTACATGTTGAAGGTGGACAAGTGACGCTATCTCGCGACTCCTCTCGACCGGTCCCGCGCCCGAGCCACCAAGTCTTGACCGAAGGTCCCTACGCCGGCCACATGCAGACGCTGTCGACGCTCGTCACCGCCGACACGGTGTTATGCATTGCCGGCGGGATCGGAGTTACTTTCACACTGGGGTTCATCAAGGAGTATCTCACATCGGCGCTGCAGGGGTCGGGGTCATCGGACGAGGGTCCTTGCATTGAACCCATACCCGACATTGGCATAGAGTCTATGTCTGGCAGTGGCAGGACAGGAAGGCGGCTTATGCAACGAACTACACGCTTCGTTGTGGCATGGTCGGCGCGAGAGGAGGGACTCATTAGAAGCGTGGAGGGACTCATTAGAAGCGTGGAGGCTATGCTCGATGCCACGGTCGCCCAACTTGAAGACCAGCAGCTTTCATCTAGAAGGATCGAGTTCAACGTCTGGTTAACAGGGGAGGGGAAGGGGGGGACTAAACCAGACGGACAACGACAACGAGAACCAGATGAAGGAGATGGAGGAGCAGAACGACAAAGAGAGGTGGAAAGAGAACGACACGGACACCGAGACATACAAGGAGAAAAAGCCCCACCCTCTAAGCCATATACCTCCACTACTACTACTATCACCAAGACCGTCACACGCAGCAACCCCATGCCCATCGCCGACGTCATCGCCTCTACTCTGGAAGTCGGCCGGCGCACAGCTGTGCTGGTATGTGCGCCTGGTGGCATGGCGGATGTGGCGAGGAGATGTGTGGTGGACGCCACTGGGCGAGGATTCAACGTGGATCTTGTGGAGGAGGCGTTTGCTTGGTAGATAGGTAGGTAGGTAGGAGGTAAGCCTGTTAAGCCTGGTAAAATGTTAAGCCTGGTAAGCACTGCAGGCAGACTCAGGCTGGTATCGGACATGGACTTCGGACTGATGACGATACATAGATCTGGAGCAACCAGCAACCAACTACCAACTACCAGCAACCTACTAGGTAACTAGCAACCAGTAATCAGAACCCAAACTACGAGTAACAACGCCTAGAATAGAATCAAGCCTGAGGTGCAGTGCGACCCAAAGAAATATTCTTTGAACAGTTGACTTTGGTGAGACTTGACGTTTAGGTGAAGTCAAATATTAATTCAGTATTCTCGGCCACAGCCAAAGAACGGTGGAGTATAAGACGTGTCCCGCATCCGGCAAGCCATCGGGTATGTGCCGGTTACAGCCCAGCCACGTGATTGCATTCCCGACCTCTGGTACCTTAGGTAGTACGGAGAAGTACGGAGAAGTACGGAGAACTACGGGGGATCAATCTCCGTATCTTGGCAGTCTCCGAGACGAGACGTCCATCCAACTTGAACAGGCCCAATAGTGTATGTACGTGCTGTACCTACGTTGAAGAGTGACAGTGCTCCGGACTCCATACTCCATACTGGTCCCTATAACAACTAGGGACCGAGTACCGGAGTACATTGCTCCATGTCCAAGGACGACACTGCTGACTTGCGACCAGTGTCTCCATCTTGAAGGCAGCTCGGCCCACAAGAGACAGGGACGCCCTACCACATCCTTAGGTCGTGTATCTACTCCGTATACAGCTCCAGCTTGAGGTACGGAGAATCTCCCGACTGTCCCCAATCAATATTTAATTCCGCCCTCTCCACTTCACCTGCCCCTCGGGCTCCGCGCCTGATGCCCTTGGCCTCACGGCGTGGGGATCCCACTCGGGGTATTGTATCTCTCCCCACTGCAGTGGCACGACTCCAGACCCCAAGACAAAACACTAAGGTACTCGGTGGACGGCAGAGTACAGAATACAAGAATTGATAAGCAGCCAACCAATCCCTGCCCTGCCCTGTGCTGTGCTGTGTACACTATACTGTGCTCTGGTACGGCGTACATACATGCACGGTACAGTGCCTGTGGGTCGGCGGGTCGATTCTTTCAAGGACCTTTGCAGAGTACAGTACGGACTAGATCGGTCGATAAATCCAAGATCCCGGCACTCGTGGAATCCGTTGATATCAGGCGCCAAAGCCAAAGCCAACGCCAACGCCAACGCCAGCGCCAGACCTTGATGGACTTTCGGTCTCTGAAGTCTTCAAAGTCAAGGTGCTGTCTTCTTTCCCCATTCAAGAACTTGATGTTCTCACAACCTGAGGCGGACAACTAACGGGCCCCTTGCTTGAGGCTGGATGGCATCTCTGGCTGGCATTGGGCATGGTCTGCCGCCCGTGAAGACCAATTCGCGGGTCCATCGACGATCAAGGGTGTGTTTCTTTCCCGGACAGGGAACCCCTCCATTCACGCACGTGTTTCTCCTGCAAGTCGGACATTGAAATTTCCTGCTAAAATTCTGAGGTTTATTTTCAGGCCTTTCACGGAGCAGATATTATCAATCGCGACAGACATCCTCACCGCCGTCACTCGCGATTCCAGTGTGAATCACCAAGACCCCGGGGTCCCGGTCCGGGTCCGGGTCCGGGTCCAGGCAGGTGTGTGGCTTCCTATCCAAAGTACTCCGTACGACGAGGCTGTTAACAGCATTGCGCTGATCCACGACGGCAGGTCTTATTCAAGACCCAGACCCAGTATCTTCGAGATCCAGGACACCAACGCTTCGCCCCTGCACCGCCACGGACACGGTCATGGCCACGGAGCACGGACTGACCCCCTGCTGGAAATCCTAGGAAGGAGAGAAGCGTCGAACCTACTTGTAGAACCAGACTCTTCCAAACATATCAGGACTGGAGGGACATACAACCCCAACCCACCGTGCAGTGACACGACCAAAGAACGGGATGTCGACTTGGACCTGGACTTCGACTTGGACTTCGACTTCGATCTCTACGAGGCGTCTCGTTCCGATGCCGCCACCCGTTCGGCAAATCGCTGCATCTCCACCATCACCGAGCTGGACGTCGCTCTTCGAAACTACCTGCTCGATCAGTTCTGGAACTGCTTCAACTCGTGCATACCCGTTGTGCAGAAGACCGCCTTTCTCGCCAGCATCAGCACCAGCACCAGCACCAGCCTCGGCCAGGATGAAGGACATAGATCCGGATCCGGCTACGGGAAAGGGTACGGCTACGGAGACTTCTGCTCGCCCGTGCTGCATCTGGCAGTCCTCGCCATGGGTCTTCGACGGTCAGACCACCGGCGCACGGATGTCCAGGCTCTTCTCCTCCCCGGCCGCGATTCGAATCTGCACAGACAGCTCAGACTGGCAATCAACAACCTGAACCTGAACCCGAACCCGAACCCGAACCCGCCCTATACCGCACGCAAAGACCGAACATCCACATTCACATCCACATCTACATCCACATCCATCACCCATGCCCAGGCAGTCATCATTCTGGCCGTACTCGAGTGGGAACGGGGCCGACACCATTCTGCGAGACTGTACCTAGGTAAGGAAGCCAGGCCTTGGGCCTTTTCCCTTTCTCCTTTTCCTCCATTTCATTCCATTTCCCTTCCCTCCCCTTCACTTCATCTGGGGACGTGGCCCTCAAATCCAAAGTCACAATCACAATCATAACAAACAAAAAACCGTCCTCCACCCCTCCCGGACTATCTTGTGTCATCACAATCACAACAAGAAACCACCTACTTGGTAGCCATGTAGCCTGCGTTAGCCTGCGTACAGACTACAGAGCACAGACTACAGACTACAGACTACAGACTACAGACCACAGACCACAGACCACAGACCACAGGCTACAGACTACAGACGGATGCACATGTACTGTACTGTACTTGCTATTTCAAACACCTGCTTACTCATGACCTCTCTGTGTCCGTCTAGATGCCGCTTTCGACATCATGGCCGACATCCAGAATCTGCACCTGGACCTCCAGCTAAACTTCTCCGACGACGAACTGATTGTGCATCGCATGGTCTTGCGTGCCGGCAGCCTGATTGACAGGTGAGTCCGCTACCTGCCTACCTGCCTACCTGCCTACTTGTGTACCTGCCTACCTACCTACCTATCTATCCACCCACATGGATTCCTGCTGTCGTCCTGTCTCGTGACCACCATCTAGACCTGTCTTGTCTTTTGTCTTGTTCTCTGGTCTTACTAAAATCCGTCCGTCCCCAGTCACTGGTCCCTCTTCGAGCACAGTTCCGCCGTCTGCGCGAGTCCTAGGACACAGAGTGACTGTGATGGTGACCGTGATCGGCCTCGCATTCACTCCTTGAATCTGGCCACTTCGCATCATCTCCTCAGCAACCCCCAGTCGCTTACGACGGAACCCAATCTGAACTCGCACATCTACAATGCACACTTGGAGCTCATGGCCATCGCCACAGATGCCATGCAGCAGCTCCAGTCGTCGCCGCCACCGTCACCGTCACAGTCACCGCTACAGTCACCGCCGGTTCACTGCGCGGAACTTCCATTCCCTCTCTTGACACAGCTCGATCATCGGCTGAGGTCCTGGTACACCGGTCTTCCGGACCATCTGAGCTGGAAACACCACACACAGAGATATGTGACTCCAGCTCCAAGTCTCTTTCTTCTCCAGTATGTTCCACCCCAAACCCTTTCCTCGTCGTATTCAACTGCCGAGAAAACAAGCCCGAGAGAAGCGACCGGCGAGGTTGGGGCTGTGTTGATTTGACAATGGTGATGGCAATGGCGATGGTGATGGCGATGGTGATGGAAATTGGCCAATGACCACGTTAACTAACATCCATTCTCTTCATAGTCAACAATTCCATGCCGTCCTTATCCTTCTATACCGTCCCTTTGCATCACGGGAGTCATTGATGAGCAGTCTGGACCAAGTGGATGGCTCCAACATCAACCAATTCTCAGAGTCATTCCGCAACGTTCTGCTTACCCACGCCATGCGGATGGCCGATCTTCTCTCAGAGTATCACCGTCGGTTTGAGCCTGGGGCAATCTTCCCCCTCGCGGTTCAGCAGGGAGCTCTCGCAGCCAGCGTCATTCTCGCCAGCATAACACGCATAGAGCCCGGCCACGATCTGAGAAATCCCGCTCTTCGCCACCTCGAGTTTCTGCAGCGGTTTTTCACTGATCTGTCGCCAATCCAAGCGCCAGCTGAACGACTCGCTCGGACCTTACGCAGTCTCCTAGATGCGACGACCGGTGGCAGCAGTCCCGCTGAGACACGGCAAGCTTGCATGCAGCAGCCGCAAAGAAGCTTAGAGACGCCGAACTCAGATGACAGAAACGTGACCGAAAAGGTCCCAGTCGGCGGGGGATCCAACAACACGATCTGGCTCGACTATGACGACCAGAGAGGTGGTCAGGAATGCAACCTGCCAGAGGAGCGACTCAGTGACGATTGGATGGCAATACAGCAGCAAGAGGCGCCCACCGTCACCGTTACTGCCGGCGTCGAGACATACACGAGGTCACCGAACCGTGTTACGGACGGGTCAGATCCAACAATAGACGTGGACCGTAGACCAGAAGCATCACCTTGTGCTTCCAACAATGCCTCGACCGAGTTGCTTCGCTCTCATAGTCAATCATCCAGCCGCCGCCGCAGTGCAATAGGGTTGGAAAGTACGCCTTCCTCCTCGCACACAGGTATCAACAGAGGGCTTGGCTACCTGGGGTCTATCGACCTGTCCCCGGTATCCGAAGGGTTGCTGCTCGACCAGTTCCCTCTCGGCCCGGAAGACATAGGCGTGTCAGGCGCCACAGAAGTGGATCACTTCGAATTCTGGGACGGGGATGCTATCTGCGTGTCGTGGTCTGAAACATTCAAGGCGCTTGGAGCTGTGAACAGGCGGCGCGGGTCCGAGAAGATGAACGTCAATGATTTCGGCGATGTCATGGGGTGCGTTTTCAAACTGTGACTGTGATTTGCTTCGGTTTAGCCTGGTAGATTAGATACCTAGATACGTGTCTGTGCAATGTCAACCTTTGTGTTATGCCAAAGGTTCAACTCTCTGGAAACACATCAGCCAAGTTGAAGCCGCCCGAGTCATTGGGCGAGACTCCTAGATCGAAATGAGGCAAGCTGAAACCGGCGAAAAGGTCATAACTCGGGGTTCCGTCAATGTAGGATTGCCACATCATCTCATCGGTTTCTGGGGGCGGAGGCGGCGTCTGCAGGACCGAGGAGACCGGTTGAATCTCTGCTGCACCGGCTAGGGTGGGTGCAGGTACCGGTGCTGCTTGAGGAGGCGAACTGCGCCACACCATTTGCGAAGTTGGAGCCTGATGCTGGTGGTGGTGGTGGTGGTTGTGGTGGTGGTGTTGGTGTTGGTGGTGCTGCTGGCGCGGCTGGCACTCTCTGTCCTGTTCAGGTACAGACAAGTCAGCCTCATGCCAAGCGGCTTCCCGCAAATACTCGAGGGCATCAGTTGCGGTCCCATAAGATTCCTGAAGTATCAGCAGGAATTGTTCACACTGCTGGATACCCTGGACGGCGGCTCGTCTGACGGCCTCGTTTGGTGCCTTCATGTCCAGCAGATGGATGACCACTGCAGCAACGACGCTGCCAACAGCTGAAGTGGATAGGTAGCGTGACAGGCCGGCCTCACAGAGATCTTGGTTGACACTGGTGAGCTCCCAGGCAGCATGACGCAAGATGCGCTGCGACAGGCCGTGTGACTCGGCACCATTCCTTTCACGCCAGGTGGAACTAGGTGATAGAGCTTTGAGGCGGTACAAAGCACTGATGGCCACATAGTAGCTGGTATGGACTGTTGCTTTGTGCACGATCAGGCTTCGACACTGCTCCTCTGGCTGCGGCTGATGGTTGGCGGGACAGAAGGTGGCAGCACGAGCATCGTAGCGGAGATCTGCAGGCACTTGACGGTACCATCTGGCGAAATCGTGAATGCAGTATTTGAGCCGGGAAGAAGGTGACGGGAGTGGGTGTCTGTCCTGGTCCCCTGGATCGCCGGTCTCCACCTGTCGGCGACAGTCGAAGATGGTGGAGACAAAGCGAGCGATACAAACACACAACTTGGTGTGTTCGATGCAGAGTCGGGCCAGTGCCTCTTGCATCGTGCGGCCATCGAGCACTGCTCGAGAGTGTCGCCGCATCGCCTCGGCGGGCAGATGGACTGTAGCTTCTGTTGTGGCGTCTGTCTCGCCGTCGTCTTCAAAGTCATGGGGAGTGAGCATGGCAACGTTATGGTACGTTATTCGCGCTGGGCGGCCCAAGGCCAATGCGATCTTGTGCTCACGGACAAAAATGCACCACCACAAGCGGCGGCGGAGATGCTGGTCTCGTCGATCAAAGCGTGAGCTGTCCGGCTCCAAGTGCAATCCGATTGAGTATGCTAGGGATATGGCGGCCCCCACCCAGTACCATGAATCCATCTTCTCGTACTTTCCAGGGTACCAGGTACTGAGGAGGAGAGCGGCCTGGACCGCGACCAATCTATCCTGCTCCACGTTGCAGTTGAAAAGAATCTGAACACAACAGCCTGGTCAGTTTACTCTCTCCTGAAAGTCGGCCGGGGGTAGATGTGTGGACCAGCAAGTTACGAGCAGAAAAGACCAAGAGCGTGGTAACTCACCTTAGCTCGATGGAAAAATGCTCCACGGGCCTCTTGTTTGGACGCGAAACCTTCATTGATGACGGACTGGGTTTCGACGAAGGCGACTCCAGAACACAGCACAGCCTGGAACAGGAGGAGGCTGATGGGTTGTGATGTGGGATGGTCGCGGCTCATGATTATCGACACGATCTGGTCCTTTTCTAGCAACGGCAGAAGTGGGTAAGAGAATTCGAGGTAACGGGCGAGACAAGTATCGCGAAAGGAAACGGTAGGCAATGTCACAGCACCTTTCTCATGCAGATATCGTAGATCTGCTTGGTCCAAGTCTTCAGGGAGAGGTTTGATGAAGGTCGGCAGACTCGGAGGAGCAATGGCGCTAGGGGAAGCATGAGGAGGATGCTGAAAATGCTCCTCCTCTGTTACTGCTGCCAGGGCCGTGTTGACATGACCGCCCAGCGCCGGTGTAGAAGCAGGACATTGTAAGTCATTATTGGTCGTGGAAGTTGCATGGGCGTCAAATTGCCAATGGTGCTGTCGCTCCTGGTGAGCAGCAGCAGCATGGTGTCGACGTGGGACCGCATGCTCCGAGACAGTGTCTCCTTCTGGGGATGGCACAATAACCGCAGCAACAGAAACCGGAGGTGGAGGCTGGGAGTTTTGGGTTGCCTTGTTGGCTTTTGAGACTCTTTTGATATGAGGATGAAAACATCAGCCACCAACCACGAGGCCCGGTGAAGGGCGTACTGATCCAGTACATAGTACACATACTTGTGGCGCCTGCTCCGAGGGACAACACACTCCAGCGAATCCAGGCGACAGTTGGTACAAGGGTTCCCACAGTGCACCACGTCACACCGGACTTTGCGAACTCTGCACGAGGTACAAGCTCGGCCGGCACGTTTTTGGACCTTGCGGGCGGCGGCAGTAACGGTAGCGGTAGGGGAAGCAGTAGCAGTAGCAGTGGCAGTGGCAGCGACTCGAGGTCTGTCCATGCTGATCGGGCATCGGGGTCGAGGTCGAGGTCGAGGCTAAGCATCGGCAAACAGAACAGGGGGCGTACTGTACGGCATAGTACTGCGGAGAGGAGGTCAATGGCTAGGTAAGGTACAAGGTACAAGGTACTGACAGCACAGTATGTGCGCACAGTGCGGTCTCGGCTTCCACGACAAGCAAGGCCCGACGCTGCCCGACGAGAACAGCGATAACGGCCAGTTGAGGGGAGAGGAACCTAGATAACCATGGTTATGTATGGACGGAGTCATGCTTACTCCGTACTGTGTGATTCCGTGCCCATGCCACGTTTTTCGCCGGTGGCAGTGGAGGGCGCAGTGGATCGAGGCGGAGGAGTTTTAGATAACCGAAGACGACGGAGATGGTGCGAAGAAGTGGAAGAAACAAGAAGAAAAAGATTGCACCCTGCCCAGGCCCTATACTGCGCCATTGGCCCAATGTGCGGAGCAACCTCAGAATGCCCAGGACCCCAGGAATTAGAGGGAATTAGAGGGGATAACGGAGGAATACAGGGGGCAACAGGAGGGGTCACTGGGCGGTTTCTGGGGGGTCAGACCCGTCCTCTGGGGCCCCGGAAGTCCCATACTCCGTCCACCATAGGCGCTTGTGTCCCCGTATCTACACCTACAGTACATACATAATATGTATACCAGCCTTTGGTGCCTGCGGACTGCTGCTAGTATTACTTGATGTACGGAGTATGGAGTACACTATAGGTACCTAGTTAAGATATACATCCTATCTCTGCCCTCCTACTCCCTTCCTCTCCTCCTCTCCTTTTCCAGGTTTTCCTTCCCCCTTGGCAGCAGAAAGGAAGGATCCTAGCCTTGCACCCTGACCACCATGTCCGTCCACGACCCCGACCGCGACCACACTTCGCCTGACAAGGATATGGCTGCCTCTAAGCCCGCGCCGGAGCACGACGAACGGCTCTCGACATCAGAATTCGAAGAAGACGTCGATATTGACACGGCCAACCCGGCCTTTGTGAAGAGAGTCAAGCGAAAAGTCGACCTGAGGATCTGTGTCGTGCTCGGCGTTCTGTATACCGTCTCGTTGGTGGACCGGGTCAACCTACCTGTAAGTACTGTACTGTACCCAAGTTAGTTGCTGTCCGTTGCCCGGCATGTCACATTGTTTCTATTGTTTTGTTCCTAACTCCCAACGTGCCCTCGCTGACTCTGACTTTGGCTTGGGAGAACAGAATGCGTAAGTCCTCTCGAAGCATACAGAGATCTACTCCAGTCCAGTCCAGTCCAGTCCAGTCCAGTCCCGAGCCAGGTACTGACTCTCCAAAAGTGCCGTGGCTGGAATGAGCACCGATCTCAAACTCAAGGGGAATGCTTATGTGAGTCGATATCGATACTCTGTCGCTCTCACTCTTAGATACAAGAGGAAGAGGCAAACTGCAAGCCAATACTGATTACAGCCGGCAAAAGTCCCTCCTCGTCCTCGTCTTCTTCCCCTTCTACATCTCCTTCCAGCCACCAATGACGGCGATCGCGCGCAAAGTCCGCCCTCGCCGGTTTCTTTCGTTCATCGTGACCGCCTGGGGTCTGGTCATGGTCGGACATGGCCTGGTGCAGTCCTGGCGAGCTATGCTTGCCTTGCGAGTGTTGCTCGGCATTCTAGAGGCTGGCTTCTTCTCGTCGTGTGCGTACGTGCTGTCATCATGGTACATCCGGTCCGAGGTGGCCAAACGCAACGCCGCGTTCTATCTCCTCGGCAGTCTGATTGCCGGTTTTGGAGGAATTCTGGCATATGGGGTAGGTGACCTTGATCCTGACCTTAACCTTGATTCAAGAAGACCAGAAGTCTCTGCTGCTGTCTGTCAGGTTCTGAAAATAACATTTGTCGTGTGTGTCAGCTTTCCAAAATGGACGGTGTGGGCGGCCACGCCGGCTGGCGTTGGATCTTCATCATGGAGGGCATCATCACCATCTTCATGGGGCTGCTCTCGTATTTCATGATTGTCGACTTTCCCGAGGATGCGCACAAGTCGTGGAAATTCCTCAAGGAGGACGAGATCAAGGTCGTCGTCGATCGCATCAACCGAGATCGCCGCGATGTCCACGCGCCTCCGTTCAAGCTTGTGCCGTACCTCAAGAACGGATTGGACTGGAAGATTTGGTTGTACGCCGCCAACTTCGGCCTGACTTCCGTCGTCACCTACGCCACTGCTTACTTTCTACCTATTGTTCTTCGTCAAGGGTTGGGGTTTTCCGAGGCTGCGGCCCAATGTTTGACTGCACCGGTGAGAAGAAACACAACACATACCCCAAACACACCTGTCCTTACATAAAACGCGAGACTACCATGTCCTAACATACCCCACGAGACTGACCATGTCCTAACATAACACGATACTGACTCATCTTCCATCCAGTGCTACGCTTTCGCATCTATCCTCGGCTTCGCCGAAAGTATGATCTCAGATCGAATCGGTCTTCGAACGCCATTCCTCCTCTTCAACTGCGTGATTGAAGTCATCGGCATCGTGGTGCTAGGCTACGCAAAGGCCAGCGGCGTGCGATACTTTGGCGCCTTTCTGATCATCGGCGGCGCCCAGTCCAACATCCCCTTCAGCCTGACCTATCAAGCCAACAACATTCGAGGCGTGTGGAGACGGGCCTTTTGTTCGGCAACGATTGTCGGTGCGGGTGGGATTGGAGGGATTATTGGATCTTTGACCTTTCGAAGTCAAGATGCGCCAGATTATAGGTGAGTCGTGCACGAGTCAGCGTATTCCGCCAAAAGGAGCATACACAATAAAATGAATGTTGATGTTGATGTCGATATCGATATACTGATATTGAGATTGTTGCTGACTCAACCACAGACCAGGCCTATATACTTGCATCACGGCAGCGTGTGTGGTGTTTCTGTCCGTCTGCATCACCACCGCCGATTTCTTCGTACAGAACAAAAAGCAGAAACAAGGCCGGACCGTGATTGAGGGGTTGGAGGGATTCAGATATACTTATTGATTTGATGATTGTGATTAACTGGGAGGAGATATAACGGAAGCGAGCCAAGCCAGGGTCAGAGTCAGAATCAGAACAGAAGAAGAGCAAGGCTAGAATAAAAAACGAAGAAGAGCAAGGCCAGAGTCAGAATCAGAACTAAACCAGAAGAAGAGTAAAGCTAGAATCAGAAACGAAGAAGAGCAAGGCCCGAGTCAAAACCAGAACTAAAAAAAAGAGCAGGACCAGGACCATGACCAGAATCACGTTCATCTATATCCATCTATCTCGACTTGAACATCTGAGATATTCAAGAATAAATGCCCTGCTCTGCCATGCCAAACACTCAAATCATTCCCGAGCCTTCTCTTCATCTTCATCATTCTCAGCCTTCTCCTCTCTTCATTTACTGTACTGATTGTATGTTGTAATACATATGCACCGTATATCTATAACCGAGCCTTGCCGGAAAGGAGAAGCTGCTCGGCCTCCTTGGTCAACGGAACATAGCCACTCCCTTCCTTTTCGATCCAGTAGATTCTGTCCTTGGTGGTGGAGGGTAATGAAAAGCCTGTGATGTGATACCAGTCAGTCAATGAATCAGTCAGGAAACAGCCAGTCAGCCAATCAGGCAAGCTTTTCTTTCGTTCTTCCTCCCTCCTTGTATGCTTGCATATTTGCTTGCTCTCGCTTCCTTCTGTATCAAATAAAAGAGAGTGCAACTAACCTTCTTGACGAAGCCCAGTTTTCAACTTCTTCATGATCGGAGACACCCTGTCTGCGTCACCAGCACTAGCACCAGTACCAGCACCGCCACTAGCGCCATCTAGTCCTGTATTTGTAGAGACGAGCACGCGTAGGAACCGCGGCACAGCGTATGATGGCAAGGAGGCAGTTTCGTTAGTGGTGGCCCATTTCTCCAGCTGGCGGACCGTGTCGAGTTCGATGGTGCTGGTGTTATTGGTGTTATTGGTCTCGCTGTGACCCTCTCGAAAAGTAATGGCCGCGCAACCTAGTTGGCCATCATATCCGTAGCGGTTCATGGGGATGGCGTAGACATTGACTGAGGCGATGTTGGGGTGGCGCCCCAGACAGCTCTCGACCTCGGTGGTGGAGATGTTGTGGCCTTTGGCCCGGTACGTGTCGCCTAGCCGGTCGTGGAAGGAGATGTAACCTTCGTGGTCCTGGATGAGGTGAGGTGAGAATTACATTTACAATCGATAGCAAGTTAAAGAAACCACCAACTCACAGACAACAGACTGTCGGGTAGGGTTAGGGTACTCACAATGACCATGGCATCTCCCAACCGGAAGAATTCATCCCCCTTGGCAAACACGTTTCTCAACACCTTCTTCTCCGTGGCCTCGCTGCCGCCTTCGCCGACGTAATCGTGTCTCTTCTGCACGGGCGGGGCGATGCGGCAGATAGACTCGCCGACCTCGCCGGGGCGGGTCTTTTGGCAGAAACCCGTCTTGGGGTCTCGCCAAATGTCGCCCGTTTCAAGATCGGTGCGGACAATGTAAAAGGTGTCCTGGCCAAAGCGGCGCATCAGCGGGCCCCAATGCGAGACCTTACCGATGCCGCGGTCGTTCCGGTTCGAGTTGACCAGAGACGTGGTGGACTCGCTGGCCGAGTAGTACTCTACGATCCAGGGGATGCCAAACCGCTCGCGCACGCTGCGCCACACTGTGGGCGACAGGCCCAGGCCAAAGGCCAATTCGACGCCGTGGTCCTTCTCGTCCGGAAAGCGAGGGTCGGGTGGAGCCTGCACGAGATAGCGCAGCAGTTCGCCAATATACAGGATGGCATTGGCCCGGGAGCGCCGCACGTCCGCCCAGAACTCGCGCCGGGAGAATCGCCGCGCCAGGATGATGGTGCCGGACGTGGCGTGCGTGGGTGGCATCGCTGCAAACGCCGCCGTGCCGTGGAACATGGGCAGGCAGATGTAGAACCGGCGTGGCTTGTCGTACATGCCCGGGTAGCGGCCCGCACACGTCGCCGAGAGACTGTAGCCCGCCGGCCACATCAGTGCCTTGGGCAGTCCCGTCGTGCCGGAAGTGAAGAGGTACTGGCATGGGTCGGTGTGCAGCACTTTGGGCCGGGACGCCGCAGGGAAATCGCCCATTTCTGGCACCACAGGAGGGAGGTCGTCGTGTCGGATCACGGAGATGGAGATGGTATTGCCATTGCCATTGTCATCACCATTACTTGACGTCCACTGCTGATCTGGTGCTGGGTATGTGTTGTGGTCGTACAGGACGATACATCTGAGGCGCGGACATGACGGGTTGAGGGGGAAAGCAGCAGGCGTGATAGAACCATCGGTGCCTGGGCTGTGGCTGTTGTTCTGGTCCAAGTTGGAGTGGAAATTCAAGTTGAACGTCTGGCCCACGACGGCGGCCAGTTCGTAGGTGGAGATGAGCATCTCGGCCTCGCTGACCTTGAGACAGTGTTTGACATGGTCGCCCGTGACCGACGTGTTGATGGGTGCCGGGATGGCCCCGAGCTTATGCAGCGCCCACCAGGTGAAGATGAACTCGGGCGAGTTGTTGATGAACAGCCCGACCACCATGCGGTTGCGCACTCCCAGACGCTGCTGCAGCACCTGTGCCCACCGGCCGATTTCCTCGCGCAGCCGACGGTAGGTCCAGCTGCGCTCCTCGAACACCAGGGCCTCAGCCTGTGCGCGGCCGCTGTCACTGTCAATGTGGTGGTTGGCCTCGTAGGTCGAGTGTAGTACGTGGTAGAACGACCAGTCATCCTCGCCGTGCAGCCGGTACAAATGTTCGACGTGCTTCTGCATGCGTTTGCCCGCCCGCATCTGTTCCACGTCCTCGCCGATCGAGTATTTGGCGTCCAAGTACATGCCGGACACGGCGGCGGCGGCAGCAGCAGCGGCGGAGAGGAGTGCCATGGTGAGTGAGTTGACGTGGTCAGGTCACTCGGTTGCGGATTCGATTGCCAATACGCAGAACCAGAACCCAGGACCCAGTATCCGGTAACAACTCTCAGTGCTCAGTGTTCAGTCCTCTCTTCTTGTTCTTGTTCCTGTGATCACCATCACTGTAGCTCTCAAGCCCCACCCCCTGCACAAGACCAAGACCAAGACTTAGGCAGGGCATGTTGAATAAGCCCCCCAGGAATCAGGATAAGGATATTGTCTCCCCCACGACGGTCGTGCCGGTGCCGGAAACGTGGGAACCTAAGATTGTGGTGGTGGGGAGGATGGTACAGTACACAGGATACTAAGGTAGATAGATAGCCGTGGCTATACAGAGGACGTCCACCGTATGGTACGAAGTACGTAGTAAGTTAGGTAATTAGGTGCATGTACGGAGGAGGTAGGAGAGGTAGGGCGGATAGCTGATTCCCCGGAAATACTGACTGTACGGATACTGTACGGATCCAGCTTCTGCCTCGGTCGTTTCGTGGCCCACGCCGATCGATCAATCTTGGCCGCCCGCTCTGACCTGACGCCTGACTTCGACCGTGTCCGACTCCTGCTGTAAAGACACTAAAGACAGAAGACCAAGACCGAGACCTTTGACGGTGGACGACGTCAATGAGGCACAGAAATCGAACTGTACCTAGACCTCGACCTCGAACGCGAACTCGAATGGCCGGCTCACCATTCACGTTTCTACTCCCTCTCTCAAATTGACATCGTCCTCCCGTGTCGTGTCGTGTCAGTGGTGGTCTCATTGTGATATCAGGTGATGGTGATGGTGATGGCGTCGGCGTCGGCTGCGGCTTCGGCTGAAAGAATCAAGCGGTTGCTCGTGGCCAACAGGTGAGTCCAGTCTGAGATGTGCCACGATACGATGAAAAGAAGAAAGGAACAAACGGAGAGAGAGATAAGATCTGGATATTGACCCGTCTCTCGTCACAGGGGTGAAATCGCCATCCGAATGATCTCGAGCGCGCGCGAGCTCGGCATCCACACGGTCGCCATCTACACGGCCGACGACGCCAACCATGCGGTGCACGCAGACGAGGCGCTGCTGGTGCAGTCGGCGGGCGACTTCATGAACGGCGAGCTGCTGAAGCAGCTGTGTGTCGACCAGCAAATCGACGCCGTGCACCCGGCGTACGGCTTCCTGTCGGAGAACGCAGACTTTGCCGCCTCCCTCGAGACGGCGGGCATTCGCTTTGTCGGCCCGACGCCCGACGTGCTGCGCCGCACCGGCGACAAGACGGACGCGCGCGCCCTGGCCGAATCGTGCGCCGTCCCCGTGCTGCCCGCCCTGAGGGAGGCCATCTCAGACCTCGACCGTGCCGCCGCCTTCGTCGCCCACACGGGCTTCCCGTTGATGATCAAGGCGGTCGACGGCGGCGGCGGCCGGGGCATCCGGCTGGTCACCCGGCCCGAGGATCTGAGCCATGCCTTTGATCGCGCCCGCGGAGAGTCGCCCGGCGGGAAGGTGTTTATCGAGAAGGCCGCGGTCGATGGCTACCGCCATGTCGAGGTGCAGATCATCGGCGACGGACGCGGCCAGGTCGCGCATCTGTGGGAGCGCGAGTGCAGTATCCAGCGAAGGTATGTACAGTACTTTGGCCTTCGGATTGTATACCACCGTTTGGCCTTTGGCCGGAGACGGTCCCCTTGGAACCCTCGACACTAACATATCTACACTATAGATTCCAGAAAATGGTCGAGCTTGCCCCATCAACCATCAAAGATCGCGCCCTAGTGGCCCAGGTGATTCAGAGCGCGGTGAACCTGGCCAAGTCGGTAAGGGTGTCCATTGTCTTCAGTTGTTTCTGTTTATATGCAATCTCGTCCCTTGTCTTGTCTCTGGCTCTCCTGTCGGTACTTTTTATGCTTTGGTTTGGTCTGACCTGGCCTCCACTACGTCGCTTCGCTCTGCCCTGCTCTGCCCTGCCCTGCTCTTCTCTGACAACCCACTGTACCACAGATCCAATATCGATCCCTAGGCACGTTCGAATTCCTGGTTCACGAGTCCCGGCCGGAATTCTACTTCCTCGAAGTCAACCCGCGGCTGCAGGTCGAACACACCGTGACCGAGGAGATTGCCGACGTCGACCTGGTGCGAGCGCAGCTGCTGATCGCGCAAGGTGCCAGCATCGACAGCCTAGGTCTGCCGTCGACATCCACATCCACGGATCCCACCGCGTCGGCCAGCCAGCCGCCCAAGATGGTGGCGATCCAGTTGCGCGTCACGGCCGAAGATCCCGCCCAAGGCTTCGCGCTCAGCATGGGCCGCATCACGCAGTTCCACAGCCCCGGGGGCCGCGGGGTGCGAGTCGACACGCACCTGAGCGGCAGCCGGCCCACTGTGGTCGGGTCGTCGTTTGACTCGCTGCTGGCCAAGATCATCGTGAGCGCGCCGTCACGCGAAGAGGCGCGGCTGAAGGGCCTGCGGGCTCTGAGCGAGCTGGCCGTGCACGGAGTCAAGACAAACCTGTCCGTGTTGCTGGGCACGCTGGCATCGGCCGACTTCCAGGCCTCGCGCTGCTCCACGCGCTGGCTGGAGGCGAACCTCGACCAAATCCGTCAGCTCGGCCAGAGTCTGGAAGCGTCCACTCTCGGCGCAAAGGAGAAGGGGCCGTCCTTTGCCGCCTCCGGGGCCGACGCTGCCGCCTCCTCGGCCAGCGCCGGTATTGGCGGGTCGTCCAGCCTGCTCTTCAAGAAGGGTGACTCGTTCCGCGTCACGCTGAGCGAACTGCACGAGGGCGGCGCCAAGGGGCCGGAACGCGAGCACCTCGTCGTGCTCGACCGCATTGTGAACAACGACTTTCCCACCCTGATCGCCGGCGACGTCTCGCTCGTCACCGACGCCGCGGGCCTCAAGACGACCAAGAAATTCACCGCCAGCTTGGCCGCCTCCGCCGCCGGCTCGGGCCTGGCCTCGTCGCATCACCGGAAAGGTGACCCGTCCAACCCCCACCACATCACTCTGCCCTTTCCCGGCACCGTGGTCGAGCTGCCCGTGCAAGTCGGCGACGAGGTGCGCGACGGCGAGGTCGTCATGGTCGTCCAGCAGATGAAGATGGAGTTGGAGGTCCGCGCTCCCACGGCCGGCCTGCTGACCTGGGTCTGCGATGTCGACGAGGGAGAGACGGTCGGCGAGGGCATGTTGGTGTGTGAGATCCAGCCGCTGAAGGTGAAGGAGGCCGGCGCCAGCGGGCCAGGTTTGTCTGCCAAGTTGTAAAAGGCCAGCTTTGGCAGATTGCAAAGCATCGGCCGGGTCATGGGTCATGAATTGGATCGAATTGCAAAACGGAATGGAGGCACAGCGGTATGGCATTGTTTGTACAGCCTAAATTGAGGAGAAGATAACATTCAGTGTGACATGCCCAGACTAGATTGTCTGGGATCTGATCTCGGTCCTGATTTCTTGGGTGTCTGTCTGAAACAACCATGCATTAGTGATACGTCGCGCTCAACGACCACGGTATCTTGTTGAGGATAGCTGTGGTGGCTCGTGACAAAGCAGTCTTCTTGAATCTTTGCAACCCACACTCTAAGTAAGATTCGAATCGGTTCTCTGGCTGTAGCCACACCGTTCCTACCCTAGGCAAATGTCGGGTGGATTCGTCCTGCGGCTCTATCTAGTATGCGTTGTGGGAGTATGCCCGAGTACCTGGTGGGATTTGGGATGTTAGCAAGAGTCATGATAGAAGAGGCAGACAGAAGAGGCAGACAGCAGAGGCAGACAGCAGAGGCAGACAGGACACTTACACATGAATGGTCCACTCAGCAACAACGCGCCTCGTATGCGCCGGGTCAATAATCTCCTCCACTCCAAATGAATTGGCGGTCCGGATGGGATTCATGAACCGCCGGTATTCGTCCTCGAGCTGATTGTACAGTTCCTGCTTCTTCCCTTCGGCCTCGGCTTGTTTCAACTGCCATCGGTGGGCCACTTCGATCCCGCCGTCGAGCGGCAGGCTTCCCCACTCACCACTCGGCCAGGCCACGCGCATCATGGGATCGCGACAACCGATCATTATGCCCCCCGCGACACCGTAGACCCTCCGGGTCAAGACGTTGAAAAGAGGGACCGTGGTGGACAGATAGGCTTTGGCGAGCTCCACACCCCAGCGCATGGTTGCTGTTGCGGGGGACTTGTTAGCCATCACATCGGCCTCAAAGATGACAACGCATTCGGTCAAAGATGGCAGTGCATTCGGGGAGAAGGGTTGCCTACCTTGTTTCTCGGCCACTGTCCCAATGGCGTAGCCTGGAACGTCGACAAACTGGATGATTGGGAGGTTCATCACGTCACACAGTTTCAGGTGACGCGTGATCTTTTGAGCTCCTCCGCTGTCCAGGGCGCCGGCGTTGACTTCACAGTTTAACGAGATGACGCCCACAGGGTGACCTCCGAGCCTGGCCAGGCCCACAATTGCTGTTCTCCCCCAAAGAGCCCCGATCTCGAACCAGGAGCCGGCGTCGAAGACGGTGCGGATGATGGCCCTCGCGTCGTACATGCGCGTCTTCTTGCGAGGGATGATCGTCCTCAACTCCTCGTTGACTCTCGAGATGGGGTCACTGCTCTCGATAACAGGCGGGAGTTTGGAGTGCCCACAGTCGGGCAAGTACGAGAGCACTGTCCTGATTTGCTCGAAGCATTCTGCTTCGTTGGCTGCCAAGTTGTCGATTGTTCCGTTCGTGCAATGGATACCAGGCCCGCCCAGCTCGCGCAGGCTCAGTCCTTCTTCAAAGGTTGCCAGTTCGACCACTTGCGGTCCGGCGTTGAATAGACTCCCGATATCTCCGGCCATGACTGAGAAATGACAAGACACGGCACGGGCGGCACCAATACCAATCTATGCATCCATCGATTAATCAATTGCCTGAGTCCCTCACGATGACCACGGAACTTACTGCAGGGCCCAAGACGGCCGCCAAGTTGGGAATACCCAGGTTGAGGCCCTTGATGGCCTCGATGAAACCTGGCACGCCCGGAACATACGACCACCCGAGCGTTTTAATACTAGTGACAGAGCCGCCACCAGAGGATCCGTCTGTGAGTTTGACGATGGGCAATTGCAGAGCGACAGCAAGTTTCTCGGTGTAAACGGTCTTTTCGGAGATGGCCCCATCCGCATGCCCGGCTCGAATGGAGTAGTCGTCCGCCGTCAATATGACCTTTCTGCCACGCAATAGTCCAAACCCTTCGCGATGTCAGCACCAGATATTTGGTTTACAAGTAGCGTGCAAACCACGCTGAGCAATGAAGGCTGACCTTGAAGGTTATTCGTCGGAGTAAATGACACGGGCTCTTCGTCCCTAGGCCCGGTCTGCTTCCACACGATATGACCGCTGGCGCTGCCGATCTCCTTGAAAGAGTTGGTGTCGAGCAGCTGTTCCAGGCGTTCCCGCACCCATAGTTTGCCTTCGCGCTTCTGTCTCTGATACCCTCTGTTGTCGAGGTCCGGGGTGTGTGCAATAGTCTGGAGCCTCTGTAGGTTCCCCAGCACATCCGAATAGTCGGCTGGAGGACCGGCCGCTCTGGACGACTTTGACCGCCGCCCTCTCCGCCCAGCGTCGGACTGTGCAGCAGCCTCATTCTGACTCTCAGCGACGTGACCAGCGACTTGAGAAAGACGCTCTACAGCTGTAGACTTTGCAGGGCCTGCAGGGGAAGAGGCGGGTTTAGAAGGCATCGTGGAATGAGACGACGAATCTACGATCAAGGCCCGATTGAAAGGTGGCCCAAGTCAATGGAAGAGAGGACGTGGTCGTCGTCGCCGTCACGTGCACATTCTAACGATTGACCCACGGTGGAGGTTGTATCTTGCGTTGGCGTCGAGGCCACGGTGCATGGTGCGTAGTGCATAGTGCATGGTGGTGGAGGAGAGGGAGATGGTCGCCCGTTCGTTAGATAACCTCGGGTTCGACATGACTCCGGCGGGGCCCCGACAACGGCAGAAGATGGAGGATTAGGGGACAGGGATAGACGCCTAGTGCTCCGTACTCCGTACAGTGCTCCGTACTGTACCGGAAGCAGGTGGTAGGTGGGTGGTGCCTAACATCAGCCAGAGGATTGCCGAAGCTTTACCGCTGGGTCGGCTCGGCTGCTGTTCTGCCGGTGATACGACACGAGTACAAAGGGTGAAGACGGAAGATAGAAGACAGAAGTGTTCAGTCCGAGTTGGTAGCAGGGGTAAAGGGAGAACTGCAGTGAGAAGTGAGAGAAGAGGGAGGAGAGAAGAAGAGGACCGAGTCTGGCTGCCTGCGGCTGCGGTGCCAGAGTCAGGGTACGGCACTGCGGATTGGTCCCTGGATTAGGGTTAGGGTTAGGGTTAGGGTTACAGTTACGGCATCGCTGGAACTACGGCCTTGAGATTTGTCCTGCCTAGAACATCCCAACCGAAAGAAGTTGATCCTTAGCCATGTCAAATCCACCAGGGAGGTAGTAATCTATCTTGAATTAAAGCATACATAGGATAGGGTATCTCAGATAAGCCGAGTCTCAAAGACCTTCAATGGTTGAGCCAACCAAGAAATGAAGGAATGTCCGTCGCCGATCTGCAAGGCTTTTTTGATATTCAAAGCATAGGCGTCGTCGTAGTGGAATAGAACGTCCCATGCCAGCTGGACAACCCGCACAGGAAAGCCCAATACTCGAATGGGTACCAACAGGCCAAAGGACCATGGACCATGTCCCAGACATGGCCAGCCAGCATTCTGGCTCAAAAGGCAACTCCAACGCCTGGGCTCCTCAAGGGCCCACCGATCTCTCTGATGATCACGTCGTCCACTTCTTTGAGGACCTCCACGTAGCTGGGTGGAATATCCGGCACCCCGCTCATGATGGGTCTCAATCCTTTGGAGGCATTTCTGACAGTGAGACTTCGACTTTGTGCATCAGTAGGAGTAGCTACACTTGTGTCTGTCAGACTCTGATTCTCAAACGACAAGATATCTGTCTCGACCGTACTAGCCACCGTCGACTCAGTCATAGTCCGATGATGGTGGTGGTGATGGGGCCACAAGTTCAAACATTTGGGTGGTGCTGCCGAGAGCTGATAGAACTGAGATCGTTTTCGACGGTGCTCCGCAAAAGAGGATGCCGATGCCGATGATGATGTCTTGGTCGTACTGATAGAAGAAGACTGACGGTGGGCAAGCCATTGGGAGATACGCTTTTGCGTCTGGAAATTGGGATGGAAATATCCCGTTGCATCATTTGTGTCCGTTGGTTTGGAGAAGTTCCTAGCCAGGGCGGAGGGAACATATGGTGCCGTAGCTTCTGCAGCCGGAGAGCCTAGCTCCGGTTGAGCTGGAGAGACTGTTGGTTGGTCGATAGCCTTTGGAAATTCCAACAAAACACCACCGACGGTGACGGACGTGTTAGGTGGACTGAACTCCTCTTGCATAGGGGTCAGGACGGTGACAGAGGGTTCTGAACGACCAGGAATGTGGGCTTGCGGAGGCAATCCTGGAAAAGATGCCCACGATACAGGATGCGAATGAAGGGCGTCGTACTCCGAAGGTGGCCGTGAGGTTGAGATCACCGTGGAAGAGATATCGGGTCGCACATGTGACATACGACTCCGTTCCATCATCGACGCATGTTTGACGGGGGCAGGGAACATGGACAGCTTGTTGGAAATGACCTCTTCAGACTTTGTGCGCACCAGAGCTCGAGGTGGCGGTTTGATTTCGCCCACCTCCGTGAAACTCAGTCGGTCGAACTCGGGCAGATCTGACAATCGATTGTCGGGCATGTAGATGCTGAGCTCGAGAGGACGGAAGTCCTGTGCCAGCCTGCGGAAGGGCAGTGACTCGTCTGACGGCAACGGTGGACGAGGACTGGATATGAGTAGTCTTGACGGTGTAGGTCTGCGTATAGAAAGGCTGGATCTGAGCGAAACCTTGCCCTGCGATACCCATTGCGTTATTCGGGAAGGCAGTGCTGGCGTCGGAGTCGGGGGCAGGTCGTCGAACACCGTGAGCTTCATGGGAGGGACAAGGTGAGGCTGCTGATACATGACGCGCATCTCGCGCTCGATGCCTAGTAAGTATCAGTATCAGCGATCCATCTGCGAAGGTTTCCCCAGTGTCACCAACCAGGAGCACCCGATGCCCGGTCATGTTCATCCTCCAACTTTGACGGCGACAGACAATCGAAGAAGACGAAGACGCAGGTTGGCTCAAGCGAGTCTTCTCGTGCAGACCTCACTTTCATGTCGGCGACGGCACTCGATCCTTCAAGTCCGCGGTCGGAGAGGCTGTTACACGACTACGCCCCACGAGAAAGATCTTTGATGACGATGCCAGCATCGATTCAGACGCAGAGAACAGAAAACAGGAATGAAGAGGACAAAAAGACGGGCATCTGTGAAAGCAGGAAGTAGCGATGGGCAAACTGCAGGCGCAGCCCAGCACTTGCTTTGAGAAGGTCCGAGTAGAGAGAGGCACACTTGAAACGCAGCTTCAAGCTCACAGCTTACTCAAACACTCCCACGAACACCGGTTCCCGGGTTCTTCATGGTCGTGGCGTGCTTACAGAGGTCCAGACGGGAGCCTCGAGTCCTGCAATCACATCGTGCGCGGCGCTTCTTGATGGCACGCGGTGTCAGCACAGCGAGATGAGCCTGAGGTCGTTGCATCGTCACGTCCCTGGTTGGACCACAAGCTGCCAACACAGAGCAGCAACTCCGGCCAGCCAACTCTCCGAGAGGGCGGCCTTCATCAAGCGCCGGAGCCAAAGCATAGCGTATGTCGTGTTGATGGACGGACAAGCGATGTCATTCGCGGAACGTCGTGAAGAAGGAAGATGGGGTGAGATGAACGGTGGGCGCGTAGCCACCAGCGCTGGCCCAATCACCGCCGACAGTCTGCTCCTCTCGCGTCCGGCAATCAGCCTCGAGAAAATAGTCGAGGCTGAGGCTCTGGCCCAATGTTTCACAATCGGCGGGTTGATGCAGCAAAGACTGGTTGACAGAGGCCAGTTCGCTAAAGGACGCATGAGGCATACACAGTACACAGTATGGTATTATCGGCTCTGAGAAAAATTATGCTAGTCTTCACGCCGACATCGCCTTTGATGCCACCGTGGCAGTGGCAGTGGCAACTTTTGTACGAGTACACATACATACACGAATGGATTTCGACCTTCCCTCACCGCCCACTGGCAATGTAGATACTAGAATGCAATCTCAGTATCTCTCCATCACTCTGCGGCCTCCCTCCACTGGATCCTGCATCGTCTCCATCTCCCTATCTGGAGCATCCATAAACCTCTCATCAGGTTCCACCACTCGGTACCTGGCTTGCTCGGCAGGAACATACTCGTGACCGACAGGTTGTCTCCCATCGAGGAAGACGCTTCGCCCATGGACAGCAGGCCGAACACTCTGTGCACGTGTCATCATCTCCATTGGCTGAGGTTCCTCGTACCGCATTGCCGGCGGCCGTACGCTGCCCATGCGAGCAGGCTCGCGGAAGTCGGGTCGCTCGTCAGGGTAAATTGTAGACCGTGGCGCTCGGTCCATGACCTGGACGCTGGAACTCCGTGGTAAAGATCCTGGCTCAAAGTACTCTCGAGTGACAGACCCTGGAACCGCCGAGGAATGAGGTGGCCCGCCTGGACGGCGATAGGTGACCGGTGGTGGAAGCATGTCGGAGACATACGCTCTTTCTGGCCCAGTGTCTACAAACACCGAAGCTGAACGGGCTGCTCGGTAGTGCTCGTAGCCTTGGTCCATTTCCGTTCTCCGCACTGGTGTTGCGCGAGGAGCAACCGAGGGTCTCTCTTGGATAATCTCGCGGAATCTCCGGCCGTACTGGTCGATCACGATTCTCTCGATTGGGGGTGGCGGCATAGGCTCGGTGGCATAGCGGATCGTGGGCTCTCCCTCTTCATACATTTCGCGGTAGGCTGGAGCCGGCGTGCGCATCACCCGCACCTCTCGGGGGGATTGCTCATATTCCACGGGCGCAAGACGCGATGATTCTCGGATTGCTGGACTTCCCATTCTGGCATAGGATATCGCTCTTCCTCGAGTCGGGGTATCGTAATAGGGATCGGTATATTCTCGAGTCCCGTCGACCCTCATATTGTGCATGCTGGCGACTCGGCGCAAGTCGGGCTCATCTCTCAAGGGCCTCAAGCCGGCTCTCGAAACTGCGCGAGGCTCGCTCAGTGGCATCAACTGTTCAACCTGGCGCGGTAGCGGCCTGGAAGGAGAGTCCACATACCGTTCTGGTGCAGGCATGTACCGAATTTCTTGCGTGGGCTCTTCATCCAGTGTGATGGGCTGGTCAGCACCGCCCATGGGTCGTGGTCTGCCCGACCCAAGAGGCTGGACATCATGAAACGGTGGAGGGGAAACCTGTTCTTCTTTGAGGAATGCATCCGGGGAGACCTTGCCATTTCGCTTGCCCTTTTTCTCGTTGCGCTTTTCGAGCTTCCTCTTCTTTTTGGGGTGTAGCGTTTGAGTATCATCGGGGCTTGGGGGACATCCTGCCCTGCCAATCCGCGGGGAACGTCGTTGACGGCCATTCTGCAAAAAAGGTGCACCCTTAGCTACGGCCAGAGGAGAGACGCGGGACGGTACAGGGGCGATGGGAGAGGTGATTTGGTTCCTTACAATGCGCATATTGGCCTCAGATGGTGAGACGGGTCGCCTCCCATTGTCATCCAGTTCCGAGTACCTGCGCAAGGGTCGGTTGCGTGGATCTCTACTGTCTTGCATAGCTTGAGGGTGTGCAGCATTGGATGTGGGATATTGCGCCATTGCCTCCGGAGGCGAGTACTCCCCTTCTTCCTCTTCATCGTCCAGGTCCATCGCGGTGGGTGGGGGGAGAGCGGAAGGCTTTGTGGATGTCGCACCAAGAGCAAAAGTAGCATTGTTAGTAGAAGCCTCGTCCCCAGTGCCATGCTGCAAGGGTGAGCCCATGACGGCACTCACAGCAGGTGGGCCGGGAGGCTCGTAAGCTTCGCCCTCTTCACCGTCTTCTGCGGACGGACTTTGCGGCCCGTTCTCCGGCGTCGAGTCGGGAGCTCTGCTAGAGTAGAAAGAGTTCGCGTCAAAAGAGTCGCTCGCATCCACATCATCCTTCGAGGAAGGAGGTTTGGCAATCTCCAACGCTTTGGCCAAAACGGCCTGGAGATCGAAGTCTGGCTTGGCCTCCGAGGGCGCAGGCTTTCTGCGGGCGTCTAGTCTCTTTTGTTCGAATTGATCTCTCAACGCTTTCTCAAGCCTCTGTCGCTTCAGCTGATATTCGGCCCGAACTAAATCATCTGACTTTGTCAAAAGGACGGGGTCAAACTCAGAAACATTACTGGCGGGTTGGCTGGAGGGAACATTGGCACCATCTGCTCGTGTCGGGGCTTGTGTCTCATCTTCACGCCTCAACTGTTCGGCCGCAGCACGATTTGGTGAAGCACTGGGAGGAAATGGAGAAGGAACGTTGAAGCGAGACTGGGACACGGCCAAGGGTGTTTGCGAAGACGCGACTCGAAGGGCTTGGGTAGGCACAGTGAGTCGCGGATGACTTCCCGAAAAGACCTCATCGCGTATCCTAAGTATCTTCTCATACTCCGAGGCTTCATTCAAGGGCTGCACGGTCGAAGGCAGAATGCCATTTCGCAGAGGAGCAGCTGAAGTCGACATTTCTGCAAGGTCGCCTCTGAGCAGCGCGAATTGATCAGACCTGCGCGCGTTTACCTGCACAACAACATGGCGAGCTCAGTGGCACATGGAGTGAGAAGGTGGTGGAGGTTCCTGCAAGATAGAAGTAAGGCTGACGCAGGAGAAAATATCACCGTCAAAGGGTGAATGAGATGGAGGAAAGGGATTGAAATAACAACAGGAGAAGCAACACGTAGTAGGCGCAGTTTGGACTCGCGCAGCCAGTTAATTTCAGTTCCAGTTGACCGGCCATATCCTGCCAAGAGGTGAAGGAGTCAGGTGACTCCAAGTGATCAGCCTCGAAAATTTGATGTCGCCATCTGTCCCGTGCAGTTGGGTGGTGCTAGTATTGGTTAGTTTCATGATACTGAACGACGAGTCATCGATTTATATAATTGTCCGGGTTAGAAATATCATTCAACAGTAGACTAGATCACCCTCATTCATTGCATAGATACCCGGAGTGTGTGCCGTTTCCTCCTAGCCGCCGCTTTCCTTCTCTACCATAGCCACCGTACAAGATGGGGTCCGTTGAAGCCTTGTCCGCGGACAAAAGAGCGATTTTCTTTTTCGACATAGACAACTGTCTTTACCCGAAAAGCGGACGAGTTCACGACCACATGGCCCGGCTGATCAATGATTACTTTATCAAACATCTTAGCCTCAGCGTCGAGGAAGCCGAACGGCTGCATCAGCAATATTACAAAGATTATGGATTGGCCATAGAAGGTCTCGCCCGTTTTCACAAGATCAACCCTATGGATTTCAATCGGGAAGTCGACGATGCTTTGCCTCTCGACGAGCTTCTCTCGCCGAGTTCTGAGACTCGACAGATCTTGGAGTCGTTTGATCGGTCCAAAGTCAAGCTTTGGCTGTTCACCAATGCGCATATCACTCATGGCCGGCGGGTAGTCAGACTGTTGAAGATTGATGATCTCTTCGAAGGCATCACGTACTGCGATTACTCTCAGCCGACACTAGTCGCCAAGCCGCGGCCGGAGATGTTTGACAAGGCCGAACGAGAAGCTGGGGTGACGAAGGATACCCCGATATATTACGTGGATGATTCTTACTCGAATTGCAAAGGGGCGTATGCCCGAGGGTGGACAAATACAGTTCACCTGGTCGAGCCCGAAGGCCTGGATCCTCCCTTGGAGCCCCCGCCGAAGGCATGCGGTTATCAAATCAGCCATCTCCGAGAACTTTTAGGCCTTTTCCCAGAACTTCTCAGGGAGAAGGAAAAGCCCTCGTAAACATACAGTTATTAAGATGTTTTGACATAGTACATACTGACGAAGACACCCGCTCCTGATCCTATCCGGACGTGGCGACAATAGAGAGATCCGAATAACCCCATGTGCTCAACGCTGATCCTCAATATTACACAGTTTCATAAACATCATCATATCATTCCAGAGCACACCGAGGCGTACCTAGACAACGGCCAGTTGTCTCCTTCGACCGGAAAGATCACTGGGGCAGAATTTCCAAGCCCCTGCGTGTTTTCTGGCATGCCAAGTTCTGATGACCGCTCCGGTGACCCAGAAACCACCTGGGAAGTCGTTCTTGATGCCGTCAATGGTGAAAGCATTGTCCTGACAGCCAAGAAGCCACGGGCCGTCGTTATACAGCTCTGCATCTTTGGTGGCCAGATGGTTGGCATGCTTCCATGTCTTCATCAATGCAGCAGAGTCAAGCACATGCAAGTTGACCAAAGTAGGGATCTCGTCATGCAAATGCTGGATAAAACTTGGGGCGAATGATTCGATGATATGTCGGACAGTGAGGCCACAGAATTCAGATGATTTCGTTATGAAGACATATTTCTGGAACACGGCGAGTCCTGCGGCAAATGACTCATGGTCTTTTCTATTCCCTTGGGTTCCTCCTGGCTGGCCTTGCAGCTTGTCGACTTCGGGAAACAAGTATTCATCCTCGACGTGATGATGACGGACGATTGTCTTGCAGAGTTGTTGGTTAAAGAAGAGAAAATCACCAGCTTCTCGAGTGCACGGCTGGACGGAGATGGCGTGGTTCCACGAAGCATTCAATGCACGAATGATGGTGTTATGGATCTGTGCCATCTGACGGGCACACCAGAGAGCACTATGGCTCTTAGGCACGGAAGCAGGAACGGTCTCAGGGTGGATGGTAGTGATGAGTGGGTAATGGTCGTCGATGAACCGAGGCCCCATTTGCTGGCTTGATTTGGATGTGCCACTGGTTGCTCTTGAAGCTGCTGAAATGGATGAGCCGTTTGACCGAACGGAGCGCAGCGAGGGCGTGGACGAGCCACGTCCCATGGTGACTGAATAGGCTTGTCGCTCTGCTTCTGAAAGGTACAGAAGATGGGAGTATTTGGTATGAGGACATGGTCTGGAGGGTGGCCCTGCTGATGTAACACTGGCCATGAGGATGGGCTCCTCATGGAGAAGTATGTCTTGCATGCTGGAGTTTTGGTTGGTGTTGATGCAGTTCTGGGTGAGATTGTGCTCTAGATACATCGACTACTCGCCCAGTAGGGGTAGGGAGGCAAGTGGTGATCAGCGAGAGCAGGCGTGTTACAGCACAACATCAGGGCAGGTCTATGTATATATTTGACACGAGCTGACATGGCCCATGTCACCATTTCCATATCTGTCGGAAACAACCGTGTCCAGGCCTGCAGGCTGCAGCTACGGTGCCCCCGACGCATTGAGGCACGTCTTTTGTTTCTAGATTGGGCTCGGCATGGGCACAAAGCGAGAAAGTCAGACTATCGAAAAGCCAGGAAAGTTCTTAGGGGAGTCTAGAGGACGCCATGCCTAGTAGCGGGTCATACCACCCAAAAGGACTGGATGCGATCGACATGGATGTTGTTCAAGCTGAAGGATCCAGCTGGACGCCACCAAGTGGCCAGACGTCGCAAACAACCCTCATTTGGACCCCTTGCCTTTGGTTTGGGCCTGGCGTTTAGATGGCAATGCAAGGAAACGGCAACGGTAGCCCTGCCACGGATACGAAGTAGGCATGGCGGCGACTAGAAGGTTCAGCTTCAGGGGTACCGTTCAGATGCCGTTTGTTGTCAAGCTTTGTTTGGACTGGGACAAACTAGTACGGACACTCCGTTCGCATACTCCGTACACAGCTTGTCGGAGCCATCCTAGCCACCTCCCTAGCGACTTCTCATCTCAGAAGCCTGGTTTACACGTGCGGATTCCAGGATTCCCGGCATCTTTGTGGTTGTGGACTGCCTTCTGAGCAATCCTCTGCCCTCGATGCAATCAAACAGTGCAAGGAACGAACCCCCAGCTGACACAGATCTTTACACCAAGAGATTGGGCTGGCCTGAGTACCGGGGATAGAAGCAAGGGTGTCCCCGGTCCGCTTCTGCAATTTGACGTATATTTCCTACATGGGCACACCCTGTGATCGGGCCACCCGACATCTGTTGATGCAGTAACAATTGCACGATTGACGATCCCGTCCGGGGGAGGGGTCTCGAAGCACTGCGGCTAGCTGAGGCTAGGGTAGGTACCTGATAGGTACTCGGAGGACTTGCTTCTGCAGGGTCTGTATCAGAGACTTTGCGGGAAGAGGTGTTGACATTTGATTTGACATGTTGACACAAGCAACAACCGAAAAGTTGGCAGGAAGCTGAGGACTCGGAAGGGTCAGGTACTGAGGCTAAGGTCGATATACTTCGGAAACTAGGCATAGAAAGTACGGAGTACGGAGTACATATGGTAGGTCACGTCAACCGCAGGCTCAGGCCAAAGGGACGGAGGCACAAGCGCAGGCACAGGCGCTAGGTGGGCGCAGGCACCGACACCGGCACCCCGGCACACACAGGCACAGGCTTAGGCTTACAGTAGGCTACGGGAGGCGGGGTGCCTTGGGTTACTCTGCCCTGGTATTTACCTGTGCTTTTGCTTTTCTGCAGGCATCCGTCCTTTCATGTCAGCATTCAAAACCTTCCCATTCCTTCTGGTCCCAGTCTCATCAATCTTTTGCAAGATGCATTAATGTGGTGATATTTCATGCTCCACCTTCATAACAGGACCAACTACCTAGGACTCCCTGGAGACTATTTCATTTCATACCAGCCGGCACCTACCACCACTTCCTGTCGCACGAGCCCCCTAGCCTTCTCCTATGTCCCACCTCGCTAAAGTCGATCCGAGCTCCTCTCCCGTAGTGTTATTAGGACAAGATCGATCCCCTTCTGAGCTGACACCACATAAGCGAAGTAGTGGACTGCGACCTCGGAAAAGTCTCTTTGTCCGGCGAAACTGACGACACTGACGTGGGCCCTCGTGGTTGTCTTGATCTGACATGCAGCCTAGTATGAAGCTGCAAGAAGAGGCTAGAGGGGAAATAGAAGCAGACGGTCAGCTGTCATCAAAACTGACAGCAGCTGAAGACTACTCGCTGCGCGTTTCTGATTTGAAGAAGACCAGAACGTTCCCACAATTCACGTTCCCTCCACAATTACAGACTCGATATCGTGCTGGCATATTTCTTTGTGCTACGTGCTAACCTACAGAGCTGCTGAGCAAGCCCTTGCTCGATTCCGCTTGCGAACCTAACAAGAGAGAGTTCCAGAATGGACCGTACGGGGCGCTGGACATTCCCACTGTCAGCCAACAGAACCATCTAGGGTCTAGCAAGCCACATCAGCGATGGAACTGGCCAGCACTGAAACAACAAGTGCAACCTTCAGACTGCGAATCCAATTCAAGGGTATGCATGGATCGTTTCGCTGCAGTGTCATGCATGGCAGTCTCCCGACCCCGGAATCACTGACCAATGCAAACTCCTTGTCAGGCCATGGCGTCCACTGCATTGCATGCTCAGAATAGGTGTGCCTGAAACACGTCTCTTGGTCCCAGCTACCGTCTTTCTTTGTTATTCATTGTGTGCAATTGGTCATCAATAAGACTGGCGAGTGGCTCGGAAGCCAGGTGGTATTGCGTTGTTTGCACCTGCGACTAGCCTGGCAGATTCATCTTTGCCGTATTTCCGCCCCTATTGAACATCCCCCGACGGTTTCTGGGATCATTTCTCATACAAGGTCAATGATATGATATGTCAGGAGAAAGGCTGATAAGGGCAAACGCTAACTTACCATGACACTCACTGTCGCTGTTCGTCAAGTGTATCTGGGGCGAAATAATGAATTGACCTTCATTGCCCCTGTACTCCACCAATTCTCGCAACAGTCGTTCGTCTACACGTCATCCTGGATAGAAAGGCCGAAGCATCGCACGTAACCACCCATGATCCATGTCTGTGCTTCTGGACGGTTTGGCTTTCTTTTACTCGTACATGTCGTGGTCGGTCTGGAGCTCGAGCTCGAAGTGGAAGTAGAAATCTTGCATGGTGATGGTCATACTGTACTGCGCAGCGGCGAAACCATACCGCGCACTGAAGCATGGTCCCTCGAGGCTAGCATGCTAGCATGTCTCTGCGTCTCATGCCCAGAGTTTGAGCTTGAATTTACACAATGACGCCTCGAAGGTGGCCACTCTCAAGAGAACCGACCGGCTTTGCTTCCTCCATAAAATATACAACAGCTTATTCGTGAACCAGAACAATAGGAAAAGAGAAAAGATAAGAGACAAAGTAGGCAGGGCGAATAGACACCGAACATGGATAGAATATAAGTTAGGCTAGAATACCATACAATAACAGAGTACACTAAGGTACACAACACATCACACTATAGTATAGTACACTACGCACCACATTATATTATACCTTAAGTATAGTGTAGTACGCGGTATACCACACCACAGTACGGAGTACAGCACACTATAGAATACTATAAACTATAAACCAGCACAGCATAAGGTAGTACACCACACCACACCAACTTATAATAGTAGAATATGTTCAAGGTTTTAAACGGTTTCATTGATTGACTGGCTGGTTCCCTGACAGGCAGTCAGACCACACACAAACACATACTATAGTACCCGACTGACAGGCGACCCGTCGACCATGTGTACTCCGTAAGGTAGGGAGTAATATAGTTTCGGTTGGAGTTGCAGTTGCAGTTGCAGTTGCAGTTGCAGTTATCGTTTCAGTTACAGTTTCAGTGTCAGTTTCAGTGCCAGCCTTCTAAGGTAGGTAGGCTGGTCCTAGGTAGATCATGATTCCATATGGATGGATCCTCGCAATGCACGTGCACTCAAACCTCAACCTCAATCCCAGCCTCGTCAATAACCATACAGTAAACATCTCCCTCCTTCAGAGAGTATTCCATACAGGCACTTGCACATGCACGCACATGCACGCACGACACCTGCATAGCTAGGCAACTATACCTCCTACACGTCATGTGCGTGCCAGCCCCAGCCCCAGCCTCGAAGGTTCCTCCTGAAGATCAAGATCAATGCGAGATCAGTGCAAGAGTATATTTTAGGTGTCTGGTTGAGAACACTTATCCGAGGTGACAAGAGAACTGTACTCCGTACAGAGTACTCATATAACGTGTAAATCAACACGAGACCGTGTGTGCCTGCGAACCCCGGAAATGGACCTTTCGAGATCATGTCAGACATATTTCAAGGTTGTGGTCCAGCCATCGTGCCATCGTGCCATCGCGCCATCCTGTGTCTCCGTTTGCGTCTCCATCTCGTCTGCATCTACGTCCGTAACCGACCAACCCCTTTGTCTTTCCTCTGCAACCGACCATACCCTTGTCTTTCTCTGTCAGGCATGCCAATTGTCAATGGATATACACACCCCGAGTATTGACAGGACGAGATGACGTGCAGAACCCCAGTCAACCTTATACCCGACATGTCAGACAGTGCAAGTTCAGCGGTGGATAGAGTTTGAAATGTCAGAAGTCAAAAGGACGTTTCGGTGGAATCAGTTCATCGACAGCATGACAGACCCGTGCTGCAAAGGTTTTGTTTAGGGACTTTAGGGTTTATGAGGTTCGACCTTCCGGCCTGCTGTGCTGTAGATCTATCAGTTGACCTGTCACTGGTAAACTCGGGGCTGGGATGCTAGACGTTGCCTGTCAAGTCGATACAGAGTAGAGGCAATATAGTAGTCCTGCAATATAGAGTAGAGGTGCCGAGACTGAACCGTAAACTGTGGAAGTCCTGTCTCGCTCATGCACGCTACACGCAACTTTCCTAGGTATGGGGTACTGTCAGGCACAATCACACTCACACCTCGGTTGCGCATTCGTGGGTCCACAAGCCTGGCTGGAAGTATCGATGGCCTCCTTGGTAATGTATGTCCTGTGACGTTTTGGCTCTTCAGGAAAACTCCCACCAGACACAAGGCCCCATCTTCCAAGGTTGAAGTTGTGACCCCTCTCCAGGACTTTGTCGGCCGTGACGTTGGGCAAAAGCCGGTCGCTAGTTCAATACTGGCAGTGGTTGTGGTCGATTGGGCTGCAACGCTAGGTTCGACAGCAGGTTTCACGCCTTATCTGAAAGTTGAGTGACATTTCAACATTTCCGGCCAAGGCAGCCCGGATTGCTTTCATTCCTCTAGTTCAGCCAGCCTAGCCTTCCATCCTTCCACTCCGCGTAGGAGGGCCTCTACCTCCTCCTTTTCGTCTTCGAGCTGGATTCGCCTTTCCGCATCAAGTTTGCTGAAGACGTAGCTTCCCTGACCGTCAAACTGGAGAATCATGCTATGATACTTCCACAGGCTTCGTCGATGAGACACCGTCATCAATGTAGTCCCCAGGCTTTTGGCAGTCTCGTACATCTTCCGTTCCATCTCCAGTGTGACGGAGCTGGTACACTCGTCCAAAATGGCGTATTTGGGTTTGTGGTAGAAGAGCCGGGCCATGGCGATTCGCTGCTGTAAGCCGCCCGAAAAAACATCTCTCCATTCCTCGACCGCATCCCAGCCGTTAGGACGATCGAGAACAGATTCGATCTCCAAGATTTCCAAGATCTGCTTCAGCTCCTCTTCCGAGCAATCCTTGGCCCGGAACTCATAAAGCGTGTCAGGATAGATGATCTGATCTCTGAGTGTACCGCGACTGAGGTATGGCCGTTGAGGGATATAGAAGATGTCTTCAAAACTTGGCTTCTTCACCCTTCCGCCATACACGGGCCACAGGCCGCCGAGGATCCGGAACAAGCTTGATTTCCCACAGCCATTAGGACCGACGATGAGCAGGTGATCGCCGGGTTTGATGCGGAAGCTCAGCTTTTTGACAAGAACATCGCCATTGGGACTGACAATGGGTACGTCGGTGAACTCGATGTTTTCGCTTTCTTCGATCGTCCCGCGACCTTTGAGCACGGCGGCGTTTTCCTCGGTGCTCGCCGAGCTGACCAGCTTCTTTTCGAAGTGGCCCGCCGAAACCTCGTCCATGACGTCCAACAATCCAGCAACTCTTGAAGTATATCCGGCCAACTCGGTGATCTCTTTGTACGAGAACATGATGCGGCCGAACGCATCGGAGCTGCTGAGCAGCATTCGTCTATTCTTGACAAAGCTTTCTGTATGGTCGCCTGCAGCCTGTAGGGTCTGACCGGGGATCTTGAAAAAGACTGGCAGCGAGCACAGGATAAGACCGAGGGCGCCCCAGAAGTATTTGATGACAAAGTCTTCCATGAGTCCATGGTAGAACCTTCTCCGCAATATGCGGTTGACATGTTTGATCAACGTGAAATAACCTTTATCCAATGTATCTTTCTCAGCTTCATGCCCAAAGTACAGCGCAACCTCTTCGCTATAGTCAATGAGCCGGGTATGCTGGAATCGAAACTCTCCTTCCAGTCTCGCCTCGTCCGCCACATATTTCCCGAAAGGAGGTGTGAGCGCACGCATGACATTGGCAGATACTTGGACCAGCAAAGCCATGGCGAAAAGCCCTTCTCCACCCACGGACTTGGACAAGGAGTAATTGTAAATCACCATGTCGAGGATGGGTTTGGCAAGATTCGAATACAATTCGGCAAGGGAATTGCTGAATCGGGCGACGTCGACGGTGATGAGTTGGTCGGGATTTTTGATGCGATCGTCCAAGGCTGACAGGGCATAGAAGGTCATGTTATTGAGGTATTTCTCGTGGATGTGGTTCGTCAATCGCGTCCGGTAGGCGAGCGCCAGTCTGGTTTGGTGGTATTGCAGCATGGAATTGGTGAAGGTGGCCGGCACGGCAACCAACATCCACCAGACCAGACCAAGCACGAAGTCTCTGCCGCGTCCCTTGACCAGTGCCGAGACCACCTTGCCATCGAGGTCGGCCACGTACAGCGACAGGAGGGTTCGCAGGATCAGAAACACGCTGTGGCTGACGAGAAGTCGCAGTTCCTTACTCCGCCACCCGGGTATGACTATCCTCAGCAGGCGAAGGAGGTTGCGGAAGAACTCTCTGTTGATTTCCACCCTCCTTTTCTTGTGCTCCTGACTCGCCGCATCGCTGTCTCCTATGGTGGCGGACTGCTGGGCTCGGATTTCTGCCTGCCTGCGCACCGCCGCCTTCTGCTCGGAGATGGCATTGTGGACTCGATGGACCAGGGCGACGACCAGCGTGACGAAAACGGTGCGGGATATCTTGGTACGATGTTTGAGGTAGAGGGCGCTCAATTCGGAGATGAGTTGCTTGACAGTCCGCCCGGGAGGGAGCAGTTTGGATTGAGCTGCCATGGCGCTGCGCGGGAGAGGCGAGAGACGACGATGGAGGAGAAGGCGGATCTTGAGGCCGCGGTCTCGATCTGGAGCATGGTACGGAATACTGCGTACAGCGTACAGTAAGACGAGACAAGAGTCAATGCGTGGGTGGACGGGCGGCCCTGCTGCAATCACATGTTCATGTTGTGATGGACGATGAACGCATCACTGGAGGCCTGAGGCGTGAGGTCTGAGGTCCGTGGGTGTTGACGGCCGAGGTGCAAATCGCCCAATCAAGACGAGGCAAACGCTCACCCATTCGTACAAGATACCTTATCAAGGACAAGAACAACGACAACAACAAAACATCGGTTAATGTGGCGAAGCTGGGAAATCTAGAGTTCTGGATATAAAGAACCAGTCGGTCTTAGGCCCCGTTCCATGTATTGACGACAATACAAGACACAGCTTTTGCAACTCAGCCTCGTGTCCACGTCTGGCCAGATATTATATATTCTTGCCAACTTCGGTTGAAAAGCTGCTTTCCTGTCTCCCCCAGTACTCTATGCTATCGGTCTAGTGACAATGGCGAAGCCACCGAGAGCAAGGTCAAGTCGGAATGATACTCCGTACTGTGTCAAGATACGATCCTTGCTCTCAAGCGATAGTATCAGTCACCACAACCCCTGATCCATTTTCCAACCGTCGATGAAGGTTTACTCTTCGTGCGGTACTTCCTTCTTGGTCACCGGCCTCTTCGACTTCTTCGTCGGAGAAAAGAATAATGGCACGTCTAGTACTACCATACTAGTTCATAGCTTTGTGGTTGGTTGTGCCAACTAGACATCCTGCATATTCCTACAGATACCCTTCCAACCGTAACATCATAACTCTGGCATTCCTACCGAGAGCCAGATGTGGTCTCTGCGGTGGACCCCTGCATCACAACGTGGCAGCTACCATTTTGCAGCCGTAAATGCAGCCCAGGTCAGGATGTGTCCTTAAACTTGACCGTTTTGTGACAAGTTTCCCCATCTTCATGCTCATGGTATCGGCAGGAGTTGCCCTCGGTGGGATCATCAAAGAGTGATCCGCCGGTGCCTGCTTTGATCGCATTAACGACATCGACGGCGAAGTCGGGCGAGACGGCGAAACAGTCCCTGTACGATGACGCATCCTTTTGCGAGTCGGGGTCCATGATTTGCCTGGCGGCAATCTTGCTGACGAGCTTCCGAAAGGGTGAAGATGGCCGGGTCTTTTCGTAGATGGGTTTCATCTCCTCCGGTCCAGGAACCAATCCAGCCTCGTGACACCCTCGACGGAACTGGTCAATCGCCTGGTTCTTCAACTCCTGCAATCCGATGGTCTCGCACAGAAGATATAACTTTTGGCACTTGAAGGCATAGTCCCATTTGACGTCCTTGGGCATCCACGACACGTCATCTATCTTGCCCTGATAGAGCCACTTAACCAGCAACTCGAAGGCTCCTGGGTCTTCGTCGCGCAGCTCCAGCCTTCCATCCGTTATCCTCTTGTGCTCGCCATTGACAGTAAACGACTCATCGAAGAACCGCGCATGATGGACGAGTAGATTCTGGTGAAGCGACCACTGCCGACCTTCGGGCCCAACAAAGATATGTAATACCGGCCCAGACAATAACCTTTTGCGCGCACCGTCAGCGCAATCTCTGCACAGATCCAGATTGAACGACTCTCCGAAGCAAAGCACGGACAGATGAACTTACTCCGCAAACGATTTCGCGGAGATGTCTCCTATGTTTTCCCGGGGCATTTCAGAGTGGGAGGCCGAGTGGACGGAGCGGAGTGTAGGAGGTGATTTGGTGGGCGCATCAGCGAGCGCGACCGGGCCTTTCTTGGTCTTGAGGATCACACGATCGAGGCGACTGGATAGATGCCGCATGCGACATTGCTAGAAGTTGATATAGATGTGGAATGTAGGACGGATGCAATGACTTGGGACTGCGCTGTGTTGTGCATACTCCTACTACGTAGGAATGCGAAGAGATGAAGACGCTCGGACCACATGTGGCGAGGATGAGGCAATGCGGAGATACGGCGGATTTCTTAGACTCCAATGCAGACATACGGTGGGTTGTATAAACCCCACGCGTGTTTTTACTCCGACGCGACGCGGGGGAAGCGCGTCGCGTTCGACCGTTGCCAACGATTAAATGATCTCCAACAGGTGGCCTGGAACAGAGAACCCTAGGTCATCAACACCCAGGTATCCTCCTGCTTCACAGACACTCAGGGTCCGTGAACAAGTCAGAGCCATTCACCGTCGTTCCTTCGTATCCGGATTCGATCGACCTAGAGAGTCTCTATCAACAGGACGAATATGGTGTCAAACCAACCGCGGAGAACGCTGTGCGCACAACCTTGACCATTCCAAAGTACTCTCCAGGCCCCGAGGAGTCTTCGTCATCTCTTTGCAATACCTCTCCTGTCGCCATGACCTTCTCGTCGTCTCCTGTCCTATATCCTGCAAGCTCGTCTCCTCCACCGCTTCCCGCCTTGAAGAAGAAGCGAAGACTGTTTCAATCATTCCCAACGGCGCCAGAGCCAAAGAGAGCTAGGATAGTAGGAGGGTTCTTGGAGGATAGCGAGGATGAAGAGAACCCGGAAGACCGAGATAAAACGAAGCGTCTTGATCAGCTGCAAGCACCACCAGCCAGAGAGCCAACTTTGCCCACGATCCCGGAGAACCTCGACAATATAGTTGGTACAAAGAACAACACCGAACAAGCACACCAGCAGGTTCCATCCAGTCTGAGGCTTCCACCTCTACCACGGCCATTGTTTCGTACACATACGCCCAAGACGGTCAACATCCACACGGCTTCAGGCTCATCATTGAGCATCCCATTCAGAACACAGTCGGAAGGTCTGACTTATGAACAAATCATTGCTCAACGCTCGACATCTGCCCCGGGCCGTGCAAAGAAATCATACTATGGGATTGATATACACAAACTCATGGACGATGCGAAGACGCAGCGTCAACTCCAAGATTTTGAAAAACAGAGAAAGGCGGCGGAAATAGCTGCAGAGCCAACCCCGCGGGAATCCACCCCGGCTGTGAGTGCAAGTTTCAAGGCAGTAACACACCAAATGTGGACGGAGAAGTACCGCGCGAAGAAATTCACCGAGCTTGTGGGTGATGAACGTACACACCGATCCATCCTTCGGTGGCTCAAATCTTGGGATGATGTGGTGTTCCCGGGCAGTACAAAGCCAAAAGGGGTGCGAGTCTTCGATGACAGAGAACAAAATCAGCAACAGCACAAGAAGATCCTACTTCTGACAGGGCCTCCAGGACTTGGAAAGACCACTCTAGCACACGTGTGCGCCAGACAAGCTGGGTATGAGGTGCTTGAGATCAATGCAAGTGATGATCGAAGCCGGGATGTTGTCAAAGGCAGAATCAAAGACGCCTTGGCCACAGAGACTGTGCGTGGGATCAAAGAACAGGGTAAAGCTAGAAGAACCGGACGTCCTGTTTGTGTGGTAGTAGATGAAGTCGACGGTGTAACAACAGGTTCGAGCTCGAGTGGAGGCGAAGGTGGCTTCATCAAAGCCTTGATCGATCTGGTTCAGCTTGATCAACGAAATTCCGCGGCTGGCACGGGAGATTTGGCCAAAGGCAGGAAGAGGAAGGGCGACAGATTCAAGATGCTCCGTCCATTAATCTTGGTGTGCAATGACGTGTATGCGCCGTCACTTCGCCCTCTACGGACCAGTGCCATTGCCGAGATCGTTCACGTCCGGAAAGCGCCAATGGAAAAGGTCATTGCCCGAGTGAAGGCGATCTTCGAGAAGGAGCGCATTGCGTGCGACAACGATGCTGTCCGCCGACTTTGTGAGAATGCCTGGGGCTTGGCGATGCGAAAGCAAAGAGGGCCTGGCTCGAGAGGTTCGGGAGAAGGCGACATTCGAGGCGTCCTGGTGCAAGCAGAATGGATCGCACACAAGCTGCGAGGACGTGATGGAATTCCTCGGCTGACCAGGCAGTGGCTCGAGTCTCAGCTTGGAGATGCTCAAGCTTCACAGGGACTCGGACGTGGTAGTACCCGGGAGGTTGTTGAGCGAATATTTCTCGAAGGAGCTGGCCTGTCAAATCTGCCTACAACACTCTCCGCCGACGATGCAAGACTCGTGGCTGATACCAACATCCACCCTGTTGGGGTTTCAGACCTCCGCAAGCGAGCGGCGATCCACGCGTTGAGGGAGATGATAGATACCTGTGGGGAGCATGACCGAGTCGTGAATGATTGCTTCGCCATGTATCCCACACGGCCGTACCAGGATGATGTCCAGCTCTCCAAGCCGAACGCCGGTTACGACTGGCTTCATTTCCACGACTGCTTATCCAGCCGAGTATTCTCGGATCAAGAATGGGAACTGATGCCGTACCTCAGTACAAGTGCTTGTGGCTTCCATCATCTTTTTGCAGCAGTCGACAAGGGTACGGCGTCATGGAACGAAGAGAAGGCCGAAGAGGACGACGTTGATGTACACCCATTCGGCGGCCCAAGGGCAGATTTCACTGCTTATGAGGCAGAGAAACAAAACCGGACTCTGCTTACTGAGCTACGATCCAACTTTTCGGGGTCGCTGTTGAGGATGTTTAACACGATCGACACGATCGCTACCGAACTTGTCCCCAACGTGGGCAAAATCCTTGCACCAGATGTGAAGCCTGTTGTAATTGGGGGATCTGGTGGATCTGCCAGTGTGGCCAGTGTGCGCAAAGAGTCGGAGAAGCTGTGCATGAGACGCGCAGTGCAGACCATGATTGCCTTGGATGTCTCGTTTGAAAAGGTCCGCGTCGAGATCGAGGGTGGCGGCGCTCATTCAAATGGTGGCTATGCTTACAGGATGGAGCCGTAAGTCTCTAACTTCTCCTTTCGTGCGTTGTTTCACTACTGACAGGGATACAGACCTCTCGATCTGCTCCTCAGCTTTCATTTCGACAAAGCTACAAAATCGACAGCCCCAACTCGATATGCAGTCCGACAGGTCCTTGACCAGGAGCTCAAGAAGGAGAAATTGTTGCAGAGCTCACTCACAAGGATGGCTCGGTCTGGAGTCCTTGATACGAGAAAGCTAGGTGACCAAGACAAGGAAAATCTCGGATCAATCAAAAACAGCAAACAAGCAATGATAAAAGACGCTGGTTCGAAGCGTGATTTCTTTGGCCGGATTATCAACGAGACTCGACCAACATCATCGGGCAAGGGGGCTGTGGCACAGATGACGACAGAAACAGCCCCTCACGAAGGCCGAGTATGGGTATCATTCCATGAGGGCTTTTCAAATGCCGTTCGAAGACCCATCACTCTAAAAGAGCTGATGGACGGGTTCTGAGTGCACCATCATGGGGCGATGTCAGGCTGCCAGCGTCGGCGTTGGCGTCCGGCGAGGTTGTCACGATGAAACGATGGCTGAGGGAGTCCTCCAAAGTTGCTGCTAAGATCATGGTTGGGTACCTTGAGCATGAAGTATCGCCAGTAGCAGGAGCAGGAGTATATTCCTAAGCTAATACTCCGTACTCCATACAGAGAACAAACCTACTACTATTAGTAGTGGTGGTTGTAGTAGGGACTCACCTCAGCCTCGTGCAACAGTGCTAGACGTTTTTTTGACCGAGCCCGATCCTGTTAATACCCAAGGCGCTCGTAGAAGTTCACATTGCATCTCTCTTCGTCCTCCTAGGATCCGTATATGCGAGTACGGATCCAAGTTACTAGATTGTGTCCTGTTCCCTGTTCCTGTCCCCTGTTCCTGTCCCCTGTTCCTGTCCCCTGTTCCTGTCCCCTGTTCCTGTCCCCTGTTCCTGTCCCCTGTTCCTGTCCCCTGTTCCTGTCCCTTGTTCCTGTCCCCTGTATTCTGGCCACCTTCTCCTCCGGTCAGGGTTATGTTAGTTGTTAGTTTTTAATTGAATTGAATAGCTGCTAGCTCGTTGGTCGTTAGTTAGTTGAATAGCTGCTCACTCCTTCTACTCGATCTGGACAGCGTCCTCTTTCACAGGATGACTCTGGCCCTCCACGTCATTCGGAGTTGATTTCCCAAAATCCGCGTCCAGAATCGTGGCAATCTGGTCCGTCATGAGGTTGTCCACATTGGGCGCCCAGAAGCTCATGATGACAGCCAAGCCGCTGAAGGCGAGGGAGATGAAGAAGACGGTCTGAAAGGCTTGCCTCTTCTCCTCCAAGCCCGAAGCCCGAAGCAACCATGGCAGCAGAACTAAAAAAGCCCGGCGACCTAGCCAACACCGATGATTCAGGCCCTTAATGAAGCCGAGAAGTCCCTCGCTCATACCAGGTTCGAACACAGCCTTGGATTCTGGCAAGCCTGTCGACTATACCGCCCTGCCCTCCTGTGGGCCTTCTTTGTCAACCTATCCGTGATCCTGTGCGGGTTCGACGGGGCCCTGATCGGAAGTCTGGTTGGACTGTCACCTTTCACCCAAACATACGGCAGACTGGTCAATGGAGAATATCAGGTGGCGCCTGCATGGTTGTCCGCATTCAACTATGCCGGCATGGTGGGCTCGATCCCGGGCTCCCTGTTTGGAGGAATGGCATAACTCTGGCATCGTACGTGATCATGTCGTACGCCGGGCGTCGCACCATCTCTCTCTGGGGCACCGCGGCCATGGGAACCATGTGCTGCATCATCGGCATTCTCGGGGCGGTGCCGCACCACAACTCCGGCCCGGTCTGGGGCATGTGCTCGTTGATGGTCATCACCAACCTGATTTACGATCTGACCGTGGGCCCGCTCTGCTTCACCGTGCTGTCTGAGGCGTCGGCCGTCAAGCTTCGGGGTACGACCATTGCCATCGCGAACATCACCGTCACCATTTTCTCCATTGTCTTCGCTGTCGGCATTCCATACGCCATGGACGTCAACGGTGCGAACTGGGGAGGCAAACTGGGCTTCTTGTTCGCCGGCATTGGCGTTCTCAACGTGGCATGGTGCTACTTCTTCCTACCTGAAACCAAGGGGAGGACGTTCGAAGAGCTTGACTTGATGTTCCAGCTCAAGCTCCCGACCCGCCGGTTCAAGGCCTACCAGATTGAAGGGACCCATGTGGCTGCGAAGGAACTCGGTAAGGACGAGACTACGACGGCTCCTTCGCATTAGCCATGACAGTATGTGTAGTCCTGGTGGGTGGGGGGTGGGGAATGGACCATTCTGATTAGGGACTGATCTGAAGCAAGATACACCTATAGGAGAAAGTAGCTAAGCCAGATTGGGAGTAGTGTAGTCCCCAAATCAGCACGTGACTCGTGAGAATAAGACCAAGCTCCTCGTCTGGTTTCACGCATACGTTTCCTGACTCACACACGATGGAGAATGACCTGTGTACTGGGCCGAGTTTAGAGCACCCAGTATACAGGAACACTCCCAGATGGCAAAGACGGCGACAATGGGGGATAGTTGATAATAGGGGCACCAAAGGGATAGAGAGGAGAAGAGGGGAGCGGGTGCTCCCTAGGGAGTACCAAACTAGCCCCAAAGGGCTAGTGGCTCTTGGCGCATAATTGCATTCAGTTGGCGCAGCCGGGACGCATACATGTACGTTTCCTGTAACCTGTCTTTATCCATCATCACTCAACCCTTCGACGAAACGCCTTTCCGCAGAACGAACAGCGTTCGACACCTTGGTCATGACAAACACTGTCTGAGGATCCGAGGCCCTTCCTTATTGGCTCGTCTGACCGGTGACGGGCCACTTCCATCACGATGTCGGCGAAGCCTTCACATGCACCACTTCATCTTAGCATTTTCAGCCAGGTGTATCTCATTGATGGCAAAATTGTTCGAAAATTTCCCGAAGAGTCTTCATACCCGGACGACCCTACAATTGCTATCCTCAATGAGAAAGTTGCGTACGAGCACATCGGCAATCACCCTCGTATTGCGCAATGGATCCCCAGCGATACTGATGATTACATTGACCTCGAGTACTATCCGAACGGCAATATCCTCGACTATCTCAATAACTACAGAGACGAGATTGCACCTGATTTAGTGGCACGATGGGGCTCACAGATTATCGAGTCCATTGCTGTGATCCACGCTAAAGACATTATTCATTCAGATCTCAATCTCAAACAAGTCTTGCTTGATGACAATCTCAATGCTCGACTTTCGGATTTCAATGCGTCAGCGTGTCTCGGGCAACCGGCACTTGGGTACGAAAAGGCAACCCATTGCCTCCCGAGAGATCAACAAGACCCAAACACCGTTCAGTCTGACTTGTTTGCACTCGGTTCAACGCTCTACGAGCTCGCACATGGCAAAGGACCATATAGTGAGCTATATCCTCAGCCGGATACATCTATCCAACCAGAAGATGCACAAATTTCTTACTACAAGCTTCGAGAACAGGCAGATCAGAAAGTTGAACATCTTTTCAGCCAGAAGATCTTTCCAGACGTGTCCGGGTCCTTCTGTGGGTGTACCATCCGGGGCTGTTGGGAAGAGAGATTCACATCGGCTGAAGAAGTACTCTCATCATACAAAGATGAAATCACCAAGTCTGGTCTCGGAGGGGACGATCACATATGAATGATTGTTACGGGTCGCTCTAGGCCCGATGCTATAACACATGGAGTTCCTGGTACATGGAAGGTACTGAGATTTGGCGTTGATAGCATAAGTGTGATGAGATTGATAGTCAATACTCATGGGAGTATCAGATACCTTGAACGAAGTTCAATACCCAGGGAATTGTGAAAGGAGTGTCCTCGCAGAGTACCAACATAAGCCCGTACTTCTGTCATGCTCTGTGGGGCTGTCGAGTAGTTTTAAGCTCAGTCCACAGTCCACAGCTTACTCTGCAGCACTCTTCTTGTCTGCCAGCACGTACCCACAGGCCTCGTGCACTTCTTGTGGCACCTTACGATAGCATCCAAAGAGTGAACAGCTAGCTCAACCCACGCCGCGCTCCAGGTCCTTATGTCAAAAAGTTCAACCTCCTGTGAGGTTATCCATCTCATACATTACTGTTCAGCGCCTGAAGTTCAGCAGCAATATCAGTTCATGTGAGTTTCAGCTCACCTTTCTGCCAGATGCACTAGCACCTGCATCCCTCTTTGTCCAGGCTGGTCGTGTAGCAGATTTTTGGCGGCTGGAACCTGCCACGTAAAACTTGTATTTAGGACATTTGGTAGCATCCTTTGGAGGGTTGTTGCATGGATAGGTCTTCTTCTCCTTCTTTGTCACGCCTCCAACTATATTTGTAATTTCGTATACCTCACACATGTTGACCTTCAGGCGTAGGATTAAAACTGAAGATCCTTCTGTGCACAATAGGAAAAAGAGAGCGACAATTACATATCTTTAAGCTTACGACAACCAGCGGTTGATGGCGGGGTAGAAGCCCAAAACTATCCCTGCTGGGTTTTTGGTACCCTATCATATCTCCCTATATTATCCTATGTCACCCTATATCACCCAACCACCCTGTGCCATCCCATGTCAGCCCATGCCATCTTGTGTTACCCTATGTTATTATATGTCATCATATGTTACCCTATGTTGTCAGTTGCCACGTCACTTTTGTGCTCCCTATGATGACTTGTAGCGCAGTGCTGAACACGGACGCTCACTTTCTCAAAATGCCACAGAAGGGCAATCCAAGCCGAGCTACCGTACGAGAGACTTAGCTAAGGCTAGGTCTAGATTCGCTGCTAGATACTATAATGTTCAGGATAATCGCTGGGTTGCTCCATGAAGGATCATTACAGCTTGTAGTAGTAAAGTTGGAGAGCAGTCCCGACGCCTTTCTCGATCCGTAAGACGATACAGAGTACTAGAGGGAGCGCCGTTGTGGAGCGTAGAGATCGGGTGCAGATCAAGAGACGTGCCTGAGGTAGTAGTAGTGAACAAGGTAGGGCAAGACTCGAGTGGCCTGAGGAGAGCGATGATGGTGATAATGCTTTATAGGATAACGGAAGTGGGAACCTTCGATAGGAGCAATACGTACGGAGCACCTCAGGTACTAATTAGGTATAAACCCACAGCCTGATACCCGCAGCCTGATACCCACAGCCTGATACCCACAGCCTGACAAGAGGAGAGAGGAAGCCAAAAGCGGCGCCCCCAACCGCTGTTTCGGGCCACCTGAATCACCAACATGGCGAATACTCCACCGTACTATTCTAACCAGCCGGGTATCGTTTCCGCATCACAGACCGAAGTCTTGGCGCGGATGGCTTTTCGGACAGTCAGTCCCAGTCGTGTCCGCGCCCGCGCAGTTTCGCGACAGGGCTTCAATCCAGCCCCAACTTACCAGGTTGAAGAAGCCGCTCATCGTTGCACAACCCCCAACGTCGCAAAGCGAGAATTCTGGCGCTAGTGATATCCATATCGATTTGCTTGCGCGATCAGCACCTATTCTCAGATTTGCGCAGTCGTCGAAGGTGTCAGGAGGCTGGTTAGATCGGTTCAATCTCGTCCACATTTCATTATCATCATGGACAACAAACAAGAATCCCCCGCCGACCTGAAGCACGAAGCTACCGATGCCACTGGAGTGGGCGCTGATGAAGTGGGAGCGCCCAGTGCCCCCGAAGCGGCTGATCAGAATCAAGGTACGCGTCGCCCAGGTGACCAATTTCTTCTGTCTTTACTTACCCAAATCATCAGGTGCTGGCTCACCCAGCAATGGCCATGATACGACCTCTGCCAACCCACTAGATGCTCCGAAATCACCTCCCATACAGACCGAAGGAAACGGCGAGCAAGGGGATGCCGAGATGGGCGGAGTGGACGACGATGCCAAAGGCGATGAAGCTGATGCTGAAAAAGACAACATCGATGACACCCAGGGAACGCCCGCCGGCACCAACGCCGAGGAGGGTCAATCTACTCAAGCCAAATCAAACCTCGAAGCTGCCGCCAATTCACATTTGGTGGCGCAAACCCATCAAATCATTCTTCCCAGCTACAGCACCTGGTTTGACATGCAGACCATCCACGCGATCGAGAAGAAGTCACTCCCCGAGTTTTTCAATGGCCGCAACCGAAGCAAGACTCCTGCCGTGTACAAGGACTACCGTGATTTCATGCTCAACGCCTACCGATTGAACCCTGTCGAGTATCTCACCGTGACCGCGTGTCGAAGAAATCTAGCTGGTGATGTGTGCGCCATTATGCGGGTACACGCCTTTCTAGAACAATGGGGGCTTATCAACTACCAGGTGCGCTCACTTGACCATGACTCCCGGAATGGTCTGAGGCTGACGATGATAGGTCGATCCGCAAACACGTCCAGCGAATATTGGACCCCCCTTCACAGGACACTTCAGAGTGACCGCTGATACGCCACGAGGATTGCAACCATTCCAACCGGCTCAGAGCACATTCACCACCCCCGGCAAGCCACATCCTGCGACCGACCGAGCAAAATCAGCCACTCCCGCATCCAAGGCAGATTTGAACCTGGAACTCCGGCGCAGCGTGTATGATGACAAAGGAAAGGAGATCAAAACCAGCGAAGAGGCTGCAGACAAACAAGCGAATGGCGAAGGTGCAACAGCCAACGGCACTGCTTTGGGTGATGCCGCCGCTGTCACCAAGGCGATGGAGTCCGCCGCAAAGGAACCGATCAAATCGTTCAACTGTTATGCTTGTGGTATTGACTGCACCAGATGTCGTTTTCACTATGCCCGGTCAGATCAGGCGCCGGGAAATAACAGTTCGACCGAGACCAAGTACGATCTATGCCCCAACTGCTACTTCCAATCGAGAATGCCCAGCAATCATCGCTCTTCAGACTTTGTGAAACTGGAAGAACCTGCTTACGCGCCAATTCCGGACAAGGACGCGCCCTGGACCGACTCGGAACTTTTGCTACTTTTGGAGGCGCTGGAAACTTTCGACCATGACTGGAACGAGGTTTCGAAACACGTCGGCACGCGGACAAGAGAGGAATGCGTGCTCAAATTCCTACAACTTGACATACAGGATCAATACCTCGAGGACTCAGCATTGAATGGCTCGACGATGAAGTTACTCAGTGGTCGAAGCCCGCTCAGTCAACTCGAAAACCCAGTCATGTCAGTCATCAGCTTTCTTGCCCAGATTGCCGAACCCAGTGTTATCGCCGCGGCCACCGGTCGGTCTATTGCGGCCATGCAGAAAGAGTTACGGAAGCAGCTGGAAAAAGGCATGGGTGGCAGTGAGGCGGATAGCAAAGACAAAGAAAAAGTCAAATCCGAGGACACGATGGACGTGGATGAGACATCGGTCGAACAACCTTCCGCCGTCTCTAAGGGATCCGATGTGATCAACGAGATTGCCACTACGGCGTTGGCGACGACGGCCGCTCGCGCCAGTACTCTTGCTTCGCACGAGGAGAGAGAATTGACTCGGATGATTGGGGCGGCGGTGAATTTGAGCCTGCAGAAATACGAGTTCAAGATGACGCAGTTTGCCGAGATGGAGGAGATTGTGCAGGCGGAACACCGAGATCTGGAGAAGGGCCGTCAGCAATTGTTCTTGGACCGACTATCCTTCCGAAAGAGAATGAAGGAGATGATGCACACCTTCCAACAAGCAAGTCTGAAGGGAGCGGAAGAAGGCACGCGAGCAATGCAGGAGACTCTCCAGACCAACGCCGGCCAGCGATTTGGATTCCAACCCGACCACGATACCTCTGGAATAAGGGTGAATGCGGCAGGACGTGGTGATGGGAGAGGCACTGAGCTATAGTGTAGGGCTGCCCACATGCCACACAGCCGGGGCATATGATATGTTGCATGCACGTTTCACATGGAGAAGGTGTTTTGTCAAACGTTTACGGTTCTTTTGCTCTTTCTTTTTCCCTTTTTCATTTTCGGCTTTGACAGGGATGGACGGGACAGGACGGTCTATCAGATATGTGGTATGTAGTATATAGTATGTAGTATGTAGAGGCAAGAAAAAGGACGAAGCGAAGATGGTTCAAACCATCGCCGGCTCATTAAAAAGACTCTAGAGACCGCGTGATCGGACGGATCTAACCGGGAGCCTGTTCTACATTCTCCACTAGATCCAGATTAAGTACAGTATGTACTAATTAATTAGTACAGTAAATTAGGGCTGTGAGTATTTTGCACCCATAGGTGCTGATTTCGCACCCGTGTACGGAGTACGGAGTGGTCTATAATAGGCACGGAGTGGCTGTGCATCTAGGTATCTTCCGACCATAACGACACGACAGGGATGGCTTTAAGATGTTAATGTAGGAACCAAAGCTCAAGGTAGAGATAGGAAATATCTGACCAGGTAGAGAGCTTAGGAGGCATAAGGCTCAGGTATCATATGACTCTACCCGGCTAAGACACGGCGGGGGCTGGGGCCATAGGCTCAGACTCAGACTCTACTCAGGGGCATCAGGCTCAGGAGGGCCATTCACTCTTTTTCCAATCCAGCACCAGCACCAGCACCCACCCCTCACCAGCACCAGCACCCACCCTCACCAGCACACATGCACATGCACATGCACGTGCACATCCTCCGCCATCCATGTCACTCCAGTACTGGATCGAAAAGTATAGATTCATCACCTGTGGCGACCTCGGCCACGTGTTTCAGATCTCCGATGACATCGCGCTCAAATGCTCTACGGTGCAGGGCGATCCACGGTGGAAGGACGAGAGCCGCGTCTATGACCAACTCGAACGCCATCCTCCCTGTCCTTACATCGTGTACAGCTTTTTCCGTCAGCCGGACCTGACTTTCATGGAGTATCTACCCGGGGGACATCTCGAGGACCGACTCCGACGCCGACAGAAAAGAGACGCCATAACTGACCAGGTTTTGGAGGTGTATGGCACCGAGCCCAAACGCTTGATCATACGATGGATGAAAGAGCTGGCAGCAGCTGCTGCTTGGTTGGAAAAGCTGGGCTTGTGCCACGGCGACATCAGACCGGCTAATATTCTGTTGGACGCTCACCATCACTTGAAGCTGGTCGACTTTGACAACACCGCCGAGATCGGTTCCGCACGCGCCCTGGGCCCTGTGCCGTATGTCAGGCTGTTGGGTGACGAATGTGAAGCCGGGGCGGATTGGGGCTCTGGTGGACTGGTGGGACCGGCCACTGAACAATTCGCTTTCGGATCGGTCTTCTACTATGTCACTCGCGGCTACGAGCCGTACGATGATCAATACTTTGGAAAAGATCACGGCCCGATTGTTGTCGATATGTTCCAACGCAAGGAGTTCCCGCCGACAGATGGCACAAGTGACTTGGATTCCATTGTTCGCAGATGCTGGTATGCCGAGTTTCCGACCATGAAGGATCTGGCTGCCACAGCTGAGTGTCTGAGATGTGAGGATGGGGATGGGGATGGGGATGAGGATGAGGATACATTCTTAGCTGAGCCGCCACCTAAGGCCATGACAACTGACTTCATTCGAGCTAGACGGCAGGAATGCCGGCGAATTGCCGCCGAGGCTCTTGCAGCACCACAACCCCAACCTGAATTAGAACCTGTGGCCGTTGATGTTGACGACTCTGTTAAAGGTTGAAATTTTTTTCCTGCTCTCTATCAAAGCTTTGGGTATGGATATGGGGAGAGCCCAGGCTATATAGGTTGTGCCTATGTATACCAGCCTTCTGGTTAACGGGCAAGGCTGGGAATGCCTAAGTGAGCGCCTAAGTTTGATAACAGTAAGGCGCCATGAATTTGGACACCCAGTCTAAGACCTCCTTGTCCGGTCAGGTGTTTCTTGTCTCTACCTTGGGTCTTGATCCTACATTAACATCTCAAAGCCATTCTGTCGTGTCGTACCTATCCGTGCACTCCGTGCACTAGTTTGACAACTTACACACTTAGTGCTCGGAGTGCACGGATAGATGCACAACAACTCTGTGCCTATTGGGACTATTCATACACCTGCTACTTACTGTCCTAATTACTAGCCCCTGGGATACGTCGGAGGTCCGCTGCGCTCATGAGATTGATCAAGGTCATGGTACTGCCTGAGAACTGGTCCACGCGCAAGTGCTTCGTGTCGATCAAGTCCCTCAGCGTGTCAGTGTAGGGCTTCCCCGCCAAGTTCACTTGATACCACCGCATGTCCAGATCCATCGCGTCAACCAGTTGTTCCAGCTTCATCTGGAACATGCCGTCGCCGGTCTTCTGGAATAAGGCGTCGAGGAGTTGTACATAAGGGCCAAGCCGAGGGATTGGCAGCCCGACGACGTCTCGGTGAGCCAGGTAGTCTATTTGCTGACTGTATGCTGCTTTTTCATCGTGATCCGAAGGCTCAAGGACGATCAGGAGGTGGCCCAGACCCCGATCACTGAACAGGACCACCGGGATGTCCGGAGCAGGCAGATAGCGAAACGTCGGAGACGTCGTCTTGTATTCAGTATAGATGTTGGGCTCGCCGCGCGGTTGTCGTGCATACAAGCCACTCCGAACCAGTGCTTGCTCGGCTGCGGGAAGCTGTGATTCAGGCACACAAAGCTCAATCTCCTAGTGCAGTACAGTCAGCCCAGCCCAGGCCCTGGTAGGTGTAGGTGAAGGGTGCAAGCTGCGTACGTGAAGGATTATTGGGACGTTGTAGTAGTTCTGAGCAAGTTCCCCGATGACCACAGGTTGGATGTTTGAATCGACCAAGACCCGCACTGCGTCATGCAGCTCATTCATGGTCATTGTCCTGGGTTGAGAGGTCGCAGCGGTAGGAGGCTCGTCATGAAATATGAATATGGGTCAAGACTAGACATGTTTCCACGGAAGCCTGGTGAAGTCCTGTCTTGTCGTGTCGTATCGAGCTGGATCGGTGACCGCTTGTTCTTTTGTGGTACGGTGTACGGAGCAGTGGTAGTCGAGTTTGGCTTGCCCCGCCACTGCCACTAGCAGAAGCGTCGGCCTGATCATGGGACCCTAAGGCTCCCTAGGCTTGGTCTGCGGGCTAAGGGGTCCCTCAGCCGACCAGAGGAGTTGGCCGATCAAGACGCCGGTCCTGGCTCGGTGCCTGGCGTGTCGTGGATGCGGGGGAAAGACCCACGTCCATGTGAGATTCCGCGTTTCAAGTTCAAGAGGTAGTGTCCTAGAGACCAAGCTTGAAATGCTAGTGATAGGTCGCATAATTCAGCCCTCAGCCATATATATCAGGTGTCTGTGTTTTGTTCTGTGTATGTACTTCGTACAGTATGCCGACGGCAGCGGTCGGCTTGTATGCACCAACCCATGTCTGTAGAAGCAGCCATAAGGTCATTTTGGGGCGACCACGATCTGGTGCGACCTTCATGCCTAATGACATCATCTGAACCGAATATCAACTGTGCCAACACACAGTACAACACACGAGAAATCAGGGGGCTGAGCCAACGGTAGAGAACTGCGAAGGAGTCAGGAAGCCGTCTATCCCGGTGGATTTGCTACGACACATAACAGGTATATAGGCCTTGGGTGCCGGAATTTCTGTGGTGTACCATTACTATCGAGCATGACTTGGGGGGGTTTCAGACTGGACTGGACTGGTCCCCTTCGCGATATCTTACAATCCACGAGTTGTAAACACCTTGAAATCAGTTGTACAGAATGAGACAATCCCGATTGAATGATGCAAACATTGCGCTGAATGCTATCTTACGCCACGAAGGGATCCGCTTTGGTGCGTTTGGGGGATATGCAATTTCTGTCCTCGACGGCCCTCGCGAGAGCAAAGATGTCGACGTCATTGTGTTTTGTTCCAAGGATCGCGTTATTGCAGCTCTTAACGGCAGGTCTGGTTTTGTCTATGTCAACCAGGCACGTCCAGACTATGCTGCATTTCTCTGGTCCGAGTCTTCAAATCGTGCAAATGCCGTCTTGGTCGAACTTTTCGTCACCGAATTTCAAGGTCTGTAACCCCCAAGGGGAAAATCCACTTGCTAATGACGACAGGCGCCCATTATTCAAGTCACAACATCGAGGTATCCCAACGAAATGTGACGGGAGATGTATTCTCTTCACGCCCGATATGCATTTTGCCACCGTTCAACATCTTCGAGGGAAAATTGGCGGCGGCGGCGACGCGCCATAAATTCCATGATTCCGCAGATTTGCGGTGGCTCGAAAGCCGGTTCAGGAACTCAATAAGATCACGGCGCAATGAGATAAACCTTGAACACGTCGGTCTTGCGTTGAAGAGATGGCCAGAGCTTCAACATTGCTTTGAGCGCATAGGCATTGATACGAAAGCAGCAAAGGACAGAGTTTCGAATGTTGATATACGCCACCTGCCGCCGCCTCGGCCTGGGGATGTTCAGAGGAGTATTCTTGGTTAAGATGTGTCACTTGTCTTCATATCATAGCTCCATAAACCTGCCGGGATCGAAGGCATCTCTGTTTCGACGTTGTTCGGTGTTGCAAAGAAGTCCTCTCGTAAAGGTCCTTGTACTTGCACCAGCTTCTGGCTTCAAAACGTAGCCGCGCTGGTTACTGGCCAGAATGCCTCCGTGTTTTTCCATCTGAGTGGTGTGATGGGTGTGGCCAAACACCCACCATTGAGGGCGAGAGAAGGCCTCATCGGTGCCGAGAAGATCGGTTGCAAAGGCTTCGGTCAATGTATTCCCTTCATCCTCCGGTTTAGAACTGCCGTGTACGGTCGGCGCATGATGCGTCATGACGATCACATTGTAGTTGTCACCGACAGCACTGAGCTGGCGAAGAAGCCATTCTCGATCCTTGACATGCTCCTCGTTGTGCTTTTCCACAGACCAGTCTTTGATTCGTCGGAAGTCTTTGATCTTCGCTTCGATTTCGGCTCTGTTCGTATCCGTCACATGAGATTGCAAAGTACAGCCGAGAATACACAAGGACGGGGAAATGTCGACCCGGTTTCTGTTGAGGACCTTGAGTCGACCACTGAGGCACGGTTCGGTCTCCAATTTGGAGGCCAGTCCAAGCCCCTCATCACGCGACAGTCCGTAGAATTCGTGATTTCCCAACACGAGGCAGACCAGCTGGAACTTCTGACATTGCGTGGCAAGAAATGTTCGGTAGTCGTCGTAGTGTTGGAGTTGCCCGATATCCCCGGCGAGCAGGAGGATCTGACCTCGCACTGGAATGTGGAAGCTGCTGTATTGACGACCGACTTCAAGGTGCAAGTCCGACACGAACTGTACACGAAGCTTTTTCCTTTTCCTTCTTACGCTCAAGACCTTGGGCAACAGGCTGAATGGGAAGGTACAGGTCGAAGGCATGTGGCTGAGGACTGAGGACTGAAGACTCGCGATAGGGAGGCTGCCTCTACATGGATCAGACGGGGTCCGGTGTCCGGTGTCCGAGGCCGGGTACTGCTGCAAGGTAGAATTGAAATGACTGAGATCATACTACAGGTAGAGGTAGGTACTAAGTAGCAGGATCCATACGGATACATAATAAGGTATCTACAGATGTACGTATGTCGTTGGGTTTAAGGGGGCGGGGTGAGCATTAGCGTTCTAAGCTTATTCAGGTTAGTGTAGTTTCCTCACCACTGGAGCGTCCTTAGGCCAAGGGAGGCAACTGAGCCGAAACCTATACCTGATACTCGTATATGATACCTGATATATGATACTTGATATATGATATCTGATACCTATTTAGATATCAACCCCCGAGTGGATTGTTAGCATCTAGCATGTACATATACCTGTAACAGCCGCATAGCATGTCCATGCAAACGCGAGATGCCGGTCATTCAGAGGAGTGAGACTTTCTCCTCCCGCGCCTCTTCAAACCAGGCCTCATGCTCGACGACGAAAACGCCGAGCCGGTGGTATTTCCCCTGGCAGTCACGCCGCAGCATCAGCCCTTCCTCCTTGATGACTCGCATGCACCACAACGGTGATGTCTTCTCATCGGCCACATCAAACAGACCGACGCCTACCACTCGTTCTGGAAGATGGCCGGGAGCCACCAGAAGAACACCGCGCTTGGCGATCCTGCCCGGTGAGTACCACCATCTCGTCCGCTTGGAATACTCTGGTACTCGGCGGGTTGAGCAAGCCACCTCGACCGGTGCCGCCATCATCTCCAGCTCACACTCGCGCATCCACATCTGGTTCACATCACAGCTGTCGTTGTTGGTCCACCTGGGTGGCTGGTCCAGAGCCGGCCGGATGCAAAAGTTCGTGGCAGTGCGATACTTCTGCCTGTATTTCTCCGGCCGCTGGACCGAGTTCGTCAGGACTGGGCCCTCAACTGATGCCCAGGACCAGGATGGAGCCCGCCGTGCTGGCTGTCCCAGTAGGTGAGGGTTTTTGGCGTTTCTCTCGGTCGGACGTCTCAAAGCCAGGGATCCATACTTTCCACCAGTCGGCATGGCGGCGATGGCGTCGTTCCAACTGTGCCACAGGAGGCCTCTGATCAGATCGTCTTCCCACAGTCCAGCGAGATATCGGCAGCCCAGAGTGCCTTGGACCGCCTTGGCGATGCCCGCCAGAGCCGCGAAAATATCGTGCGGGTCATAGATGCTTCGGATCGAGTATCTGTCTACCATATGATACCAGCGGCGGAGCATTGTTTCCTTGGCAGCATTGCGTTCAGGCTCGGTCTTCCACAGCTCGCCCAGAATGTAACGCCCTTCCTGGGTGGCTTCTCGGAGGGTGATGGTGCCGTCCTCGTAGAATGTGCCCTCCTGACATTCGAAGATCAACTGCTCCGCACCGTACACGATACCGCGTCGACTCAGAACTGATTCTTGGAAGCACCAAGCACGATCTTCCACGCGACCTCTGTCCAAGCTTCTCGGGAGAGAGATGTAGCACACGCTGGTATCTACCGGATTGTCGGGCAGGATGTATTCCAACTGATGCACTGGTGCTGTGGGCTCGACGAGATTGTCGATGAAACCCAATGTACAGTTGCCATTTCGTCCGGCCACCAAGGTCAGTTCGGAATTGCCGTAGACGCGTGTCATATTCGCACTCTCAGTCTTCCAGTCCTCCTTGCTGTCTTGTATGATGCAGAGGGCATCAATCCATATATACTGAAATCCAAGCTCACGAGTGACACGCAACGCTTCTTGATGAGTCCTGGCGATGTGCACTTCATCAATGTACCGCAACATGCCGTCGTACGTCGCCTTCTTGAGTCGGGTCTCTGGTTTGACCCCGTCCCCCCAACAATACGAGAGCGCAACATATCTGTCAGCACAACCGTTCGTCACAAATACAAAAGGTGCGAGCCCTTGCGACGGACAGCCAACATCGATGACTCTGGTCGGCATGGTCTGCACCCGCGAGTTCCCACAACGAGGATGGCCACTTTGACATCTTGACAACATCTGTTTGGTCCAGGAAATGCGGAGATTCGGGTTTCTCGATTGCGTAGAGAATCGGTCGGGCAGATACCTGGCGGCGGCGGTACCTTTTGCAGCAATTGGCATATTCCCCAGTAGAACGAAGGACGTCACATGTCACATACCTGGATCCGCAAAGACGCTGAGGTGTGTATACAGTCTCGTTCCCGTGCCGGGCTCGCTGCTGTAGCGAGGAAATCGCCCAGAGCTGATCTGAATGTGACTTCCCTTGCCGTTGAGCCAAAAGTGCCCACCACGCTCATGCAACTCCGCCTGGAGGTAGATTTTCCAGTCCATGCTGTTCTCGCCAGGCTCGAATTCCCCTCGGAGATGTCTCTGGATGGTCTCGGGCGTGCAGTCTTTCTGGAACCGAGCCCAGCACATGGAGCAGAACGAACATCCATTCCGCGCCGACACGATCAACGTGGCCAGATTATCTTTGAGAGGCACATCGTCGTCTTGCAGGGCCTTGATCGTCAGTTTCTCGCAGTCTGAACACAATTTCATCCCGAGCAGTGGCGCCCGTGCCCCCAGGTTTGGACCTTGGATTGAATTCCTGAAGCCGCAGCCTCATGCTCATGGTTGACGATGTAGGGAACAACCTACATCTAAGCCTGAAGATCTAGGGTGCCGGAGCCGACACAGGATCAGTCCTGAGCATGAGTGATGATGAAGAGAAGGAGGAAGGAGGTTGAAAGGAGGGACAGTCAGCCTGGACAGCTCACAGTGAGGCTGAAGCTGAGGATAAGCCGAAGAAAAGCCAGATCACATGTGACATGCTACAGACACCTGCAGGTAATGTTTGTTTCGATGCTATTGCTACCTGCCTGTCTGTACAAGGCTGCACCATTCTCCGTCCTTTTATCACCGTCACCGCTTCGGTATGCAGATGCGGAAATATTGGACGTCTCTTATCTCTTCTTGTGCAGCATTGCATCGCTTACTCCATCCAGTACTCTGTGAGGTACTCATGTACTATGTACTGTACTGCAGATACCCCTCCTACTCCGTACACTGTACACTGTACCCCGCCAAACAGACTGCGCCCGCCTGTGACGATGTCAACGTCTCTCGTCTCTTGACAGTCGTGTCGACGTCAGCGACTCCTTTAAGTCGATACTCTGCTGTCTCTCCATTTCTGACCTCATCTCTCACACGACGCTCTATGCTTTGCTCTATTCTGCGCTCAGTGCTTGCTCAACCCTTGAAATCTGGACGGACCATTGAAAAGTATCGCTTCCTCCTGAAACCCCACCGTATCGAACGCAAAAGAACAAGATATCGAATCGAACTCCTGACGGTCTGCACTGCCTCGCTATGCATCGGAATCGGACTCACCAATGATGCCGCATGATATTCTGTGGCTGATCGCAGGCGACAAGAAGAAGCTACCCCCGACACGTTATACAATCTGGCTGGTTCTATGGCGCTGGCTGAGACGGGCTCCTTTTCCTTTTCACCCAGATCCCTCCAACCTAGACCCCATCCAGAACAAAAGGCGCAGACTGTCATTCCGCAGACCAGCTAAGAGATGGGCGGGACTGGCATATCGGTCGATCAGCGTGCACAATGCATGAGCGGGGCCCGCTTGGTCAGCGTTCTCTTCGCAATCAGAAGACGTTTTGCGTAGTGCCCATGCTATACTTGTGACGACCACTTCAAACTCAGGATAACCTGGATGGGATGAGAGGCATGCGGGATCCTGATTAGCCTCTCACCGTGGCTAGCTAAGCTTGTGGCTGTTCAAAGGGAGTTCGAGTTCGATCCAAAGATCGTCGCATCTGATTCATATCGAAGGCTCGGCGTGGTCAAACTAATCAATCCCCCTGGATCCCGGCACACTAGATGGCAAAGTGCTATATTCACCGGAGGTTGATGTCGACAGTACCCGCGCGCGCTCTCTTGCTCTGGCAGGAAGCGGTGAGGAAGTATGAGCGGTCTCAAGGTGAAGACTGCCAAACAGACGTCACGAGATAAGAGCTGTCACCAGCTGTGAAAACATGGACGCGATCCCTGACCATCTGAAGTCCCTTTCAGTTTGCGTCAAAAACTTCCACAGAACGTGAAGTTCAGTAACAACGTGCATGACTTGCAGCGCATCACTTGCACGTGGTGATGGCAAATACAGTCCCTGGCTATAAGTACCTCACCATGGTCGACATTCCTTCTCAACCTTTTCTATCCACTTGAATTATTCCACCTCGGATTCCTTGGAGACTTGACATGTTGTGTCCTGGCACAGTACTGTCGTCTGATTGCTGATCATGGAGACCACGGAGACCATGGAGGCCACAGGGACCATGGAGGCTACAGAAACCAAGGACACCGAACGCTTAATGCCAAATGAGCTCTCTACCTGCGATTCCTTTACATGCCATTCCAACCCAAAGAGCACCACGGACCAAAAATGCGAATTTGACGATCGACTGCATCAGCACCGAGAACTAATTCAGGAGCTCACTGCCCATCATTTCGGACTCCACGCTCGAATGTGTCACATGGCGGAGCAGAAAGAGTGGATTTACGACGATTACGATGTCGGTATTCCCGTCGCTATTGACCCATGGGAGGCGGAAGAGCAGGCCACAAAGAGGGTGATTGTGCGATTCCCGCTACCGTACAAAGTTGGTGAGCTCTTTCGACCAGGAAATGCCGATGAGAAAATTCGGTGCGAAGCTGGCACCACCGCGTGGATTCAACAAAATTGTCCATCAGTGCCGATACCCCGTCTCCATGGGTTTGGTCTGTCGACAGGTCAAATGGTGAGAATTCCAAAGCTTCCTTCTGGTGTTTGGATGAATCTGGTGCTTGGATGAATTTGCTGACTGTGACTCAGTTTTCCTCGGTCAAGAATCTCCCCTTCATCCATCGCACGGTGCAATATCTCCGTAGTCAAGTCCTCGCGTCACTGGGCTATGGCACCCCTTCTGGATACGTCCGTCACCAAGGGCCCAGCTTGGTCACCCTGGGTTCCGGTTATCTGGTGACTGACCATATCGAGGAGACACAATCCAGATGCCTCCGCTGCCCCTTCATGCCCTACGAGGATGTACCGGAGGAGCGACGCCGGAATCTTTTCCAAGGAATATCTCGAGTGATGCTGGATCTTGCGCAGGTGTCTTTGCCGCGTATCGGGTCGTTCAGTATCGACGACAAAGGATTTGTGTCTCTGGTCAATCGTCCCCTCACTTTTGAGATCTATGACATGGAGAATGACAAGATCCCAGTTGATATTCCTCGAGACTTGACTTACGACTCGGTGGACGCCTATGTCAGCGACATGCTCACATGTATCCATGACAGTCGCTTACGCCATCAGACCCATGGCCTCATCCTTTATGAATGTGAGCAGCAGATGTCAACCTTGGCTGCCATGAGAGCGGTGTCAAGCCTTTTTTTTTCGGCGTGACCTCCGCCATGGACCGTTTGCATTTGCACTGAACAGCCGCGACGAGTACTACATCCATGTTGACGACGACTGGAATGTCAAATACATCACCGGTCTCGCGTGGGGCTGCTCCTGTCCTCTTTAGATGATCCACCCACCTTTCTGGCTGACGAATGATGAGTGGGATGAGATTCGTGAGGATGAATACGACCTCCTCCGTCTTGAGTTCATGGACGCTTTGAAACATGAGGAGGAAAAGCTTGCCGTCCCTACCGCACTGCTCCCAGCAAACCAGCCACTTTCGGCCATCATGCAACGAGCATGGGACATGGGCACTATCTGGTTCAATCTGGCTCTGGAGACTCCATTAGAAACGAATCGGATCTTCTACTATCATATCCAGCCGAGACTGGCGGCGGCACATGGTCAGGACCCGAAGTTTCGGGAAATCATGCAGTGCTACTAGACTATAGATACGCAAGCATTCATACAGAAGAAGGCGGAAGACAGGGAGAGATACGAGTCACACTTTTGTAAGGCTTTTGAGGAACAGAACGGCTTCTCCAGGGACGGTAGGACCTTTGAGGGATGAGGATCAGCAGACCTTTGAGGATGAGGCTCAGCAAGCCTTTCAGGGATGAGACCCAGCAATATATAGACAATCTTGGACGTCCCTTGACATTGCTTCACTTTTCACCTGGTTTATGGTGGTTTGCGGGTCGTTAGTTAGTTCCAGGTAGTTAGTTGTGAGCTCGCGCCATCTGCTCACAGAGAGTATAGAGTTCTGCAGCCTGCATCTTTTCACTTCGTGTCTTGATTCTTGACAATTGACAGCTTGGAAACTTTGATCTCAGCGATCTCAGTGACCCGCCAAGGATCCTTATCATGTGAGCTTCGCTTGGCTTCTGCTCCTGTTCCTGTTTCGGCTTTTGATAGACCAAAACCAAAGATTTGAACTGATTTATTCACTCAGCCAGTGTTTTCCTGCATACTCAACTAGTAGCAATGATCGTTCCCTCTACATACATGGTATAGGATCTCAGAGCACTACAGTCCAATGCTGTCTGACGGTGATGGTGGCGGTGATGGATTCGGTGAATAAACGGAATTCTGAGCAGGCGTAGATAGATATATTGACCGCGTAGTGAGGATAGGTATGTATGTATGTGTAGTCTTCCCTGTGGTCTTCCTGTAGTCTTCCTGTAGTCTTCTCTGTAGTGAGAAAGATATATATATATATATATATATATATATTCCTCCCTGTAGTCTTGGCCACAGAAAGGGAAGGGTAGTATACCTACAAGCTGTAGAGAGGACAAAGGAAATAGTACTCCATGCTGTCTCTACCGGCGACAGAAAGAGAGCTTAGCATTCCTACGACTTGACTTGCTACTGCGTGTCTGATTCGGATTCTGATTCTGCCTCGCCCCACAAATCAAAAGGCAAGTAGAACTACAACTACAACTACTATATGCCATATACCACACCACACTAACTGATATTCCAAACCGCCAAACTGAAACCCAGACCCTAGAACACCAAACCCAAACCACATTTCAAAAATCCAAAAACCTTTTCCACGAACCCCTCTGAGATGGGGGTCGTGAGAAGTGAAACCCGGGTTCGCAGGGTTTTTCCGATGTCGGTTTCCGATGTCGGTTTCCGTTTCTTGTTGGTCCATGAGGCTCGTTCGCCGGGGTTGCGTTGTGTTTTATGTTGATCCGGGTCACAAGGCTCGCTCGCCCCAGTGGTTTTTACTGGGATGAATTTAAATAGGGCCAAACTACCGGTCTCGACTCGAACCGAACGTTCTCCTAAGGGCCACTCTAAACCGGGTTAGAGGTATTAGTGTCTGTCTGGGCCACTCTAAGTCGGGTCAGAGATATCAGTGTCTGTCCAAACGACTGGGCCATCAGGGCAGATTTGGGCCGAAGGGAGTTTTGATCCGGGGGTGTTGATTGTTGGGAAGGAAACTGCAACTTCAATCTACTAAGACCTAATTGATTAATTCTGACCTGCGACCTGTAGTGAAGTGAAATTGGGTGCTGGTGCCAGCTCATTCCTGACTGACTCTACAGTATTAACCATTAAGTATCAACCTACCTGGGTACCTACCTCAGGTACTCGAGATGGTGGTCGGGTATACATCTAAACACTGTGGTACTAGTAGTAGGTGCCTAGGTAGGTAGGTAGTTACACAAGCCAAGGACGCTGAGTCGGGTTGTGTTGTTCCTACATTGATACGAGAATTGAACGCTTGAGATTTAATTGAGGCTTGAGGCTTGAGATTTGCTTGAGTCTTCCGATTTCCTTGAGTCTAGAGAGTTGGACCTTTCCCCCCTTGGATTTTGTGAATGTCTTCCACCCTCTCCCTTCCTCTGTAACGTTTTCTGCCATTCTTCGAGATGCCCTATCCATTTCTTACTTTCTTAGCACCAAGAACCTGCTGCTATATGGCATATGCTGTCATGATCGCTGATCCTTAGCACCCTCGGCTTTCTGAATGACTTGAATGGCTGGCTGAGAATCGTGAATAAATGACTGATCTTGCTGATCCCGACGAACACTGGTTGGGTTCCCTTGAGGGTTGGACCCCAATCATCATGCCTGCCGATCTTCGAATATGTGGTTGAGATTCGTGAATAAATGAATGATCTCGCTAATCTCGACGAACACTGGTTGGGTTCCCTTGGTGGAGTTCATTCGCAAGGTTAAGATTGATCTTAATCTCCCTCTGTGTAGTATCTCAAGTCAATCCAGCCGCGTCTAAGCCAAGTCAGAACTAGTCTCCCGAGTCCTCTCGTCTTCTCCGAGCAACGTACTTGACAGATCAATTTGAACGTAGGGGACAGAGCGACAGACTCGACAGAGGAGAGGAGGGAGCAGAAGGAGCAGAGGGAGTGGTTCGACAGAGCAACAAGGGCGATGGAGCGAGAGGAGGTGTTCAGCAAAGTAACATAGCGAGCGGATAGAGCGAGGCGATTGATAGAGTAACGTAGACAATAGAACGAGGTGTCCGATACAGTCAGGCATTTGATATGGCGAGGTGCTCTTAGAACAAGGCCATAGGCAGGACAAGGCACTAGACAGAGTAGCATAGGTGTAGGAGACAGAGCGACATGGTCAATAGAGAGTGATGTTCATGTAGAACTAAGATGTAAGATGCTAAACAACAAACAACAAACAACAACCAAACAACAAACAACAAAGAATGAAGAAAGAGCAGACCGCAGTCTGTTTCCGCCAGTTTTCCGCCAATCAGATTTCCTGCCCATATTTCCATATTTCCACTCTGCCTTCTCCTTTTGAACCGAGTTCTTCCTTCCCCTTTCCATTCTGTTCCTTCTCCCTCCTCAGTCTTTAGGAGGATCCGGTGCCTGTCTCAAAGATTTTCGGTCCTTTTCGGTAAATGCAAACAAATTCAAATCCTGAATTGATTTCAACGTGCGAGCATAGACGGCCTGAATTTGGTGAATGTCGTTTACAAATGACCGCAGTGCCCACCCATCCAGACGGTCTGGGTGATAGTCGTCATCTTCATCGCCGCCATATTCATTGACGACACAATCCTCTCTGCCAACAACCTGTCTCGAGTTGTCATCTGCCTCGAGTTGTGCCAGCAACTCCTCGGCTTCCAGAATTAGGCCGATATCTGGTTGAATATAGTTGTTTCCACCAACATGCCTCGACTTGTGATCTCCTTCGAGTTGTGCCAGCAACTCCTCAGCTTTTCGAATGAGTTCAATGGGCAGTGTGGACCCTTCTCCATTGCCATCATCATTTCCGGCATGATCCTTGTCTCCATCACAACCCTCCTTCGGAACAATTTGCCTGCATTGGTAATCTGCATCGAGTTGTGCCAGCAAGAGCTCGACTTCCGTAATGCGTCGATGAACTTCATAAACGATCTTCCAACTTTGGACCCAGAAGCTTGACAGCATGTGTATGGTATAGCAACTTGCCGCTGCTCTGAGGTGGTCGAGCTCCAAGCGGAAGGCGGCAGTCATTCGTACCAGTGATGCAAATTCCTTCATGGCCTCTTCTGTTGCCGGTGTGGCTAGTTGGTCAAGCCGGTCGGAGATTTGGTCGCATTGTTCGGTGAGATGGCCGTTCAGTTTTCGGAGACCTTTGTCCAGCGACTCGCGCCGGTTTCGATGCACCAGCTCTCTGTTTGGTGGTTCGTAGGTCAATGCAGAAGGTATGTATTGTGGCCAGCTGTGTCGTTTCGGCTCCTCGTAATTTCGGTTCCGTTTCTTGTAAGAATAGATCAACTCAAATTCTGGTGGGCACGATACCCTTCGGTATGTGCTGTCGGAGATTGACAACATGGTATTAGTTTTGATTGTAAGTGCTTTGAAATTGCTGATAGTTTAGATTTGCTTGTTGCTGAGAACAGAGTGCAGACAGCAGAAGAAGACAACAGAGAGCACACAGCAGCAGAGAAAGCTATGAGAAAGGTAAGAAGAAAAGCAGACAGCAGCAGAGCAGGTCATGAGAAAGGTAAGAAGAAAAGCACTCTGAGGAAAAGAGAGAAGACAAGGTAGACATGGGAGAGTCGGTGGCTGGTCCCCAGACGCGAAAGACGTGAAAAAGAGAGCAGAAAAGTTAGATAGACATTGGAGAATCAGTTGCCTGATCTCGAGACGCGAAAGACGTGAAATCCATTCCATTTCACCTCAACCAAACCCTATTATGTGACGAGGCTCCGTCTTTCGCGTGAGGACTCACAGAGGGACCAACTCCCGGCGCCGCACGGCATGATTCTGTGGGCGACAGCGACTGTACCAGTCTACACAGTGGGCCGGTAGGTAGCGGGCCAGCAGGTCGCCGGAATTGACGACGATATTGCCGTCGATCGGAGTGGTGCGCACCATGGATGCCTCGCCAATGCTCCACTGTGGAAGTCAGTTTGGGGTGAGTGGATGAGTGCCGGAACACATGGCGGTTTATTCGTAGATCTTCTGGATAATATGGAGGAATTCGGTCTACGGAGGAAGATGAATCGGACAATAATGAGGAATCGCCGGTCTGCGGATGACGGATGAAGATTCATCGGGTTCGAAGGGGAGTTTGAAGAAGATGAATCGGGGTCGCAGGAAGGCGAGTTCGCGAAAGCCAAAGCCGCCGGCGATCTGCAACGGCGGAGACTCCACTCTCCACCCTGAAGCTGTGGCTGTGGCTGTGGCGGGGAGTAGTGCCAAGAGTGGGAGCGTAGGAGCTCAGACTGTGGCACGGCAACGAGTAGAACCTTAGAGTGTGGCAACGAGAAGATCCTCAACTGTGGCAGCGAGTAGACCCTCAGACTGTGGGAGCGTTGGACGAACGAGAAGGACTTGATGCTATGTGAGCGCGTAGGACCACCGTGGCAGCGAGTAGGACCTCAATCAGATCAGATCAGATCAGATCAGATCAGATCAGATGGATGTGGATACTATGGGAGCGCGTACGACCAGATCAGATGGATATGTATAACTTAATGCTTAGCTACTAGCTAGTCGACGAGGCATTTTGCAGTCTCCGTGTCCGCTCCGTCGTTGTCTCCGTCTTCATCCATTCTGGCCGATTAGAGTTCCGACATCGACCGTCAACTGTCCTAGGACTAGGAACCAGGATAATACAATTACAATCCAGGGCGTCCGTAGCATGGCATGGCATGGCAGAACGAAAAGAGAGGAATCAGAACCAGAGTAGATCCTGTTTGACGCGTCTGAATACTACATGTACATGCATGTTCTGCATGTACTGTCCTGTACGGAGCAAAGACACGAGCGGAAAACAGGAGGCCGATGTCGAGGTCGATATCATGCACTTTCAGATGAGAGGACTAGTGTCGCTGTCGCTGTACGGAGTACACGTTCTAACATCCCCATCCCATTCCAATCAGGCAAAAGTGCCCTAAATGCGGCCAATCGGCATAGATCTTCACGTCGACCGCGCTGTGGCCGTGTGTGGACCAGCAGACCTGTGCACGCCGCGAGATGAGCTCGGCGAAGTGGTATGCCGGAGGCCAAATCGGACTGGCGTCCCAAGTCAGAGCCGCTCTGGCTGAAATAGAGCATGACGGGGTGGCAATGGAATGGAACCAGACACAACACACAACACATGTATGGCCAGCCGGCAGGTAGGTGTGTAGGGGACCGTGTCTGGGAACCGTGTCTGGGAACCGACGGTTGTCTGGGGATGGAGATCGGTCGTTGCTCGTGAGAAACGCGATCTGACCCACCAACCCAACCAACCAACCAACCAACCAGCTCGCACGCAGCCTTGCACCGCCCTTCCGAAAGCGGTAGCTGAGATTCCCGATCCAGTCATCCGCATTAGGCTTAGCGTGGGTAGATTTCATGCGCCGACATAGGAATCTGGCTGGAATCTGGATCTGGATCAGGTTGAATCTGGCGGGATCTGGACATATCTGCTATACTCATGTTCGATGTTCGATATTGGTGTTGATGTTGGTGTTTGATACCTGACTGACTGAACAGGCTGACTGAACAGGCTGACTGACTGGCTGACTAACTACCTCAAATCTAGAGTACTTTTTTGTTGAGAACCGGTTTCTCTTTCTTCTTAGAGGGGGTTCATGTTTCGTGTTTGTGTCTTTCCCTTACTTTAGATAGACAGTTCCATTCCCTTGCACTTCTAATAGATAGTGAGTATAGTGGACAGTGTAGTTGACAGTGTAGTTGACAGTGTATTGGACAGTGTAGTTGATAGTATAGTTGACTGTAGTGGACAGTAAACCGCACCACCAGTGAGTATGGACTCGAACCAAATAGTGCATGCTACAACTACGACGCGACCGGAGAGCAAGGTACAAGGTACGATAGGATACTGGCGAAAACCGAGGGAACGGAGGGCATGGAACGGTCACGGCTACGGCGGTCCGGTATATGTAAGGCAGGTAGGTACATATGTATATAGATAGGTCCATATACAAACCTTACATTATGTCGACTGCCCTACTCTAAGGAAGCATCGGAACGAACGAACACAGAACACAGAACACAGACCAGTATGACTGACTGATTGACTGACTGACTGACCGACTGCTATGCCATGAGTGATTGATAACCCTAACCCTAAACACTCCTAAGGAAAGAAAAGAAAGGAAAAGTACAACGACACTAACCAACGAAACCCCAAACCCTTCTGAGGAAATACTAGGACCACTAATAAGCTGATGTTCCTGACAGAGACACTCCAAGATAACTAGCTCCCAAGATATTAATTAACCGATATTCTTGAGGCGAGAGCGGAGGGAGAAGAGGGCGAGGGAGAGAGCGGTGGGAGATAGATGTCTTGAGAACACCACCGTTATCTTGTTATGCTATGGTATAGCAATACCATCAACACTCAAGTCTTCCGTCACCTTGTCAAATGAATGGCATTGTATGATTTTCCCTCGCACCGAGGTCGGCTATACCTACCTACTAACCCAAGATACCATACCTAGTATATATATATAATTTATAGCAGGAGGTACTTAGTAACCCTGGCTGAAGCTCAGACTGTCCTTGACTCGAATAACGCTTAAGCCTGAGCCGCAAGAGCCTCGCGTCTCGACACCGACTTGGGGTCAAAGTATGGCTTCTCACCCAGCGAGACGACACGGTTACCCTGGCGCTTGCCCGAGTAATCGTTGGTGGCCGTGTGGAAGACGGAACGGTTGTCCCAGATGGCCAGGTCGTTCTTATTCCAGCGGAAGCGGACCTGTAGGTCATGGTTGTCGCTGATCAGCTGGTTGAAGTAGGCTTTGAGGATGTCGCTCTCGCGTTCAGTCACGCCGTCGAACCCGCCGTGGAAGATCTGATGGCCCGCCCCAAACAGGCTCTTCCACCCAGTCACCGGGTTGGTGCGCACCACCGGGTGTGACGCTGTGAAGTCCAGCCCCGAGTTCTCGGGCGCGCCACGGTCCCCTTCAATCAATTCGGCCCCGAACTGCTTGGACACTTTGACAAAGTTGGGCTGGAAGTGCGTCGCCGTGAGACCTTCGGCCAACTTCTGGAATGCTGGCGACAGTCGGTCATATAACTCGTACCCGGATGCCCAGAGAGTGTCGCCGCCTGCGTCAGTGGCCGGGCTGACGATCTTGAGAATGGCATAGTCGGATGGGATCCGTTCGAACGTGATGCTGCAGAGCCAAACAGTTAGATTGGCAATCATGCATTTGCTTGTTCCATGTTTCATATCACACTTGTACTTACTCGGCGTGCCATCCTTCGCTGGCCAGTCTCTTGGTGGCAGGGCTGAATCGCTCCTTGTAAAATTTTCGGTTTTGCTGCGTCACCATGTTAGTGCCCAGACATACCCAAAAGATTCTGGGACACTTACCTCGGATGAGATGACGGACACCTCGTCGTCCAACTTCCCGTTCTCGTCCACTGCAATGCCTCGCTTGCTGTTGCTTAAGGCGTGTCGGTGCAACTGCATCATAGCTTGTTAGTGTCTGCCGTAGCTGGAGTATGGTAGGTCATGAACTGATGGAAGCCTAGCAAGTCGTACCTTGGAAGTCTCCGGCTTGCCTGTCAACTCGCCCAGCTTCTGTCCCAGGACCTTCTGGTCATCGATGTTGAGATCCTGGTTGCGGAAGAAGACCACTCCACGTTGCGACACTATAGCGTGGCTGTCAGTGTTTGTTCTCTGTTGCTCATTTCATGTTGTCCTCTGGGGTAATGCCAAAGGGCGACCCCGTTGAGCAGGGCGACCCCTTTGGGGAGAGCGACCACATTGAAGATAAAATAGAACAGGTCTAGTATCTAGGTATACACACCAAGAATAGCCAGGTCTCGGACCTTAGTGTCATCGTTCAAGATACTGCTCAGCTGCAGCTCGGGGAACTCGCGGCCAATGACGTTGGTGACGTCAAAGGACTTGTACTCGTCCAGCGACCCAGAGTATTTCAACGGCTCCTTGGTAGTGCTGTCTTTGGTAGTGTTGTTGGCCACCGACTTGGTCACTGGAATGCTGTCGACCGCCGGCGGTGAGGTCAGGTCAACATCTGCTGCGGGAGGGGCCATCTCAATTTCTTTGTCTGGTCAAAGGGGAGATCCTGACTATATCTGTTTCCAGTGTCTAGTGGTGGGCTAAACTTGCTCTCGGTGTCGTGTCTAGAGTTGAGACTGTGCTGGTGGAATGAAATCAAAAACCAAAAACCAACGTTTCTCAGGAGGGACTTGTCTCAAGATATAGGAACTCGTGGGGTTTCCCTTCGTTTTGGTGGATACTACTCGGCGATGTCGACATTCTTGTATCATCCCTCTTATTGTCCCGTCTTGGGCTCGCTTACCATGTCAAATGCATTCATTCCCACAGCAATCAGTGCTTCCGACAGAAACCTGTCCATTCCACGTTCATGAACGGGTGCTTGGCCTCTCCCTCTTCTCGGGATCCGGCACGTTCATCGTCGTCGCAAACATCGAGTGTCTGGGGTTTGGTTGGCGTGGGATTACTGGTGGGAATCGAGACGTCCATCTATCATCGCTGGTTAGTGCGAATCAACCACGGTTTTGTAATTATCATCACTGGCTGCTGGCAATCGACCACGCCATGGCATTTATCATCATGAGCTGCTTCAGTCGAACCCGTGGGGCTGATTGGTTTGTCCATGAGGTACATAAGTGGCCCTGAGACGAGCAATGTCTGCTCAACAGGAACTTGACCCATGCGAGGCGCAACTCTTGTCCGCATCCAGGCTGTACAAAGGCGGCATTCCTCATTTTGGCAACGATGGCGTGAACAAACTTGTGCGTGATAAGCCCCGCCATGTCTGTCTGTTTTCGTTCTTCTGGCCTGGCAGCATATACGATGGCCATCAAGTCTCCGTGATCATCAGCATCAGCATCCCACGGGCGCACCCGAGGCCGCACTTCTGACTTCAACAGTGCGAGGTGTCCAAAGCAAGTCAACGAAGGCGGTGCTCGACTCCGACGCGTCTGGCATCAAACTGCATTCGGATCACGTCAACATGGGGCCATACAGAGGAGAGGGAGGTGAGGGAGGAACGGCCGAGAGCACAGACTTGACTGACTGTGATTGCACCACGGCCGCGGATGGCGTGCTGCTGAAGCAATGGACAATGCACAATGCACAATGCACTCGTGGACCACCCATGCCTGCCGCGCCGGCCACTGGCCGGATGCATGCATGCTCGCAAAGATACAATCAATTCATCTCATTCGATCCGACCTGACCTGGAGAAGTCTGGAGTTGGAGTTGGCTGGTGCTGTGGGTTGCGCAGCCGCCCGCAACTTAAGCTATTCACCATCCAAGATTTGATTGGCTGCCGGTCAACGTCATGGAGAAGCTGGTTGCGACATTGTCAATTCGCCCACCGTCCAGTCTACTGTCCACTGTCCAGTGTCCACTGTCCAGTGTCTGGAGTTCGCTACGGATACAGCTCCTACACTACTTCGTTGCCGAGGAGTTCGACTGTCTCTGATTTGTACACCTCGCTGCCTGAGCTATACACAAATTGATTTGGCCTTCTGTTCTATCTCTTTTTGCCACTAAGCTCGACGCCTCTACTCCTGTGACCTCTGACCTGTGACCTGTGACCAGTCCTACCCGCCCCCTCCACTTTGCCCACTGCCTGCTCTTTTTATGTTTTCCAGTCTGGTCTGGTACCCTCAGATGACCGTCCGCCTGCTGTTGACTACCCCAACTCTGAGCACTGGGCAAGAAGTCGGCCACTGATCTAGGAGGCAAACCGGAAATCCAATCTCTTGTTACCCTGGTCGGTCGTTGTCGCCAGATACTCTGCGCGTTGCTCGTCACTCATTGCGTTCCAAATCCGGTCGCGGTGACGATTGCGGAGAACGTAATAGACTTTGGCGAAAACGTAAATCCCGATGTTGACGGCACAGAGGGAAACCAAGACTCGGTTGCCACGTCGGTAGCGAGGACGGTCGTCTGCAGCCAGGCACAAGTTAGCAATTTAGGAGCCAAAACAGCGAGCAAGCAATGAACCATCCAAACTGACCTTGCCGGTAGATGTTGCTGGCGATGATACCCGAGGTCTGGCATCCCATATTATACAGCGCCGCGCTGACCGTCCTGCTCCGCACCGAGTTGGAGTTTCTCGAATTCCACCCGACTTGGATGGCATGGGTGCTGGGATACGCAAGCAAAACGGTCATGATGCCGAACGCAGCCCAATTGTTGATTTTGTTGATGTCGACCGCATAGATGTATGCCAGGAAGGGAAGAGCCCAGACTTGGGCAAGCAAGCCAAAAATCCAGAGCTGGCCGACAATCTCGGCCAAGTATGTGAAAGCCATCATCGTGATGATATGTCCGACCTGGGAGGGGATGACGAGCAGATTGGTTGTGAAAGTGCCGAAACCAATCTCCTTCAGGGACAAGGTCAGATACTGGGTCGGGGTAGCTAGCATGGTCAGCATGGTCATCTAGCATGCGGTGGACCGGCTACACATACTCATGGGTGTTTGGAATGTCAGCCCGATCAAGTATAGTGGCCAGAGATCATAATCGCGCATGCTGTGCCACAGCAGTCTCGGAGTGATGGGTTGCCTGTTGTGCATGGTACTCTTGCTGGGATCCTCACGGATGATACGATTGACCATGATGGTCTCCTCTCTGAGACTAAGTTAGTGGGAAGGCTTCGGCAAGAGATGAGACGTCAAGACTAACCGTTCTGTGAACCAGCCTTTCTTTCCTCTCGCCCAGTTCGCTGTTTGGCATGGGCCGGGTGGCATCAGGACGAACGCAGCCAGCCCAAAGATGAGGGTCAGCAGTCCCTACATTATAGTCAGTAGTCAAGCCATGGAAGAGCCTCGCAACACTCACCTCAATCAGGAACAGGTACCTCCATCCTGCCCTTCCATTAACTCCACGGAGATGGAGGAGACCGAAGCCGAGGAAGCTGGCAATGATGTCGGCAATGGACATTGCTGTCCACCAGAAACCCAGCCGAAGAGTGAGTTCACCGTGCTTGTAGAAGTAAGACAGGTACAAGATCATCTGGAGACAAATCAGTGATACGCCCCGAGCAGGGAGCCACGCCACCTTACATCAGGGATGAATCCTCCTTGGAGGAGTGCCAGGAGCGCCCGGCAAGCCAGGAATGAACTGCGTCCACTGAGCCAGAACTGACTTGCGGCAACAATCGACCACAAGATCATCTGCGTTGGGATCCAACGATCGGGTCCCATCCATTTCGACACCAACTGGGAAGGAAGTTCAGCGCAGAGAAAAGAAAGCTTGAACACCGTATTTCCCCAATTGAAATCTGACAGCAGTTAGAACCGGCAGCATCGTCCATTTCAAGTGTAGCAGGCCTACCATTGGTATTCATTCCAAGATCCTTCAAGAAGTTGTCGGTGACAGCCTGGCTCAGATTGGCGCGGTCGAGTTCCAAAGCCATGAACATGACGCAGGCGAAAATCATGATCTTGAAGTCAATCTTGCGCACGAGTCTGTACTCCTCCCCCCAGGTCCATCTTGCACTTGGGTCAAAGCGTCGGATGTTCTCCCAGGTTGACGGTGGCTGGTAGTGTTTCGCAGTCTCTGGGTCGTCAAAAACAGACGGTTGCGTCGCGATGGCGTTAGGGTCGTAGGATTTGCCTCTTTGGAACCAGAATTTCTTTTCGTCAGCCTGGACACCCAGGTTGAGTCCCAAGGGAGGGGCTTGGATGCTGTCGTCCGAGTCAGACGCCTTGAGCTGGGACTCAACGGCAATGGAGCCTTTCTCCCCATTCTCAAGCCGACGGCTGATGGTGGTCGCCATGGCTAATGTGAACGATGCGGAAAGTGGGTGACCTGTTAGAGGTAGAAGGGGGTCTGAATATCTTCAAGCTCGGTCAGAAGACGGAGATACGTAACCATCTTATAGGTCTTCTAGCCTCCAAAGGAGACAGCCCGTCTCGCCACGCCCCGAGGAACAATGTGCAAAGTGAAGCCGAGCATGGCGAAATACTAGCCATTTGTCTTGGCTCGCTTCAATGGCAAGGGTGTAATCCTGGTAGATGGACAAGGGTTCGATGTTCGCAGCACGCAATCCACCTCGAATATTGAGCGATGATGCCATCCGGACAGTGCATTTCTGGCCATGTTCTGATGCCACTTTCTCGATAAACATGGTCGACCTCGATCTAGAACTGGATCAAGCGATTGATATCACAGACTTCCTACCGCAGGGCTCGTAGATCTCGCTACCAGAGTACTGTTGGATGCGTCTAGAGCTGGCCGCGATCACCAAAGCAATGACGCCGGTGGCATCTGAACTCGGTTCCTGACTTAATTGTCGAGAAGATGTAGAAGTTGATCGCTACGTCGTCACAAAGCATGGCCACTGTGCACTCACAACAACCTGCCAGTGTTCTGGGCCGGGCGGGCGTCTGGTTCAACGGCAATTGTCGGGCGTTGACCACGGGAAGTGGCGCTCACGCGCCCTCTTCCTGCATTACGGAGTAGTCTTCGGTTCTGCACATTGCTGAATAGCTGAAAATCGGAGGCTGTAAGCCAGAGCTGAGGAGGCAAGCCCGCCAATAAGAGGAGGGCCAAATGCAGTCCGAGGCGACGGCAGGAGGCCAGAGCATTGCTTTTCGTGATTCATTCGTAATGACTTCGCTGAGATGCACTGCACACCTAACGCAGGTGTAGCACGCTGGTGGCCAGCGCGTAGGATCGTTCACATCTGTAACGCTATGCTTAACCTAATGCAGTAAGCTTGCATCACGATATCCGGGAAAGTGATAGGAGACCCCCACGGGAGGAATTGCGGGCTCGCCGGGGCTCGTGCACCAGGGATTTTGCCTGTGCATGAGGCTCCTAAGGCCTCATCACAGGAGAGATTCACATGCGCTCTCCACGTGTAGCGTACCATTAGTAACCCCTTGTACAAGTCCCAGAGTCTCATCCCGGGACCTTCCTCACTTGGTAAGTTCGATCATCGAAGGTGCCATCGCCGGCCCGGATAACATAATTTCGGCAGACGCAGAGGGGTCTTTTGGGGAGAAGAAAACCTTTGAAGCTCATCTGGATCAGAGAGAAGCAAGCTACATGTACTTATCTTCGAGCCTATCCAGGCAGCCGTCAGGCAGCAGTTCATGACTCATATCTCAGGACGAAATGTGCTCCTCGCCAACCGAGCCAGCAAGACGCCTCCTCTACTCCGTAGAGTCTGGCAAGATGGTCTGGAGACTGGAGTAACGGGGGTCATCCCAATCTAGATGCCAACGGGGGCGTCGCCCGCGGCGCCATCCGTAAAGAGACGGGATCGCCGTAGACGATGTCGAAAACAGAAGACTTCCTGCTTCACTTAGGAGAGCGATGCATTGACGCGATGGTAGTCATGTAGCACGTCAGATGTGCACACGTAACATAACAGTGTTGTCTCGACACGTTCAAGTTGGGAAGGTCTCCCGCGCCAAGTCTAGCACGTGAGATGATCTTTTTCACGTGATATGGCAAGGCTGAGCGGCACGAGGCTGTGCCGTGGAACCGAGAATACCCGAGGCACGGCCACATCTCACCGACATCGACCGCCCCCTAACCTCAGTCGACCATTTGTGTTCTTGTCCAACTTGGCCAGCGTCTCTTAGGAGCTACTCGTTTTCATTGTGTGGAAGCTGCGTTGCCATTGATTGATACAGATACACCGGCGGATTCGCTCGCTTCACCGCTTTCGCTGCAGAATGGTTTCCGACGATGTGAGATTTGCTTTTCCACCCACGGAGTTTCATCGGCGATCTCAAACCACCCGTGCTGAACAGGAACTGACAAATGTTTGCAATAATACAGGGCTCAGCGAAATCACCTCTGGTGTCTTTGATCGCTGGAGGCGCAGCTGGAGGCGTGGAAGCCACAGTGACATACCGTCAGTCACACCCTGTTCCCTACCCTTGACCGAAATGCGTGGGAAAAGCCCAAGCAAGCTAATTACTACTGCCCTGTTTCTTTCTCAAATTCGCATTGAAGCTAGGCCACGGACGAGCTAATGCGACCTAGCATTCGAATTCGCCAAAACACGCGTGCAGCTCCATGAAGATAGTCCGACACGCAATCCGTTCCGGGTGATCAAAGCAGTGATTGAGAACGAAGGTCCCCGGGCACTGTACAAGGGATGCGAGACGCTTGTGGCCGGCACGGTTCTCAAGGACGCGATCCGCTTCATTTCCTTTGACAGCATCAAAATGGCCTTCAAGGATCCCGAGACCGGCACGCTCTCACCGCTGCGGAATCTCATGGCGGGCATTTCGGCCGGAGTGGTTGCTAGCACGTTTGCGGTGACTCCCACGGAACGCATCAAGACGGCGCTGATCGACGATGCGCGACACGATAAGCGGTTCAAGTCCCCGTGGCACGCGACAAGCACGCTCATCAAAGAACATGGTCTCCTTCGCGCTTTGTACAGAGGCTATGTAACGACGACGCTTAAGCAAGCTTCCACCACGGCCGTCAGGTTGGGCACGTACAATATCCTCAAGGACTACGAGCGGCTGCACAATATTCCGCAGACGACTGCTACCACTTTCGGGAATGGTGCTGTCGCCGGGACTATTGTTGTGTTCGTGACGCAGCCGTTTGATACGCTGAAAACTCGCGCCCAGAGCGTCCAAGGTGCCGGCGTGGTTGAGGCCTTCACCAGCGTCATCAAGGACTACGGCGTCAAGGGTCTCTGGAGGGGCAGTACCATGCGCTTGGGCCGGACCGTCCTCGCCGGAGGAATTTTATTCACCACGTACGAATGGATCGCAGCTTTGATCCAGCCCATCTTGGAGAAGAAGCTCATTATTGCCCGATCGGAATGATGAGCTTGGGCACAGAAGGCGGAGTCAAGCATGGCTGATGATTGAGCTTGGACACAGAAGGCCGAGTCAAGCATGGCTGATGGTACTGGTCTGCTCGTTCCCATTCCCTAACAGCGACTGCCTACCAGAGGCTGGAAAGACTAGAGAGAATACGAGTTGCAAGGGGACGAGGGGTTGGGACGACCAGACGAGGGAGTTCAACGACGACACTCTTACGCAACGACAGTCTGCTGGACGAGGGAGTGCAACGACGAGACTCTTACGCAACAACAGTCCGCTGGGACGCCGCCGCTGCCACTCGCTAGTCCTCGAGCCTGGCTTTACATGCGCCTCGAACCGGTCTGCTCCTGCTCCTGCTCCGAAACTACTACAATTCATCTGAGACTGAGGTCTCGTGGTATGTGCAAACTCGACCTCGACACCAGAACCTCGACTAGATCACCACGCTGAGACACCTCCCCACACCTGCCCAGGAGTTTCACCAGCTATTGTCGCAAACTTGTTCTATCTGTTAAGGTGTTCCATGTTCCACCAGCTGTTACCGCAAACTTGTTCTATCTGCCCAGCAGCCTTGCTGGTAGAGTCGAGACCACGAGACTCATCCTCAAACGGGCCAAGACCAGCAACAAGATCACCCCTCGACGGAAAAAAGATCGTCGATGAGAACGATCTCACTGACTCATTGGTGGTTAGGAAGAAGTGGTTACCAAGATCTCACTGACTCACTAGTGGTTAAGAAGAAGTGGTTACAAGAACTAGATTCACTCCCTGCGGTGAAGTCATGCCATGCACTCCAAATCTTCCAGGCACGCACTGAGCTACCGAGAGAAACACCAATTTATGGAGGAAATCGACGTCAGTCTGTGGTAGAAAGAGGGATTAGACAGCCAGCTGGCCTTGATCGCCATGAGGCCATGCAGACGATGCCCTCTACATTCAAGTTGTTGCTCAGAATAAGAATACAAGTACATGCGTCTCTTCTACCAGTGTCCAATACACACCCACTCTCCATCACCACACTCCCTGCGACCTTGAACCCCATCGCATCCCCTTATGCCACTCCAACGAGTCCGGCACCCCTTCCGCTCCGGGAAGGTTGGGGCGAATGAACATGTGAGGGTGAAGAGCTTCTCACACTCGACGACACACCACCCACAGCCGCACTCGAAGCGGTGGCAGATGGCACTGGCGACGGCGTCCTTGTGTGCGTCCTCTGCGTCGCAGACGACGGTGATCGATGCCGGGTCAGACGACGGAGTAACCCGTTCGTCGCATGAACATCATCCAGACATACTAACGCGTCCAACTTGCCGGCGGCCACGAAGCACCTTTTCGCCAACGCTCGAGCCTCAGCTTTCAAGTCTCGAGGGCTCTTTCGACCATCCCCTGGCGCCAGGCTGGGGAAAACCAAGCCACTGAACTCCTTCTGCCATCGCTCCAAGTCCACTGCCAAACTGCCCAGGTCGTCCGAAAATTCTCTCACGTCAAGAGGCGGTGTTGATGAATGAAGAACATGCACGTTGAGGGACAGAACGCGGTACAGGGCACGGACCGAGTTGTCAAAGTTTTGAATGTAGATCGCCAGGCCCTCGTCAGGGCCATCGCGGCCAGAGGCCTTTCCGAGCGACTGCGATATGGCTTCGATCTGGCGAGGCTTGCCTTTGGAAAGTTTGTGGATTGCGCCCAGGGTGCGGCGGAGGGTCCGACAGTCGTCGTCATAGTCTCGACTTTGAAGGATAAGTGGCGTAGGACATGTACTTGATACTCGCGACCGGCTTCCAGGCTGCAGGACGCGGTGATCAGAATGATGCGATAAGCATTACAGCAAGCGAAGATGCTCGAGGAACTGGTTCTTTACCCCCCAAGAAGATCTACTCCTCCGACGATAGCCCAGCCCAGGATTCGCTCGATGATCAAATATGGTCGGCAGCGGACTCGGCTTCGTATGGACTCTACCCATCCTGTGGTGGACGGCTGGGTAAGAAGTCAAAGGTAGGGCATGGGTCCTGATAGTTGAAATGCTGCTGAAAGAATCGACCGTCATGTGTACGAATAACTACCCCGTCGACCTTATGCCTGACCTAACACTCAACCTGGGCTGAGATATCGTGTCGGAAATAAAATGTCGTGCAGGCGCGAGGGAAAGACAACAAAGAGCACCTGCGCGAATGATCTGTATTCTCAGGTACTTATCTTCCCAAAACTCATTACACAAAACGTCTCCAACCCAGCTGTCTCCAGCCACCAAGCTGTTTCCAGTCACCAAGCTGTTTCCTACCACCAAGCTGTTTCCTACCACCAAACTGTCTCCAGCCAAGCTCCAGCCAAACCTCTTTCCAAGGAAGAGCCTGAATCAAAGCGCAGGGATAATGCCGCGCCCTGACTCCATTCTTCCGATGGCCTCGTTTGCCGCCTTTCGCACCTCACGGTTGGTTTTGTTGGCATGTTGTTCCAAGATACGGAGATTGTCCGCAATACGTTCCATTCGTGGCCCCAGGTCATGCTTGATCATGTGTTTCCTCCATGCCAAACCCTTTCCCTGGAGAGGGCCTGCAGCTGAATCGTTCTGCCTGGTCATACAGTGGTACACCTCGCGCGACTCCTCCATGCAAACCCGAAGATCCATATCCAATTGTTCAATGGCGAGAGAGCCGGAATATGGAAGAACATCAATATTGCCCAAAAGCACTTTTAGAACCTTGGGGGTCTGCAGGAGGGCCCGAAGCAGCTTCCTGGCGCCTCGGAAGAGAGCTAAATCCGTCCACTTGTTGAAATACACCAGGAGTCCTTCTTTGAGCTCATCACGGAAGATCACGAAGTCTGCGATCCAGTGCTGAAGGGCGGCCTTTGCTCCGATGCTGTCCCAGTGGCCGGGTGTCTGGTGGACTGAGCCAACATATTGAGGATAGACAGGTGGTGTCGGCGGTCTGGATAGTGGTAGGCGGCGTTGCGAATGGTCGATTACAGTATTTTCTGCAAAGGATACGTGTTGTTCACTAGTGTTGATTACCATATCTCTCATGTCGCTTGTGATCTCTCCTGAGTCTCCGACGGTTCTGCTTCCGCGCTGATGGGTTCTGCGAAGTTCTTCCCCGCTGTTGAGCCGATAGTTTCTGCCAACTCCTTCATGGCGCAATGAAGCTGTTGGAGCCATATCTGCACGGTCATCTCCAGGAGTTGAATCATTAGGTGCATCACAAAAATCCTGCAAAGCCAGCCTAGCGGCGTCAAATAGAGGCCAACCTGGCCCGGCTGACCGAGGCCCTGCCGGTATCCAACGTGGTGTAGCATCATTCCGAGTCAGCTCTTCGGCGGCAGAAAGGTCAAACTCGTCGCTTGTCGGTGAATTGGTGGGGATCTCAAAGGCGGCACCGAGAGCAAGCGACAGACGGTGGATCTCAAAATCTTCTCTCGATAGCCCGTTGATAGACGGTGTTGTAGTGGAATGAGAGGATTCTTGACGGCGCGGCAGATTCCAATCAGGAGTTGTGTCATCCTCTTGGACACCAGCCAGGGGCGAGGTTGATGTCACCTTGACTTCAGTGGCTGCGGTAAATTGTTTCTGTCGTTGTCGTTGCCGAGCGAAAAGTCGATCTGATCGAACAGTCTGCAACAGTCTCGGGATGAAATTTAACGGCTTCTTATTACCGGCGAGAATGGGCATTGTGTCGTCAACTAAGACCACTTTGGTCGAACGTGATTAGAAAGCGTTGTGCCGATTGTTGCACCCTTCGAGTGACTGCCTTAAGTCGTAAATCTGTCGCGCGAAGGCGGTAAACCAAGGTGAGGCAGTATCTTGAGCAAGGGGAGAGGCAGTCGCGGAATAAGGGAACAGAAAACATGAGGACCTAGAAGCCCCCCCAGACACATCTTGATGAGCCACCAAACCTATTCCTCTTTACCATCACATATGACATGAATCCGAGATTTAGAAAAGTGTACTGCTTAGGTCAGTGTCAGAGTCAGAATTCGTGCTAATCACCCTGAAAGTTTCACGATCATTCAATATCGCCCTGGAGACAAAGGTTCATGGGGCAAGTGAACTGAGCATTCACACAGGATACTCAAACCCACCATATCGACGCGGATGAATCTTCACGCCCGACCCAACCCTGCCAGTTGTCACCAAACCTTGTGTCTTCACGAAATTTGTGGCGCCCCGTTCTCAGGTGCCGGATTAGAAAAGCGAGTTTTCCAACCAGCTCGGCCTGCTTCAACAGCCACACCGTACGCACTTCCAGACGTGAACCAAGCTCAAGATCTTTTCACACCAACAGACTCTGCTCAAACAGTTGCATGCCAACACTTGTCGCGCCCTCAGCCACACAATAAGAGTCATCGAATACTGTGGAGGAAGAGATGGAGTGGATTCGTGGATGGAACAAGGCGCCAGTTCAGGAGACGTTTCGAGTCAAGACCAAGCTCAACTCGGAGGAAGCTGTGCGGCGATTCAACACGTTACGTCAAGAATGGGCACTGCCAATGAACCGCATGATTGAACTCTGCCGGGAAGAGGGAGTGGACAAAAGGCTGGAAGAGGAGCTGGAGGCTACGATGGAGGACCTATCTCTCAGCAAGCAACTGTTGAGTGAGCATTGCGTCGGCGAGAGGGAATATTTGGGGACTGCAGTGTTGAAGTCGGAGGGAATGCTGTCCAAGACCAAGGATTTGTTGTTACGGGTCGACCTCGCGCAACGCACTCGTCAAAGACTTCCACATGGCTTTCACCTTCGTGTGCAAGCCCTAACCACACAACTTGGTGAGGGGCGCCGGTTGTTGGTCAGCATGCGCCATAAGGTTGAAGAGGAATCCCACCAGACAGCTGCTGGCGAAGGAGCGGGATCTGCACGCGGGACAGGTTGGGCATATCTCTCAGGGAACACAAAGGGGGTGGCAGAGGAGCATCATGAGAGGGAGCATCTGTTCACGGGGCTTGGATGGCGGCAGCCTCAACGTTGTCGCTGTCTTGATTACCGGTGAGGTGGAGGACCTAATGCCGAAGACAAATTCAAGTGATAGGAATATCTCAAAGGGACACTACGGTGTATAATAAGAGAGATCCCCGCATGAGGATGTGCCTGCGCCTGCGCCACTGTCTCCTAATAAGACTCTGAAATTGCTTGGGAGCGGAGCTTGTAGATGCTTGCCGAGGCTTACAATGCTCCGACAATTACCACGTATGTACTGTACCACCACCAGCGTGAGATCATTGCCACACTGGTAAGGAGTGGTAGTACGTATAGTAATAAGGGCGGCACCGCATCCCAGGTTTGCACCTCGCACTGGGAGTGGCAGGGGGGCCGAGCCACGTACCAGGTACTCCGTCTCGTACCAACGAGTAACTTGATCTCACCTTGCACAAACCCTGGCTGCGGCAGTCTGACATTCACACAAATGCCTTCTTCAACATCCCCCGGCGCTTTTTTCTCCAGCAGACAGTCCAAGTGACACACTCCGAGCAAACCCTGCCAGTCTCTCTCCTGATCCTCCGATTCATCTTCGTCCGTCTTCTGTGGCTCTTTGGCCGAGTGATACCTTGTCGCTGTCTTCCGCAAGACCGAACATTCTCCTTACCTCCTTCTCTCAATCGCTCAATCGCCGCGATGTTACTCTCGATCATGACGCAGCCGTCGATCCTTGTCCAGCCTCATCTCATTCGCTCCTCTCTCACGATCCTCCTTCTATCCCCGCAGCTTGACACCAGTCACTCTAGCATTGCTCCAGGATGATGGACCACAGATTTTCCACTCCACGGTATGACCACCAACCACCGGCTCCTGATCCCCTGCAGCGTGCACCAACTACACAGATTTGCAGTGCAACACATGGGCTTGGACACGCCGATCAGGTGCGGTCCAGAGGAGCCACCGCAATTGCTGTCTGCTCATGATCACCTGCCTATTTTATGTGTAATGGATAAATCCCTGGCTTCCTCACATTTCGATCTACTTTGCTCATCTCGAATCGAATGACTTCCAGGCGTGCCTCTTTACATTGACAGCCAGCGAGGTTCATCAACTCGAGTTCGTAGCACATTCGCAGCGCCTAGTACCGTTTCTTTGCCACCATGGCGAATGTGGACGTTCGTCCCAGTCCTATCCCACCATTGGAGCGGAGGTTGCAAGACGACCAAGCCTACGAAGAAGATGGTCTGTCTCACAAACATATGTCTGTCACCAGATATGCTGTCACTAGATTCACGACGTTGAAGCCACCGATGGCCAAGGCTCCCAATCCATTCAAGCTGCTAGCCATGCTGAATACCCAGCAATGGCTTTTCTTCTTGGTCGCATTCTTCGGTTGGTCCTGGGATGCCTTCGACTTCTTCACAGTTTCCCTCACTGTCTCCGACCTGGCCGAGGATTTTGGTAAATCGAACAGCGATATCACTTGGGGGATCACGCTGGTCTTGATGTTTCGTTCACTTGGCTCAGCCATCTTCGGCATTGCTGCAGATCGCTACGGACGCAAATGGTACTTTATGGCTACAATATGATCTTCTCCCTCACTAACCATAAGTATAGGCCCTTCGTTATCAACAACATCCTCTTCATAGCCCTTGAACTCGGCACCGGCTTTTGTCAAACCTACAAGCAGTTTTTGGCGGTGCGTGCACTATTTGGGATTGCCATGGGTGGCCTGTACGGCAACGCTGCTGCTACAGCCCTGGAGGATTGCCCCCCAGCTGCCCGCGGTATCATTTCAGGCATGCTTCAGCAAGGTTACGCCTTTGGTTACCTGCTCGCCACCGCTTTTTCACGGGGCCTTGTGAATACTACTTCCCACGGATGGAGGCCTCTTTTCTGGTTCGGTGCCGGCCCTCCTGTTCTCATCATCCTTTTTCGTCTCTGTCTTCCGGAGACCAACACCTTCAGAGCTCGCCAGGCCCTCCGCGAGCAGCAAGGCAGTATAGCTAGCACTTTCATATCTGAAGGTCGAGTCGCTCTCAAGCGTCACTGGCTGCTGCTTATCTATCTTATATTGATCGCCACGGGTTTCAACGCGATGAGCCATGGTTCTCAGGACCTGTATAACACCTTGCTATCCATCCAGTTCCGGTTTTCTCCTGATGCCGCTACGGTCACTCAGGTTGTGGCAAATCTGGGGGCTATGACGGGTGGAACGGTGGTAGGTTACTCTTCGCAGATTTTTGGACGACGACTTAGCATTATCTGCATCTGCGTTGTGGGTGGAGCTCTTTTGTATCCGTACACTTTTGTGAGCTCCAAGGCCGTGATTGCTGCAGCCTTCTTCGAGCAATTTTGCGTGCAAGGCGCATGGGGCGTTATCCCTATCCATTTGATGGAACTTTCCCCCGGCTCTATTCGAACATTTGTGGTAGGTACTTCCTACCAACTCGGAAACCTAGCCTCCTCTGCTTCATCAACTATTGAATCCAGAATCGGCGAACGGTTCCCGCTTCCACCCCTCCACAGGGATGGCAAGACTATCAAGCGCTACGATTACGGCAAGGTTATTTGCATTTACATGGGTACCGTGTATGCGTACACCATCCTTGTGACCTTTATTGGGCCAGAGAGGAGAGGGCGTGATTTGAGCGTTGAGCACGATACAGACATGGCAGAGGTCACACACCGTGATCTGAGACACCAGCGGGATGAGGATGTTGTCCATGGAGATTTTAGTGACCCGGACAAGGCTACAGAGCACCCACAGGAGAAAATTTGAATCGACGGATGAGACGAGGTCGATGGAAAAACGGTCACACTAAAGGCTTGAACAACGATTGACGACCAAGTAGGAAAATGCAATTCTCCGGGGACGTGGAAGCGTCTATGTTGCTTTCTGTGGCATGGATGGCGGAGACATGTGAGACTATTGCCTACGACGCAATCAGTCATGAGACGGGGCAATGCCCAAAAATGAGACGTGCTGGCGACCCAGAACATATGAAATGAATCGAGTTCGAGAAATATGTATATACCAGCTCATCAACCGTAGCCGTCTGAACTAGTGCAAAATATTGACGGACGTTGCCGGTGAAACAGTGATACGTCAATTTCTCCTTCTTAAGACTTTTCTCATCTCAACATGCGAAATTTCCTAATCGGTTGGCGTGACTCGACTCGCCGTCAATTTCGGCACAATGAGCATAGCTGTGGGCAATGGGCATTGCAATTGCGGTGCGAAATCGAAAAAACGAGGCGCCTACTCCAGCACGAGAGCCCGGCCAATCTCCAGTACATTGTGGAGTATGGCCTGGTGCATTTCGAGGCCATCGCAAACACCGAGATTGAGACCGAACTGATCGCCTCGGGTCTATTGTGGCCATTGTTTGTTGCGGCTTCAGAGGCGGAGACGACCGACTTGCGTCTACGATTCATCGAGATGTTCGCCTCGGAGCCTTAGGCTGGGTGTCAAAATATATAATAATAGTAATAATCCTAGGTCTTATTTATCCTATATTTCTGTTACAAGGGCTGTTGCGGCCCGTTAGAGCTATTCATGTAGGTTGGAAAGTGGCTTAGTTGATAAAGCCTCGTGGATTTTGACGCCCAGCCTAAGCGCTGCCTTGTAGGTACGTCTGAAGGACGATATTGGAGTTCCGATCAAGGTTCACAATACCTCGACCTCGCATTGCAGTCTTCATGTCGGGAGTATTCTGTCGTCGACCTCGCATTGCGGTCTTCATGTCGAGAGTATTCTGTCGTCGACCTCGCATTGCGGTCTTCATGTCGAGGGTATTCTGTCGTCGACCTCGCATTGCGGTCTTCATGTCGAGAGTATTCTGTCGGTTATCGGTTAGCGAAGTCGAGGTTCTGCTTACTAGTACCACACGTTACTTCGCTTGTCAGAAAGTGAAAATAGAGGTCAAACACATATATAGGCGACCTAGCCTTGGGCTCGTCCGTGGAACGCCCGTGGATCGTGTTGTAGCTCTCCTCATAATCCTTGATAGAGAGCATGAAACCTTTGACACTGGACAAACAGAAGCCATGGCTTGTTTGAGTAGTAATAAGAGTCACGGCTGGTTTTGAGATCGAGTGTTCAAGCTGCGTCTGTTCACAGTCGGGCAATTCGAACGAGAATGTAAGAAGTCGCTCTAGGTGGGATACGTGGAAGGGGACTGCTTTGCAGTAAAAGGTGATGTAGATCTAGATAGATCCGAGCTTCGAATGAGTCCTGCCGAAAAGGACGGGACTTCGGGGTTGGTTGATGAAGAGGCAAGTTCCGCGTACAGTCTCGTGTCTGCATCGACCGTTGATGGCTGCATGAAACTAGTCTTCATCTGTATATTATCAGCCGGGTCTTGGTGGGAGATGATTGTTTGGCCTTCAAAACGGTGGACTCCGTTGCGTTGCCTGCTCAAGATCTCGTATCACTCAAAGAGCAGGAGGACCACATCCGGTTAAACTCGCATTGTCAGCATCGTCGAAGTTCCCGCAGGCCGACGGATCTGATAGCCACCTCTCAATTGAGATGAAGAGTTTTGGGTGCATGGTGATTTTAATGGCAGCAAGTCTGGCGAACTTAGGTTCAGGCTGAGTGTCGAGGATCAAGTCGAGGAGATGGTGTAGAATCCCGACCGGTTAGCATGCATGCTGCACAGAATCATGGCGGCCCTTAGGCCCGCTCAGGCTCCGAGGGAAGCTTATCTAGCTGTCACCTAGAAATGTGGTTAGATAGATCATCAGCTATTATTAGACAGGCGGGCAGCGAAGCTTTTCTGGACGTTTAGAGTCGCCGTCACGCATGTTCCGTCGTTTGGTTGAGAAGAGTCCGATACACTAGGACTGGATGGGTGGTACGAGTCACTCATCTCCATGGCCGAACAATCTGAGACTTCCATTTTGTAGCGGAAGGGGAAGAACTGGTTCCTGAGTCGTGGCGGGTACAGAACGGGAACGTGAATTTCAACGCGTGGGACAGATGCTAGGAATATCACGCATGCTTGCTCACCGCGTCTCCTCTTGGTAAAGAAGATGGTCGTTTCCATCAGAGCTGGGGATTGATTCCCCTGAGGACGGAGTAGACTATACGGAGTACAGATACTCCGGTCACAATCTGAAACGGAGGGAAAGCAAAGCTACCTGGTAGGTACGTACTAACAGAACCCGCAGGCGGCAAGCATGTATCGATATCAACGGTGCAGATGAGGCGTCACTACTCCGTCCCGTCCAACTCCCACCGTCGCTTGATTGGGCCGCGGAGAGTCAGTTCAATCTTTTGCAGTCGTTCATGACGAATTGGCTCGATAGTCGGAGAGGAGAAAAACGCTATCGAGCGGCTAGAGGATGAAGATCGGGCGGGCACGCCTCAAGCTTGAAGCTTGGAGCTGGACGCTCTTGGTGGTGAAGAGATAACGTCGGAGATCATAACAGAAAGAAGCCACATCGACCAGGAATGTACAGTAGTCCGTATGTACATATCCGTATCTCTCTATCTCTCTGCGCGGGTTATCTCGCACCAATGGTTACGAGCGAGAGGTCAGCGGTTAGCAGGGCGTAATCTACTACCCGATAAGTAGGCGAAATCGAGCAGACGGTGAAGGCGTTGGCGTCGAGCGGGTGGTAGGTGGGTGTAGGTGGGTGGTACCTGTGGCTTACTGTGGCTCCTGGGGCTGAGGCCTAATTTAACATTAGCTTCCGCAGATAGTGAGGGAATAGTCGGGGAGAGGCTGGGGGCAAAGGCCTAAGGCTAAGGGCGAAGGACCTAAGGCTTAGGCTTAGCAGGCTCTAAGGCTACAGCTAAGGAGCCAAGGCCCAAACCGTGGCATGCGGCTTGCTACTGTATCCGTACAATCTTGCATCCACCGGCACTGGGGCGCGCCTTGTGAGCAAAAAGTCAATTGCGCCCCCATGGCCAAGTGTTCCAAACAGACTCCCAGATGGCAGATACCCGTTCAGCTTGATTGCTACGGATCAGCCACTATCTAGTCACACTCTTTCATGCTGCATACCTGTACGGTGTACGGACTACGGAGTGTCCGTATCTCTTCGCGCGTCGCTACTCCTGCCGCTCTGCATACAGTATCAACACCGTCCATCCCGTCCCTCATATACCCGTCCCGATCCTCATCCTCAGCGCGTCCCCGTCACACTTGGATAGCAACCCGACCATGTGCTCCGCGGCCCGGGGTTCCTCAGAAAAGTAATAATAGCGTCTCTCGTCGTGGGTTGTCGCTTGTCGGCGTCCCTCAATGGCTTATGCCTCTATCGCCCAAGCGGACCACGATGCCTTCGCTGGTGACTCGCCCTTGAATTCACCTGCCATCCCCGGACGACCCAGCCCTCCGCTATCACTCCCCGACGATGCCCTCTCCGAAGCTGGTGATCAATCCACGAGGTCACAGGCTGGAACTCACGCTGCAGGCGTTGGTTCTCTCCTCAAATCCATCAGCTCGACCCCCTCGTATGAGATGGTGGAGGGTGACGACTACGAGGAACCAATGCCGACCCCTCGAGGGCTTGGATTGAAAATGGAGGACCCTGCTGCACAACACGAGGATACCATCACGTTCCAGTCGGAAGAGCCGCCAATGAGGACCGCGTCCATCAGTCGACATCTCCCCCTGAACCACCCTACCCCGGATCTACACGCGCTGCAAGGGGCTTTGGTCAAGAATGTGGAGCGGTTGGAAGAGAGCGCTGAACGTCTGAGCATGACTTCAAGCCTGGAAGACGAGCTGAACAAGATGCGGCAAGATCAAAAGCGGTTGGAACGCCAGTCGTCCGCACCGGCGAGCTTGGACAATGTTCTTCGTCCGCCGCTGCAAAGACAGTTCTCGGCTGGCTCCTGGTCGAATTCCATCATTGGTCTAAATCATGCAGCCAGAACAGGTGGTTACTCGCCCTCGGGATACATTACATCTCCAACAGGTTCGATCCGATCCGGCTTGTGGTCTCACCAACAACAGCTAGAGAGACATTCTTCCAAAGGCAGCGACCGCGAACATGCATTACCCGGACCTCCTTTGGAGGGTCGCCCTCTGGATTTGACCTCCAACCGCCATGCAACCTCATCCATACACCTTCAACAAGGAGCCGCGACAGCATCACGTGAATCCCCCGGCGATGCCGTCCAAGATTCAAGACCAGCCACCGCTGCCTCGAATGATACTTATCGTCAAGAACTATCAGCGTTTGACGATTTTGATGGTGTCCATTACGGCTCAGGTGTGTCCCACGAGCCAGCCGGTTCTAAGTCGCGGCAGATCCCTCTTAAACATCCTCCCCTGGCTAGAGATTCGAGAGCATACAAGGAGGCACAGCCTGGAGAACAGATGATCTACTATCCGGCCCCGGTACCTGTCATGCTCAATCTGCCGCAGCGACTCTCCAAAGCGAATCTTTCGGAGCGAGAAAAGCGTCGAATACAGGCTCTCAGTGGCATCTCACATGACATGCGCAATTCGGCTGCGTGGCTTGCAGACATGAATGGCGCCAACACCCAGGGGCCGAGATCGTCCCTGAATCTCCCCTCGCACCTTCGTGCCAGTGCCTTCTTCGAGTATCCAAGTGTCACGGAAGACTTGCAGTTGAAAAATGGTTCCGCCGTCCAAACCCTCGATAGCATTTTGGATGCTGCTGCTTACGCTCCTGTGAGCGCCTTCACGGATCACCCAATTGCCGGACAGGTTGGAAAGGAGGTCTATGGTCGAAGCGATTCACCCCGAAAGAGCACTCAACTTTCGGGTGACAAGGCAAAGAAACGCCGGAGCTCGTTGAGTACGCTGCTGAAAACCAGACGATCTAGTGCTGGCCTGTCCGAAACCGGGCTCCATCGAAGAAAGTCCAGAGACTCGAAAGCTTTAGGAGGCGGCGATGAATATGCCAGCGGAGATGAGTTGGATCAGGCTGCCGCAGAGTCTATTGCTCCGGACGCTGATGAATTTGGAGGGACCGATGACAACGAAGACGCCGAGGCCGCTGTTCCGTCCGGATTCTCTGCCGCGCCGACTACCTTGCTCGCGGAACTGCAGATGCGCAAAGAACAGCAGAGACAACGTAATCGTACTGCGGCCGATGCCTTCCCTCGTGGAATGCATTCAACCCTGCTTGAGCTAGACGCCGTAACTCAGCTTCAGCAGAAAGCTCGTAAGACGAAACATGTCACATTGGCCTGGGAGGATCATGAGGAGGCGGACAAGCAGAACTTCGACGATGAGGATACGCCTCTTGGCCTCCTCTTTCCGGAGAAGGACAGAGCCAACCACGTCAACGTCAATCGGCCCATTGGTTTGATAGAAAGGCGGGAGATGGAAGACAATGAGCCGCTCAGTCAACGACGGGCGAGATTGCGAGGCGAGCCCTTGCAGTCGCTGAAATCGGAGACTAGAAGCCAGGCCGACGAGGCCACCCGTGCTCCTTTCATCGACGATGTTCCAGGGCTGTCAGAAGCGGCCCTTCCAGAAAATGAAGGGGAGACCTTGGCCCAACGCGCCGCAAGACTGAAGCTGGAGAAGGAAAAGGACGCGGGGGGACAATTTGCAGAGGAGGTGGCGAGTCAACTAGGCCTCCAGGTCGAACCTCATGCTCCACAATCCAAGACACCAGACGGGGAGGAAACTTTGGCGCAAAGACGAAAAAGGCTCAAAGACGAAGCCGCTCGACGTGGCGCCCAGCCTGATGGGAGAAAGCAAGTCCGGTCTGTGCACAGTCTGGCCGATATACTGCAAGCTCACCCTGTAGGGGTTCGGTCCAGAGAGGTTTCCAACGAGTCCAAAACGCCACAACGACTGAACGCGCAGCCACAAGGGCCATTCTTGCAAGTCAATCCCTCGTTTCCGCCGGTCAACTCGTACCAAAGTCACCCTTTCCCACACGCGTCTAATTGGGGGAGCGCTCTTGCGAACGGTGTATATGGCAATGCTTACATGAACGGAGCGATCAATGGTGCGCAGCCTCCTTTGTATGGCACTCCGATCCCCATGCACATGCAGCAACCAATGGCTTTTTACCCCTACGGCTATGGCAATCAACCCTATATGCAGGATCCGATGATGGGTCCGCCCCTTGACCCAAAGCAAAGGGCACAGATTGACCTATGGCGCCAAAGCATTGGCGAGTGATTGTCTGAATGGAATGACTCATGAGGAATGAAATGCCTTTGCCAGACTTTGGAAAGTATCGGTCTAGGTCGTAGGGTAGAAGGACCCAGGGACTTGAATCTATCCAGGCGTGTCTTATTATAGCCAGTAGTCTAGTCGTCGGACTGTATGAACAGAAGGGGGGCACTCTTTGTGTGGTCCTCGGCGATGAATGCAGTTACGTGTATATTGCCTACTATTAGAAAGGGTTGCCTATCATGTCTATTTCTATCTGAACCTCATGCGTAAGTCTGCTGAACAAGAAATTGGGGGCTGAGGATGGATGGTGGGCACGTGACACAGACATGGGTGCTCGGATTATCGATTGTTGCCATGTAAACAAAGGCTGCGGTGACCGACATTCGACCCGGCACGATTCCATGATTCCAAGTCCGCGTGTGTCGCCGTTGATCAATATGCTGCCCGTGCACTTGTATCTTGCTTGCTCGCGTACCAATAATGATTAGTATCTGATCAGACACCGTGCGCAAGTATTTCTTCTCCCCGTCGCCATGGGCCCAAACGTCCTTCAGGTCGCTCAAATCTTTGAGGATCCGGAGCCTCAACAAAGAGGACGCCAGACGTACCGGAACCACAACCACGCACCCTCTGCAGCCGAAGCTCTGAATGGGCAGCGGAAAGAGAATCAGAGTCCTACCAAGCCCACATACCAACATCATCGGGAGATTTACGCCCCTGCGAGTCCTCTAGGTGAACGGCACATCAACAGCCCCCCTCAATCCAGGCGAGTGGCGACCAAGTTGGAGAGCGACCATCGACCTGTAGCACACCGCAGTCATAAGAAGACGGGAAGTTCTATCTCATTGAAAGGGTTGATCCTGGGCAAAGAAAGGAATTTCGACTCGAGCAGTGTGTCATCTACAGAAGGGCGTGCAATCGAAAAGAAGCCCAAGAAGGTCAAGTCAGCAGCCAACTTGACCGGACTGCTGAAGCGGAAATCAAAGAAGGACTTGAGAGAAGAGACAACCTGTGGGGAGAACAATCTGTCTCCCCAGCGTGCACCCGTGGAGAATCCAACTCCAATCTGGGAGCAATTCGCAACGCAACCGCTGGAAAGTCCAGACGGCACGATGCTTTATCCAATGTCCCAGCGCAGGTCGGTGGAAGAAGAGATCAAACTCTACACCCCGAAGGACTACTCCGAGTTCCGGCCTGCAGCACAGAGAAACTTCTACGGCTATGGCCCCGCGGTCCCAATCTCCCTAGACTCCAAACCTCCTCAGCGCCCATTCTCGGAGCACAAATCTAGCAGAAGCTCCATTTTCACAGAAAACCTGGAAGAAGAAACTAAGCCCGATCTGAAACAAACAAAGAGTAAGGAGGAAAATACCAGTCGGCCAGGCACATCCGGTGCACAGGAGGGGCGGCCACCGCTGGCCAGTCGCTCTTCGGAAAGATCCCAGTCGGACAACAAGTCGAAAAGAGGATCCAGAGTGCTTGAGGCCATTAACACGTTAAACATGAGAACTCGTCGCAACGCCCGGTCGGTCCCCGCGAGCCCTTCGACCACGAACCCAGCACTCAGTCCCCAGGAGATCGAGACAGCCTTCGAACAGGTTTTAGACTCATTGAACATTCCTCTGAACATGCGTGACAATATGAGAAATCTCAAACCAGACGTAAAAGCAAGCTTGATCAAAGGAGACCGGGTCGGCAGTGGATCGTCGACGACTTCAACAGGTGCCGACGCATCCGAATTACGATCATCAGAAGGAAGCCCTCGCAAGCAGGAGAATGACAGACCCAAGAGTCAGGATGAAGATGGAAAAGACGGCAAACGGTCCCGATCGAGATCCCGACCCCGAAGCCGTATCTTGACCTTGAGCAAACGCGATGAGGATTCGTCTAACAACGCCGCTGACAGACCAGGGTCGTCGTCGAGATCTCGCAGCAAATCTCGGAACAAGTCAGCGGATTTGACGAATTCCAGGCCCACGTCTTCCAGAGCCATGGCTTCGACAGTGTCGCTGGCATCGCTCAATGCGACCGACAGTGCCACAACCCCTGGGGACTTTATCCACTACCTGCGGGAGGTTCAGAAGCCCAGCCTGGTTGAGGTCAGCAAGTTACACAAATTGCGCATCTTGGTGAGGAATGAATCCGTCAGCTGGACCGATCACTTTGTGACAAAGGGTGGGATGGATGAGCTTGTTCAACTATACTATCGGATTAAGAAGATTGAGTGGCGGGAGGATCACGAAGACAGCCTGCTCCACGAGACATTGCTCTGCCTGAAAGGACTTTGTACAACATCACTGGCATTACAACGTCTGCAGCAGGTGGAAAAGGAATTCTTTCCCGCTCTGTTAGGCATGTTGTTCGATCCCGAGAGAAAAGGACCGGCGGAGTTCAGCACGAGAGGAGTGATAGTGTCACTGCTGTTTGCTCATCTTTCTGCGGCCATGGATTTCGAACAGAAGCCCATGCAGGAACGGGCCGAAACCATCCTCGGGTTCCTCAAGGATCCTGCGCCAGAAGACGACAAGCAACCTCTGGACTTTGTTTCCCAAATGCACGTTCCTCGACCATATCGCGTGTGGTGCAAGGAGGTTGTCAACGTGACCAAAGAAGTGTTCTGGATCTTTCTCCATCATCTCAACGTCGTGCCCATCATTGAGATTGACGAGTCTGTCGGTTATGCTCGAGCTCATTTCCCGACACCACGCCCGCCTCACCCGGCAGCTCCGTATGTGGGAGGGGTGGAGTGGGAAGCCACTCAATATCTGGCGACCCACCTGGACTTGTTGAATGGGCTGATTGCATTCTTACCCACAGCCTCTGAACGCAACGCTCTCAGAGCAGACCTGAGGAGTTCGGGCTTTGAGAAGGTCATGGGCGGGACTCTGCGCACATGCAAGGAGAAATTCTACGGCGGCGTACATGAAGGTTTGAAGTGTTGGATCTCGGCGGCCAAAGCGGACGATTGGCCGGTAGAAGATGTGCGAGCTGGTCCACCACGGGAAGCGCTTAGTCCACGCAAGAGCCCGACCAAGAAGAGGACAGACGAAGCCCCCAAATTGGCCTTGGATGTTGGCATTGGCCATGGAGAGAAAGCTGGACTTGAAGACGTATGGGTTTAGCAAGGAGGTGACTACTGGATACTGGAACCAACCAATTCCGACCAGGCCGCGTCGTGGAGGTGTTGCGAAGACGGAGTCAGAAGAGACTGGCTGAATAGGGAGTCAGGATCTAGTGGGGATGAAGAGACTGGCTGAATAGGGGGATGTGTTGAGGTGAAGGGGTAATGACTGGACGAGTTTCTTCTTCGGCTTCGTTTCCTTCGAGAGGAGGGAACGGACGATATTGTTTGGTAGGCAGGTTATGATTCTACGGCTACATTCCAATACCATTGCAGGAAAACTTAGGCACTGGCACTGGCCTGAGCGTATTGGTATGGAACGATCATATGGCGAACGAGAATGCGTACTGTGTCGATCTTGTTGACATGGAATATCTCCTGGGTATACGGAGTACTCTAGTATACGGAGTATCTCAACATGTCGGTGAAATGCCCGCCGAAAACAGCGGTCGTAGCCGCCGCTTTTGGCCTCCTCTGCACCCGCACGCGTGGCCCTTCAAAACCCCGATCTCACGTAGCCCTATGGTTTCGTCGTAATGTTAATGTTTTTTTCTATATACCTCCGCTTGCCCCTCGCACTATACTATATCCCTTAACCGAGTTTCTTCTATCTTTCTATTTATTATATAAAGCCGTTCCGATGGCGACAGAAAAGGCGATCGCGCTCCTGCAGGAGCTTCAAAACGGCTTCGACGAGGTCAGAGGACAGACAATTGACGATAACACCTACTTCGCGCTCGCAGGAAGGCTGAGCGCAGCGCTGAGAGGACTTTAGAGTTCAGAACGCGAAAATCTGAGTGAAAAACGCGAAAATGACGCGCCCAACGACACGCGTCGTAGCACAGAGAATAGGAGCCCAAGCAGGGGCAGGAGCAAGAAGAAAGGGAAAGAACGGAAGGGAAAGGGACAGGAGAGATCGGTCTCCTTCTCAAGCCCAGAATCAACCCCGATCGAAGAAAGGGAAAACCCTCAGCCGGTAGGAAGGGCAGGCCCGCAACAACAATGGACACTGGTAAACCGCAAGGGGAGCCAGCAAGGAC